TGGGAGACTGGGTAGCAAAAGATACAGATAAACAAGATTAATAAACACCATACAGCAGATTGGCAGCACATATAAGAAGACAGCAATGATCACAATGGTAAAGATGTTCAAATTGGGAACATAAAGGTTGGGAGATTGGGTAGCAATAGATACAGTGCAATTTTAAGGCAAAAGGTGAAAAACTATGAAGATGAAATTAGGTATTTTTTAGTATTGATTTTGAATGAGGTAAAAGTTGGACAGCTTTTCAATTCAATAGGGAGTGAGTTCCATAAACTGGGTCCCTTTATTTGCTTAGAGTGTTTACACAGATTAAGTTTAACTCTGGGGATATCAAAGAGATTTTATTTCTGGTGTGGTGATAATCCCAAACCCCACTGCAGTTTTCAAAATATCTGAAATGTGGGAAATTTGACTCCTGAGCGTGATTTCTGAGCCGAATTTTGACTCTCTGCACCTATTTTCATTTCAAAATTATGACTTTTTATACCGAAAATGTCAATTACTGAAAACGGCGATGGGTCATATTTTGGCCAAACCTCCCCTGCAGTTTTCAAAAATATCGGAAATATCGCAAAACTGACGCCTGAGCATGAATTTTAAGCCGAATTCTGACTTTTTGCACATATTTGGAGATTGAAATTACTACTTTTTATATCGAAAAAAATGCCAATTAGTAAACACGACGATATATAAAATTTTACCCAAACCCCCCCACCCTTGCAGTTTTCACAATATCTGAAATATCGCAAATCTGACGCCTGAGCGTGATTTTCCAGGCGAATCATTTGCACATATTTGGAGTTTGAAATTACTACTTTTCTTACCTGAAACATGCCAATTAGTGACAACGGCGATTCAGATTTGCTATATTTCCGATATTTTGAAAATGTCGGGGGGTTTGGGCTAAATGTAACCCATGGCAGTTTTCACTAATTGGCATATTTTCGGTATAAAAAGTCGTGAATTCAAACTCCAAATATGTGCATTGAGCCAGAATTTAGCTCAAAAATAAAGCTCATGATTTAGATTTGCCATATTTCCGATATTTTGAAAACTGTAGGGGGTTTGGGCAAAATTTGACCCATGGCAGTTTTCACTAATTGATATATTTTCGGTATAAAAAGTCGTAATTTCAAACTCCAAATATGTGCAGCAAGCCAGAATTTGGCTTAAAATAACGCTCATGATTCTGATTTGCAATATTTGCGATATTTTTAAAACTGCAGGCGGGTTTGGGCAAAAATGTGACCCATCGCTGTTTTCAGCAATTTGCATATTTTCGGTATAAAAATTCATAATTTCAAACTGCAAATATATGCAGTAATCCAGAATTCGGCTCTAAATTAACGCTCATGAGTCAGATCATAGTGCTCATGGGTTCTATTACACCTATCAAGGAAAAGTTTCAGATCAAGATTAGCATTTAGGAAGGTTTTATACATGTAGATAGCACATGAGAATGTGTGGAGTGTATGTTTATCATGTTAAGGGATTTAAACAGAAAAGCTGTGTGTTATCTGAAAACAGAGTTTGTTATAACTCTGATAGCAGATTTTTGCTGAGTGATGATTGACTTGAGGTATTTTGCAGTTACCTAGTGGTTACCTTGTGATGGTAACTACGTAATTTCCTTGCCTGCGCTCAAAGGAATTCAGATTTAGGCATTTTAGTCGGTCCCAATAGTTTAGATGTTTTACTGAGTTGATTCTAGCACGCTCTCCAGGTCAGCAATTTCTCCAGCTTTGAAAGGGGCTGTCATTGTGCAGCAGTATTCCACTCTAGAGAGCCCTAGCGTCTTGAAAAGTATCATCATTGGTATAGCATCTCGGGTTTGAAAGGTTTTGGTTGATCCCCATGCACAGATACCATATATAAGATAGGCATAGATTAGTGAGTAGCATAATGAGAAGAGAGCAGAGTGGGGGGGAACATAATATCTGATTTTAGAAAGTATACCGACCGTTTTTTTTAAGAGTTTTTTAGGAATGTGTTGTATGTGGGTGCTGAAGTTAAGTCTCTTGTCTATGTATAGGCCAAGGAACTTTCCCTCATTTTTATTGGTAATGTTAGCATTATCTATCTGAAGTTGAATCTGATTTTATGATTTACTGCCAAATAAAATGTAGTAAGTCTTATCTATGTTTAGTGCAAGTTTGTTGGTTGACATCTTTGAGTGTACTTTCTTTAAATAATTATTGACAATATTATTTAGTATGTGGCGGTTGGGGTCAGAATAGATGGGTAGCATTGTCAGCAAATAGTATATAGGTTTAAGAACAAAGAAACAGAAACTTAGAAAGAAAGAAAGAAGTTAGAAACATTTGGCAAGTCATTGATGAATATAAGAAATAGGAGAGGTCCCAAGATGCTTGCTACCCTGTGGCACCCCTACTGTCAATGGTAGAGTTGGGGAGGCAATGCTATTTATGGTTACATATTGGTATCTGTCAGTGAGATAGGAACGAATATAGTCCAAGTTCAAGTAAGTTTATTGAGACAAGAAAAAAAATACATCTCAAAGGGAAAGAGTAGCTTAGGCTATTTCTACCCCGGCGTGAAGTATAAGTAAGAGGTAGTTATGGTTTACAGTATCAAAGACCTTTCTCAGGTCAATAAAGAGGTCAATTGGTAACTTTAGAAACGTTGAAGAGATAGATGGTTATAGCTATTACAAACAATTAAGTACAATACAATTTTATTTAGGTAAGGTACATACATACAATAAATATTTACAAGGATTGTTTGACTTATAGGTATAGCTAGTACGTACAATGCCTAAAGCCACTATTACGCAAAGCGTTTCGGGCATGATAAACTTAAATGACAAGCTTAATACTAATTGAGCATAATGAGTAGAATGAAAACAAGAAATGAAAACATAGATGAAAAAGCAGCACAAATACAATTATGTCGAAAAACAGCGCTCTTTAAAGAAAAAAACAGACATTGGTTGACAATAGAAGGGTAAGGTAGGTTACAGGGAATTTATTAGGTATAGCTTCGCTTTTAACTTAAACTGGTTGAGAGAGGTACAGTCTTTAACATGGTTGGGAAGGTCATTCCACATTCTGGGCCCCTTGATTTGTAGAGCATTTCTAGTTTGATTAAGTCGTACTCTAGGAATATCAAAACTGTATTTATTTCTGGTGTGATGCTCATGGGTTCTGATACAACCTTCTATGAAGCTTTTGAGATCAGGATTGGCATTATAGTTTAGCGTTTTATATATGTATAATACACATGAGAGAATGTGCAGTGACTTAATGTCTAACATATTCAGAGATTTAAGTAGGGGTACCGAGTGGTGTCTGGGGCCAGAATTGGATATTGTCCTAATAGCAGCTTTGTGTTGAGTAATTAGAGGACGTAAGTGATTTTGGGTAGTAGAGCCCCAAGCACAAATACCATAGTTGAGATATGGATAGATAAGGGAGTAATAGAGAGTCACCAGGGCAGGGCGTGGTACATAATATCTGATCTTAGAAAGAATGCCCACAGTTTTTGAAACTTTTTTTGATATGTTTAGAATGTGTCCCTGGAAATTAAGCTTGTGGTCAATGAGAATGCCAAGGAATTTGCCATCTAATTTGTTACAAATTTGGGTATTGTTTATTTTGAGATTTATTTGATTAGAGGATTTATTGCCAAACAGAATATAAAAGGTATAAAAGTATTCTCAAATGTGACCTATCTCGGAGGAATTCCTCCTGATACAGGTTCTGCATTCAGCACCAATATTATAGTGAGTAAATATACCACATACCAACCTTTAACACACACACACAGCACCGCTCCTGTGCCAGGTAAGTCCACTACGGGCTCACCATAGTCCGTGCTACTTGCCCCGTTCCTGTGCCAGGTAAGTTACGGGCTCACCATAGCCCGTGCTACTTGCCCCGCTCCTGTGCCAGGTAAGTTACGGGCTCACCATAACCCGTGCTACTTAGAACTTGTTCCGAGTAGCTGAATCTATAACAACAACATACCTTCATTACTTACGTAATCAGGGGTCAGAATAGATTACTTCAAAAAATATAAAACCAAAAAACCATTTGTCGTGGCGGTAGAAGTGTAACTACCCTGATGTTTCTAAGATTAGCCTCCTTCAGCCAACTCCATCGGCTCTAGTGCTTTAGGACACCAACAAGGTCACAAACACTAGCCCCCCCAGCCAATGTACTGACAACCCAACAGAACACATACGCAAACAAACAACACATACAAAAATGTCAACCCATGGTGGACAGGCCACCGAACTTTCAAACCTCCTCTCTCTCTACACCCGCATCCTCTTCCTGAATTTCATCTCCCCATCCCTCTACCTCCCCCATCCTTTCCATTCCCTATGGACATCAAACCAAACCAAACCAAACCATTACTTACGTAGCCATATGCTGTATTGTGACTACCAATTTTTGTCAACTACCATTCAAGCTGTCATTGCAATCAATCTTTTATTGTTTCTGCTGTATTGTGCCTACCAATTTGTTGTCAACTACTATTTTAAGCTGTCATTGCAATCAATCATAGCTACCTATGTGCTTTAATATACTGTACCTATAATTTTCTCTCATCTTTTTTTTTTTTCATTCCATGTAATCTGTTATCATTTTTTTGTCTATAAATTTTGCAAGTATTTACCTCCTTAAAATTTTCTTAGATTAAGGACCTGCCCGAAACGCTGCGCGTGCTAGTGGCTTTACAAGACTGTAATTACCATAATTGTATCCTCACATTCCTTATGTACATTCTTGTATATGCATAAATAAATAAATAAATAAATAAATAAATAAATAGAGGTTGGGGTCAGAATAGATGGATAGTGTCGTCAGCAAATAGTATAGATAAGTAATATATACATCATAGTTATTACTATGTACTCTCTTAACCCCCAATGTGCCTTCTTGTATATAAATAAATGAAATAAATAAATAAATAATGCTAGAAGATACTTACCTCACAGGGACCCATCCGGTGCTGCCGCCAGCCGCCGCCTGCGATAACCATCCAGTGTGCGGTTTGTGGGCGGCGCCAGTTAGCTGACGTCACGGTGAAATCAATATATAAACGCTGTCACGGTCACTCACGATGTCAGAATCACCTAGCAAGAAGAACAAGATGGCCACGTCGCTGGAGCAGCTCAAGGAGATGACGGTGGTGGTGGCTGACACCGGCGACTTCGAGTGTGAGTAGCTTCCTCTTCCATCTGGTGATGTCCGGTGACCGGCGTCCCTGTCTTGTTATCCCTCCCTGGGTCTGGGGTAATGCTGTTATCTCACGCCAGGGATAACACTTATCGCACCCCAGGCCAGGGATCATATTGTATTGTATTCTCACCCCCCCAGGCTAGGGATAATTTGATGAATTTTAGAACATTTTGTGGAGGACAGGCAGCCAGTGTTACGTCCCCGCCCCCCCAAGGATGCAACCCCACATGAAGCTGATTATTTAATAATAATCTAAACTAATGCACACTAGAAATTCTGTTTAATGATTTTTATTGATATATCATGTCATTGGGATTTCTTTGTGAATTATATAGTGGTTTTGAAGTGATTATGTCCAGGGTACCTCCTCTCTGATGACAGGTTGACAGGTCTTGTGAGGGCCTCCTTGAGCCACTGGCTTCCTGGCTGTGATACGGTATTCCCAAATCAAAGCAAGTGAAGCCAGAACTAACCAGAATAATGCACAGTAGAAATTCTGTTTTCTGTGTGTTCCAACCCTTGACCTAGTGGTACAATAAAAGCCCCATAACAAATATTTGTATATTAAAATTTGCATTGTAGTGTATGTACTTATTATATTTAAAGACTTTAAATATTTAAAAACTCTAAAGTCTTATGAGATAAAATTACTATCTTCTTAAGTTGATATCCTCGTTACAAAAACAAAGCATAGTTTATCACATAAAAATTAATTAAACATGTGGTATTGATTTGCACCTACTGTATCAATATATATTCATGTATGGTATACAAACCAATCGGAACCCTTTTTGTTTCCTATGTGTACTGAAAGCCCTGCCCAGTTCCAGTGATTGGCCTAAATCTTGTCATAAAAAATATTGTGTGTACTGTACAGTATGTCAATTTCCAGTTAATTTTATTCATCTAGCTGATGACAAGGCATTATTTATACAAGGAATTTTTGGAATTCCTGTGGCATTACTTTGTACACACAAGTCCAGGAACGTTTAGGGTTCCGAGAAGGGAATCAATATTTACACATTCCTTGTTAATTATTTCAGCATTCATGAACTAGATTGGGATTTCTTTGTTGTGTGTGAGGTCTGGAGAATCATTGTATTTATCTGCAAAACTATATTAGCTACATTCATTATAGAACAGTTATGTGCATTTTCAAGTATTGATGCATAGTGCATACAGGATGTTTTTTTCATAATTGGGAGCATTGTCATTTCCTTGCAAAGACCTGTTATCAACATGCAATTCACTTGAAAAATAGCCTTTAATAAGTAGTGCAAAATTAAATCTTGTCTAGTGTGTGTGGGGTCAAAATCTAGATTTAGCATTTAATGTAATGTAACATGTAACTTAAAGTAATGTAACTTAAACTGTAAGAGTGATAAAGTTAATGGTGGTGTGTGTGTTTGTGTGTTTAATTACCTAAGTGTAGTTAAAGGATGAGAGCTATGATCGTGATGTGTTGTCTTCCCAGCACTCTGTCGTATAACGCTTTGACACCTGACTTCGAGTACTGACGGTTTTGGCCTCCACCACCTTCTCACCTAACTTGTTCCAACCGCCTACCACTCCGTTTGCGAAAGTGAATTTTCTTATACAGGGTATATCTTCAGGAGCTTTGTTTAGTTTAAATCTATGACCTCTTGTTCTTTCAGTTGCTGGTTTCAGGAATTTCTCTGTCAATTTGGCTGATTCTCTATATTATTTTGTTGTGGTGATCATATTGCCTTTTTTTCTTTTATCATCTAGCTTTGGCATATTTAATTAATTAATGCCTGTAGCCTTTCTTTGTAACTCTTGTTTTTCAGTTCCGGAAGCCATTTTGAGCATGCCTTTACACCTTTTCCAGTTTATTGATGTGGTTTGTCATTTCCGGAAGCCATTTTGTAGCATGACTTTACACCTTTCCAGTTTATTGATGTGCTTCTTTAGATATGGACACCATAAAACTACTGCATATTCCTTAGAACTGATACAACTGTTGCATATACACAGAGGTAATTGTATCCCACCAGGGTTCGAATCCTGGGCGAGATAGAAATGGTTGGGCGCATTTCCTATCACCTAATGCACCTGGTCACCTGGCAGTAAGTAGGTACCCAGGAGTTAGTCAGCTTGTTGTAGGGTTGCATCCTGGGGGGTCAATAATTCAACCTTGGGGGAGGGGAAGACCTCGATATAAGCCTACCATGTATAAATACTATACACTGGCTGCCTGTCCCCCGGCACAATGAATTATTATTGAATCCTTTGGGCCAAAGGCCTTTTTAAATTATGTACAAAGTATTGATTCTTCTTATGGATTTCTTTGTTTTGCTATGTAGTATTCGAGTCTAGTATGTTTTGAATTTGATTAACATTGCAGCAGTACGATGCAGTGATATTCACTTTGGCATTATTGATCTACAGGTATATCTCGTGTTTTCTGTTAATTTAAATAATAAATTAACCCCTTTAAAATGGACTCATTGCTCAGACCCTGAAAACAGGCAGATTGTGCTGAGTAAATGTAAAAAATAAAAAGCAAAAAGAGGAGGGGAGCGAGTAATTTGGAAGATGAGCCATTAATACAGTTTCATCACCGTCTCCTGCCTGGTAGAAGGTCATCAGTTTCTCACACTCTTCTTTACCTTGGTGTTATGTGAAGGATGCCGAACAAGGTTAGACAGTGTGTGAGGCAGCCAAATATATTTGAAAAAATATATATTCTTAGTCTCTCCTAAGAATGAAAATAATTAGTTAATACTGCACAGTAATACTAATAATATAGTAATAATAATAATTATAATACAGTATTTATAACAATACTGTACAGTCATGTCCTTGGGATCTCTATTGATCTTGAGATGTGATGGCCTGGAGATGCCTCTATTGATCCTATGATTGACCTAAATTTATTATAGGGCCACTAACACACTAGTGGCCTCGACAAAGACAGAAAGCCGGCAGCTTGTCAAGTCACCCCTTTGTCCTGATGATTTTTTAAAGTTGGATTTTAAAATTCGGCATTTTCGATATTTATGGCTTCGACAGGTAGGCGAATGTGATGAACTAGGGGATCCTTCTCTTGATCCTGAGATGTGTTGTCCTGGGGATGTTTCTCTTGATTCTGAGACGTGATCACTTTGAGCATGCTTCTCTTGATCCTGGAATGTGATGTCATGGAGATGCCTCTATTGATCATGAGATGTTATGGCCTGAGGATGCTTAACTTGATCCTGGTATGTGATATCCTGGAGATGCTCCTCTTGATCCTGAGATGTGATGACTTGGTGTTGCTTCTCATGATTGTTTATGATAAAAATACATGTAATTTGTTTTGGGCTAGTCATTCTTATGAATTTCCAATTAATCTGCTGCATGGAGAATAGGCTTATTTTTCCAAGCTTTTTCTGAATGGTTTAATGGTTTGTGGGAATTAACCTCTCTGTGGTATTTATTAATGAATTATTAGACATCTTAGTTGAAAGGTTAAACATTTCTTTCATTTTTCTTCCATCAGCAATGAAGAAGTACAAGCCAACTGATGCCACAACAAACCCCTCGCTCATCCTGCAGGCAGCTAACATGCCCCAGTATGAGTCGCTTATTAACGAAGCTGTCGAGTACGGGGTGGAAAAGGGCCAGTAAGTTTGTGATTGTACAACATTTATTAGAATACTATCCTAATAGTACAGTACCAAGAATTTCAGTCACTTGCAGACATATTGAGGTCAGGGACTATTTCCTTTGTTGGCAATTAGTACCTTGATATAATGTAATTTTCTTACCTTAATAATTTTAATTAAAGATAATAATAAATATAATTGCACTGTAAATTAAGTTGATTATATTGTAATTAACAATTTTTGTGCATTGTACAGCTTCAGGAGTGACATAAATTCTAAGTGTAAGTCATAGATGTGTGGAACGTTCATTTAATTAGTGAAGCCTTACAAAGAGGTGTGTTTTTGTATCGAGAGGTGTATGGTCTACTGGTCAGTGCCGGTGTGTGGAAACTGGGGTGATTGCTGGAGCCTGAGAGAAAGTCTTGACTCAGGGCTATAGCCACCCTGCGGGGGAAACACTTCTGCCTCCACTCAATTTTGTTCATTTTCACTAGATGCTCAAAATTGTAACAGATTTCATGGTGTTGTCTTGGTTTTTACGGGGTTGTCTTGGTTTTTATGGGGTTGTCTTGGTTTTTACGGGGTTGTCTTGGTTTTTACGGGGTTGTCTTGGTTTTTACGGGGTTGTCTTGGTTTTTGGTGGTCTTGTTGTCTTGGTTTTCACGGGTTGTCTTGGTTTTTACGGGGTTGTCTTGGTTTTTACGGGGTTGTCTTGGTTTTTACGGGGTTGTCTTGGTTTTTACGGGGTTGTCTTGGTTTTTACGGGGTTGTCTTGGTTTTTACGGGGTTGTCTTGGTTTTCACGGGGTTGTCTTGGTTTTCACGGGGTTTTCCTTGGGTTTTCCCGAGGTTGTCTGGGGTTTTCCTGGGGTTGTCTGGGGTTTTCCTGGGGTTGTCTGGGCTTTCCCAGTGTTGTCATTGGGGGTTTTTCTGGTTCTGCCGTGGCTTTCCTAGTACCACCAATGCTTACAGTGTGTCATTGAAGTTTTTAGTGTTTTGGTTTTGACAATGCAACATTAGCCATTTTACTTCTAATAGTTCTTATGACGGAACTGTAGAGATGACTTGACAAGAACCTAGGTCGTGTCACAGACATGTATCAAGCAGTTTGTGAGGGGTGATGTAAGAGGCCATGAATACAAGAGTTTGACCTGTAGGGTCTCATTTCAACAGACACCAAGACTGATGTCTTCCCCGTGTTAGGGGGCATCATCTATAAAATATTGTAGTATTTAAACGTTACATAGGTGGCAACACAGGTAGTTCTTACCCCCACACTAGGTGGCAGCACGGGTAACTCCTACCCCCACAAGTCTTGTATTTTCAAACTCTTTCCCTAATAGAAAGTTATATAAATTAATATCTTTACCCCATAATATTATATCATGTTATTGTCTATTTGAACTGTTCAGAGTGGTTTTATGATGCTCACATCAAACCAGTGTTTCACAATTATGCTCTAGTGTTGAAATATGACAGTTCATCGGTCAGTTTCCTTGCCTGTTGCACTGTTCATCTCCTCACTGCTCTACTGCTATTATTTTACCTTGAGACTTCAGGAGTTACAATTACTTTCATTATTCCTATGTAAACAAAACGCGTGGCTCTTGCGATTGTACTGCCACACGTGTTCCCCGTCACAACAACTTGGTACATCAACTGGTTTGAGGTACAGTACCTGTATTCCATTCCTTGTCATCTATACATTCTATACATTCTATGCACACTTGATGCCATACTATGGTGCTACATAGCCTTCCCAGCTTGGTGCCTTCTTTGATAATTACTTACTTGATACCATACCCTTAGTGACATCTCCTAAACCATCCGTGTAATTAAGTGACAATTAGAAAATAAGTGAATTTTATGGATAAAGCATGGATAAGAGAGGAGCCAAAAATGGGTAAATGCTGCAATTAGAGAAAGAGGTATGTGAGAAGAATAGTTAAGCATAAATTGTTTTGATGAGCTAAGGAGAAAAATAAGGTTATTCAGACAATGGAAAGATGTAAGTGGAAGTGGTGAGTGGGTACAGTATTTCCTGAGTGGAGGCTGTGGCGGTGGGTTTCCTGAGTGGAGGCTGTGGCGGTGGGTTTCCTGAGTGGAGGCTGTGGCGGTGGGTTTCCTGAGTGGAGGCTGTGGCGGTGGGTTTCCTGAGTGGAGGCTGTGGCGGTGGGTTTCCTGAGTGGAGGCTGTGGCGGTGGGTTTCCTGAGTGGAGGCTGTGGCGGTGGGTTTCCTGAGTGGAGGCTGTGGCGGTGGGTTTCCTGAGTGGAGGCTGTGGCGGTGGGTTTCCTGAGTGGAGGCTGTGGCGGAGGGGGTTTCCTTGGTTTGGGTAGGTGGGGATTTCGTGAGTGGAGGTTGGGGGTCAGGGATATCCTGAGTGGAAGTGGGAGCGAGAGACAATGTGTCTCCACTGATAACTGTTTGGCCACACCCTCTCCATGTCAACTACTCTCTCTCTCAACCACCATCATCCCCACCCTTCAACTTCCAGTTACATCACCCTCCCCCCCCTTTCAACCACCAACTACTCCCCCCCCCCCCTCAACCCCCAACTATATCCCCCCCCCCCCAACTACATATTCCCTCTCAACTACTAACTACTTCTCCCATCAACCCCCAAATACTTTTTTGACCACCCACTAATACTTCCCTTGACCCCCCCCCCAACTACTTCTCCCCTCTGTAAACCACTAACTACACCCCAATCATTACCCACAAATTACTAGTTTACCTATATAGCCAGTTATTACAATTTGACTTGAGCACACAGTTTGTGCTGACAGTGGTGACCTTGAGAGATGCGAGACACTCAATGTAATGGTTGGTGGTGAGTCAGACACGGTGTTGACTCACTGACAAGGTCACCTTCACCCCCCACTCTGGAGACAATCATCAGCTTCTCCATTGAGAATGTATGTCATTGCTCAGAGACTGTCCTTTTGATAGTTACCTGTGTTTACCTTTTTTGTGTAATATGGGGATTTGCTTTAATTGGTGAGTCAGACTTGAGGACACTCTTCCCTGGCATTTGAGGTTCCTGGTTTGATGAAATATTTGCATCCAAAAAAGTTTGTCATGCTAGTTTGGTTTTGGCGTAACGGAAGTAATTACCACATGTTTACACTAATACACACACACACATTACTGTTTGTGGAGTGAATGAAGATATTCTCATTGTGTAAATGAAGAGGCAAAAGATAAAAAGTAAAGGCTCCTTCTTATGTTGAAGTAAAGTGTATTGCAGTCACTAATAGGTGACCTTGAAAATTTAAGGTGTATTTCTCGCCCAAGGTCACACATTTACTTCCTAAGGCAAGTTACAGCTCCCGAAGAGTCGGAGCATAAAGCCAGCTTGAGTCACTGACCTTTACATCTCTTGTAAAGTAGTTACCCAGCAGTAAATAGGTACCTGAGAGTTACAGCTGTTACGGGCTGCTTCCTAGGGTGTGTGTGTGTGTGTGTGTGGGGGGAAAAAAAAAAAGTTGATTGACAGTTGAGAGGCGGACCCAAAGAGCCAGAGCTCAATCCCCGCAAGCACAACTAGGTGAGTACATATGCTGTTCATCCATGTGCACCCAGGAGTATTTGGAAACCTGAATGAGACATGATTGGCAGATAGTGTTCTAGGAAAAATGTGGCTGTGAATAACCTACTCAGTTTCAGTACCTAACCCAATGCCTAAATTCCCCCACCTCCTAAATATATGCTTGCTACCACTGCACCACTATAGTATCACCACTACACTGCAGGTAGTTGATAAGTGGAATGCATTGAAAGAAGAGGTTATTGAAGCCAATTCCATCCACAAATTTAAGAAAAATATAATGAAAAATGTTAATGTTGAGAGAGGGAATTAGCACATCATAAAGAGCTAGATCTCGCTTCCCCCTGAGTCACTGATAGGTAAGTGCCACCACAACACTAACACTGCCATACTTTGACATTGACACCATCTCAGCACCACTACACCTTCACATTGCAAACAGAGTGGGAGACATTTGGAACAAGTTAAGCGAGAAGGTGGTGGAGGCCAAAACCATCAGCAGTTTCTAAGCGTTATACGACAAAGAGTACTGGAAAGACGAGACACCACAAGCATGGCTCTCATCTTGTCACTACACATAGGTAATTACTGTACATCACAATGCCACCACCATCCACTTTCCACATTTCTTTACAGAAGCCTATGCTCAATGCACTTGCCAAAACTGTCTATATTGTGAAGGATAGTGTAATCTGTGTATGGCAGTCACCAGTGTCAGGTCACCTGTACATTAATTAATCCCTGAAATTAATGTATCTATCCTAAGACATTTACTCATAGTAAGCATAATATCCTAACATGTTTTAGATATTTTGCAACATTTAAAGCTCCTGTTAGTATGTGGTGTTTTCAGTATGTATGTGAGGCTTCCAGTAAACACCAAAAACCATGTCATCTTGAAAAGTGACATGATTTTGGGGGGGGTCATTTTTCCTGTGCTTAGGGCATGATTTTTAACAATATAGTTGATTCACAACAGTAACCTTGTTGTGAATACTGCTTTTCTGTGTACAGTTAATGTTGAAATGCAAAAAGTATTTACAATATTATGAAAGTTTGATTAAAAATTAAATTGTACATTTTATCCCCATGACCATACATGCTTCTTAAGAAAATCAAAAGAATATTATTTTTGTGATAGCCAGATTAAAGAAGTTAGGGTTACCTTGTGGCTACCTTGTGTAGCTGTCAGGAGTCAACGGCCCCATGGCCCGGTCTCCGACCAGGCCTCCCAGTTGGTGGTCTGGTCAACCAGGCTGTTGGACACAGCTGCTCGCAGTCTGACGTATGAGTCACAGCCAGGGTGATCAGGTATTTTTCGGAGGTGTTTGACAAGTTCTTTCTTGAACATTGTGAGAGGCCAGCCAGTTATGCCCCTTATGTGTAGCGGGAGAGTGTTGAAAAGTCTTGGGCCCTTGATGTTGGAGTTCTTATACTATATTTTATTTATATTTTTTCTTTAAATGGATGTACAGTTCCTAAACTGCAGAAAAAAAGGAGTAGACACATAGAAAAGTGTATTACGGTACTGTATGTTTAATATACATAATGACCTGAAACTAAAACCAGGTACCAATACATGAATATCCAAATCAATTGAAAACACCGCCCATGCATGCCAATACGCTATGCTACCTTGCACATTAATAACAGACCTTAGCGCATAGTGGTTCCCATTGATATAGTCATTGAACATGTGGGTTTTATAGGTGAACCGTCAAAAAAAGTTCCACCAAATTGTGGAACGCTGACATGCTACACTACATGTCCAGTTACCATACAGATATTACGTAGTACACAATGCTGAGGGGTTCCTAAAGAACGTTGCTAAATATTAGGGGTGACTGATGATATTGACTGGGCAGTATGCAGTTTGGGTGCCTTCCTGTCTAGAGACTGGAAATTTGGATACCAAATATGTTATTACAATATAGGAATGATGCACGATAATGTTGAAAGGATAACCGGTATACTGTACCGTAATATAAATCAAAACATATGCTATATGTTGATACTGGTGAAATTCCTTTTCAATTGGGTGGTATGACTAACAGTGCTCAGAGCAGCACCTGAGTGGTTAGTGACTTCGAATACTGTAAATCCAGTTACTTGTACATTTTTGTTAACACTGTATCGTGTTAAGTGTTGCATCTACAGATAAGATAAAGTTGAAATTTTATAGATAGATATCTTACTGGTCATATCATAGGTATCTCTGTTGAAGCATTATTTGTGCTTTTAAGTGAGATTTGCACACAAAAACATGTGTAACTGGCTGGATATTAGCGAGCTTATCCTATACAGTACTTATTATAATGTATAGTGCTCTCCGTACCCATTTTGAACTCATTACTGCATATGGTATTTCCTGTACCATTTACAGCACCATGTAATAACAACACGGTATACCACCCAATGTGCTCATTACCATACTGTACTGGTACTGTATACCATATTGTTCGTAACCAGAGGATATCTTTCTAGTTTTTGTTAATGTATAACGCATTTTCTGCATACCCATTTCCTACATTGTGGTACGTGCCTTAGATATACTGTATGTAATATATACTTGGTATATAGTATATGCATAAAGTATATACTTGGATTTGAATATAGTCTGCTTTGAATAACTGGGGTTTTGTTTTTGTTTTAAATATTGATTTAGATTACTGTATATAATTGTTATTTTTCAGTAACAAGGCTGAGCATGTGGAACATGCAATGGACAAGCTGTTTGTTTTGTTCGGATGTGAGATCCTTAAGATTGTCCCTGGTCGAGTGAGCATCGAAGTTGATGCTCGACTAAGTTTCGATAAGGAAGCCAGCATCTGCAAGGCCCGTAGGTTCATCTCCATGTTTGCTGAAGAAGAGATTGACAAGGAACGCATTCTCATTAAACTTGCCTCTACATGGGAAGGAATTCAGGCAGCAAAGTGAGTACTGTACAGTATTGTAAATGTTGAAGTTTAACACAAAATTAAAGAAAAGTACAGTGTATGCTTCAGTTCAGCCAAGTCAGGAAGGTTATGATTTTTTGTCTCATTTAAGTGTTGCATCTACCGATAAGATAAAGGTAAAATTTTATAGATAGATGATAACTTGAGAGCTCAGCTTCCTGATTTTCTTTAGACTTGAAATATCAGTGGGTAGGTTGAGATGGTCAGGGCAATGTTCCTTTAATCTATTCGCCTTTGTAAATAAAACAGGAATTGGGGACCGAGATGAAAATTGATTGGTGGCTTATGTTCTGGGGAAGACATAATAGTTATTTTTTAAATAGGCTGTGCTAAGAAGTCTGGTAAAATATTATGTAGAGTTAGCAACTATAGTACTGTATCTTCACCCCCATATACTTAAGGGTTAGCGTGTTAAAAAAAATACCATGCATGTTTAGGCCATATAGATGTATTATTTTAAAGGTCATGCATGTATGCCCAGAGGCATGCATGCATGCAAGTATATACTTTACAGAGGCAAATTTGAGTTTTACATAATCAGAAACCGATTCCCTGATACTGCCTCCAACTTTCTTTTCACATATTAATAACTGCAGGTTGCTTTTCTTTTTTGTTTTAATATATATATACTTTCTGAAGCGGTCGGATTATGGGAAGCTTCCACACCACCTTAATCATATGGGTTTATGTTGTCAGGGAGAGGAACCCTGTACTGGGGCTTAATAAGGCCACTCTAAGCCAACTACTGACCATCCCCAGGATACAACCCACAAGGGCTGCCTAACTCTTTGGTACCTAATTACTGGAGAGGGAAGACCCCGATAAAAGTCAAATGTGTATGAAACACTTTGGCGTCCTGTCCCCCGACACAGTGAATTATTATTAAATTATCGTGTGTTTAGGGTCAATGTTCAGTGCTCGTCTAAATTGGGATTATACGAGTTCAGTCGCTTTGCTCTTAATTCTGAGGAAAAGCTTTGAGCACCCTGGCATGCATGTGTACAGACTACTGTACTCTTTTCTTAAAAATTAAGGCATTCTTCAAATTTGGCTTCCATGTCAGTAGGATTGTCTTGTACAAGGTTCTTAGTTTGTCTGACAATGTTGTTTGTTTCTAGTTTCTCGAGCTCCTTAAGTAATCGAAATTCTTTTTTTCTTATTAATGTTTCATTTATCCGAACAAACCCAAATCAGATAACAGGCATTTTCGGAAAAAAGGTGTTTATAAAGTTCTGTACGTGGCTGACTGTATGTACAATTCCCTTCTCAGGTAACTATTGATCTTTCCCAGGATGCAAGTCACAACAGTTAGTTAATTTCTGGGTACCTATTTACTGCTAGGTAAACAAGAGGCATCATTTGAAACAAAATGGGCCCAAACGTCTCTGTCCTGCTGTGGGAATTCAGTTCAGGACCTTTTGGTTGTAAATGGACGGTACTGATCTCTGCACTACTTAAAAAATATCTTAAATATGGAAACAAATAGCAAAAAAGATGCAAATTCACAGAATAAATTGAGATTGGATCTGCAGCGTTATGATCGGGTTTTGTTGAGGGTGCACCCTACATCTAATGCTATCTCGACCCTCACCTTATCCCTATACTTCAGTATATACTGTATGCATTTATTCCACTTATTCAAGTAGCCTTTCCTCCCTAAATAATTCATATCTTAAAATTTTTTCTCCTTTCTCTCTTTCACTGGTTATCTTCCAACCCTTCTGCTCATTCCAAAGTTATACTACAGTATTTTTGGCCTCTCTTCGGCATTTGTAACAACAAGTTTCTCAAAATACACCACAAGTTTAGATTGTCATAATTTGTATTTTTTAATATACTTTTGTATTGAATTTCTCCACAATCTGCAGGGTTCTTGAGGAAGACTATGGCATCCATTGTAACTTGACGTTGTTGTTTGGCTTTGCTCAGGCTGTAGCTTGTGCTGAAGCTGGAGTAACACTTATATCTCCCTTCGTTGGACGTATCCTCGACTGGTAAGTTTAAATTTCCTTTATATTGTTTCACTTCACGTGTGCTTTTGTTGTAGGTCTTCCAGACTTAATCCCTCCCCCCCCCCAAAAAAAAAAGTATTCTGGATGAGAAACTATATACAGTACTGTATTTGGAACGCTGAAGTTTTTTTTGTGTGTGTGCATGCGTGCCTGTATAGTAGGCAAAACATTAAGTACTGTACAGTATAAAATGTTAAGAATACATTACAGTATATAACAGTTTTGTACATGATCAAATACTAGCATGTGTTTCAATATTCATAAATAGTTTCAGCAGTATACTAATGAATTACAGTATTAAACTATACAACTGCATCCATCTACTGTACTGTATGTGTTATATACATTAGGACTCGTAATTTAAACAAATTAATAATGATAGTTTAATATGATCAGACACGGATCAGTAAATTGATTTTCGTGCTGCTCAGGGCAAGTAAATGTCGTGTAATTAACATTTGAAAAGTAGAAGACTGTTGAAGGACTTGTAAACATTAGGCAGAGTTAATGAAAGGAACACAACTTGATTAAAGCTCATCCAGGCTTCCATGGTTGGGTGATTTGGAGTTGTAGGCTTAGATCCCAGTATTACTTCTTAATTTGAATGATTACATTCATGTTATTTTGAATCTGTTAGCAATGGCCCAAGTGCTTCAAATGGTGGTTTGACTCTGATGCGGAAGATGCATCTCCTGGGTCACGACTTGATGATGGGTCGTTGGCAGACTGAAATGGTATTGGTTTCATTCCGTGTCTGAGTTAGGTTATTTGTCTCTTTGTGTGGAGGAACCAGAATGGGTTAAAAATTGGCAGTGTTGAAAATTAGCAGTGTGTTTGAAATGTTAAAATGAACAGCAGAAGGTTAATTTATTTTTTCTTGTGGAGATAATACCTTTATTTAAACTGAATTTTACAGGTTAAGGTTAGGATTAAAAAACAAAAGTGTGTACAGTTTATATATTTTATTGTATTAATCAGGTATGTGGCAAACACCGAGCAGAAGTCGTACGAGGCTCATGATGATCCAGGAGTGAAGAGCGTAACACGCATCTATAACTATTATAAAAAGTTTGGCTATGAAACTGTGGTAATGGGAGCATCTTTCAGAAACAGCGGTAAGTGTCATTTACATTGCACTGCCTTAGCTGGAGTGCAGGCCAGGGCATGTACAGCTATCCAAACATCATCACTTGGAATTAGAATAGTGTATAGGAATTAGTATCCATTTTTCTGAAAATGCACACAACTTTGCACAGTACAGTAAGAGCTCACTAATTCTGACCTCGGTAAGTCAGATCCTGTAGATAATTCGGCCAGAATTGAGTCTTCAAGTTCTTGTTCACTTAAATCAGTCAGAAATCTGGGCTTTTAATATTACACAGATTACATTAAAACAATATATAATGCCTAATACTGTAATAAAAAATGATTGCTTGGTAAGTGTGTACTGCTATAATGGGGATTTTTTTCATGATGCAGGCTACATATTGTGCCTCACGTGGACCCCGTCTTGACCCCTTGAACGGATACGCACGTGTTCTTCCCTTGCATAGACTTGTGTAGTGCCTCTTCATTGCTGAAAAATCTTTTAAACTTTTTTGTTAGGAACATGTCTTATAGCTGCATCAATAAATGTGAAGGTGCTTGGGGGGGAAGCAAGCTATGCTATAAATTAAGAATCAGGTTAGTCTTTGACCTTTGTGAAAATGAACTTTCTACTGGGAGTGTTAAACGGGATTTGGGATCGACACAATTACTGTCTGATATCGGGAACAAAAAGAGCAATACACATGCTAAATGTGACTACTAGTGAGAGGGAGGTAGAGGGGGGCAAGCACCAGTAGATATTGTAACGGGAAAACTTTAAGGCATGTACATCATGCACAGTCAAATGAGGCTGTGTATAAATAATTTTCATAACACTGCACAATGGTTGTGACAATCTAAATATGCTACGACTGTATGTTGTGAGTAATAATAATGGTCAGAGAACTTGTACCACTCACATCTTCATAGCCATATGATTGCATCTTAAGTGCATGTGTTACTTTAAATATCATTTTCCCTCTAGGTGAAATTCGTGAGCTTGCCGGCTGTGATTTACTTACCATTGGGCCGAAGTTCTTGGAGGAACTTCAGAATTCTTCTGAACCCATCACACAACACTTATCAGAGGCTAGTGGTAAGTTTGATCCCCCTTTATTTGATCAGTTTTTAGGTGGAACATTTCTTTTGAGATTTATTGTATTGTATTTACCAAGAAAAATATGGCTATAATTAAACTTGGACAAATGTAGCAAATTATATATAGAGAAGTGCAACAAAATTAATGTTACATATTTTGATTTTCTGAGGAAAAGAATGGCACTTTAATATGGGATTTACAGAACTGTGAGTCCTTTGAGCTTTTAAACTTACTAACAAATAGGATTTGTCTCTGTTGGTGATGAAAAGTTGGTACAGTATTTATAGTATTTATACATCTTCATTTTCTGTTGGGTGTTGTACTTGGTCGTGTAGTGAGCTCTAATGCCCAGGGGTCAAATTCACGAAGCAGTTACGCAAGCACTTAGGAACCTGGGGCCAGATTCACGAAGCAGTTACGCAAGCACTTAGGAACCTGGGGCCAGATTCACGAAGCAGTTACGCAAGCACTTAGGAACCTGGGGCCAGATTCACGAAGCAGTTACGCAAGCACTTAGGAACCTGGGGCCAGATTCACGAAGCAGTTACGCAAGTACTTACGAACGTGTACATGTTTCCTCAATCTTTGACGGCTTTGGTTACATTTATTAAACAGTTTACAAGCATGAAAACTTCCCAATCAACTGTTGTTATTGTTATAAACAGCCTCCTGGTGCTTCGGAGCTCATTAACTGTTTAATAATTGTAAACAAAGCCGTCAAAGATTGAGGAAATATGTACACGTTTGTAAGTACAGTACTTGCGTAACTGCTTTGTGAATCTGGACCCAGGTTCCCCTTTACCTCATTCAGTAGGCCAGATTCTGACCCTCCACCTCCCAGTAGGTGTTCATGAATCATACGCCATGGTTGCTTCCAGGTTGTAGCATTAGCCAAGTGAGCACAGTATCCAAGAGTAATGTTTATTCAACATTATCAACATTGATTCAATGTTGATAACATTGAATTAGCACTATTCTTGGATATTGTGCCTGCTGGGAGGGAGCTGTTGTGTGCAACCAGAAAAGAGCATTTCATTACATTCAACACTGGATTTCTCCAAGAAACCCATAGTACAGAACTTGGTAATTGGATTATATATCATAAAATGTAAAAGTTAATGAACATGTGAAATGAAATTTATTTAAAACAAAAAACACCCTATTACTGACATTTCTAGGGGGAGCCCCATTGGCTTCCGGGAGCTATCCAGCCTGAATGGATATGTATAACTTTCTGGCATCAAAGTGCTTGGAATTCTTGCCTACTGGGCACCACGAGCCAGAACCTGGCCCCCCTCAGAAAGGCACGAAGAGCAGTGGCCTATAGAAACCCCCTTGTGGTTGGGAGCATTCTATGTCTGCCGTCGACCGGGACAGGCACCCAGAAAGATAGGCGCCCCAAAACAAACCCCTATTCTGGTGAAAATATTGCTACCGAAAGGCGAACGAGTGGACAGAACTCTCTAAAGAAAATTATCAAATTAGCATGACGTCATCACGCCACCGCGCCGTCGTCTGAGCAACCCCACCCCTCCTCTTCCGGGGAGGAGGGGGACGCTGGTTTTTTGACATTGGATGAATAATCTTAATATGCTTTTTTTGAGTCTTACTATTAAAGTATGTTATGACTGTGGTTGTGTTTAACCCAACATAAATAATATATCAACATAAAGTAAGAACAGTATTTGTTCTGTTTATTGACTACTGTATTTAATTCAGTAGTGTAAGTGAGGCTTCAAAAAGCATTTGTGCAAATTAGTGATATCAGTTTAATGTATATAATTCTTTACACAATATCAAGGATCTTAAACATTTTGAAAAAGTATTACAGGTATTTTGCTTTTGTCTTTTAAACAGCTAAAAAGCACGACTTGGAGAAGGTAGAGATGACTGAACCCAAGTTCCGTTGGGAGATGAATGAAGATCAGATGGCCACTGACAAACTGTCCGAGGGAATCCGCAAGTTTGCTGCCGATGCAATAAAGCTGGAGAAGATGCTGCTGGAGAAGATGAAGTAATAAGTGCACTTAGATCATTGTTTCTTTTGGTAATTATTAAGTTGTAGGTTGGCAAGATGATTTGTTTCCTACAGTGAGAAGCTGTGATAGGTATTTGAAGCTGTAGTTGGCAGTTTTGGAACCTTTGGTGGTACAGTATAAATATTTATAGAAATTTTATCATGGAAATTAATATTCTACTTTATCATTCCACACTGTGCCTAAGTTACTGATTTTTCATTTATTCGTTTAATTTTTAATTTTGTTACAATGTCTAATAATTGGGTTAAGGTCAACTGATGTCACAATGGAGGTGCACTAGGAACTATAAGATGTCAAAAACTAATTAACCATAGATATAGAGTAGTCCCTTATTGTTAGCTAATTAGTGTTCAAGAAATGTAGTGGGCTGTGAGAAGGTAATTAAATTTGGTGTTTAATGATTGGTTGTTACTAGTAAGTGCATATATTGATTAGAAATGAAAAGGCTGAACTAATCTAGGATGGTGATTAATATTTTAGTATCTGTTTAAAAGATTATATTTGAAATTTGTTGGTAACTTAATACCAGAATTAAGTTTGCCTTTTAAGTGAATTTATATAGCCAGCTCTGCATTTCTTCAGTATCTTGCGCTCACTGCCAGGGCATACTTGCTGATACAAGTTACACAAATGGTATTTTTTTAACTGAAATATTGACACCTGACTACTGTTGCTTTTCTTCATTTTATATTTGGCTTGGAGTAAGTTATATTGTTACTGTCCTGATGTTAAATTGCTGATGTTACTCTTGTTGATGTGGACAGTCATTTTGCTGTTCATTTCAGTTAAGCATGATGCAGATTATATTGCATATGGAACATTTCCTGTACACCGGTGTTGCACAGTAAAGGTGATAAATTCCACTTCTTCTATTCTTCCTGCACCCTTATACACGATAAACGTAACAGATTGGAGGTCGTACAGTGGTCTCGGCCTCCAAAAACTTCTTGTATTGTGTAATTGTATTTTAATTTGTTTACTGAATAAATATTAAAAGTAAAAGATCTATCATTATAGAATTATCCCAATAGCTATCATTTATAGTATGGTTTACAGTACTGTATTAATTTATTTAATAATGCTGGTACACTATTTACAATGCTGTTCATAAATTGGGCATAAATATTCCCTGCTATCTTTTACACAATATTGTGGCATGTTATGATGAACAAAGCTTACACCTACCAGTTCCAAGAACCGTGGAAGTACTATGTTACAAAAATGATAGTTGAAGTGACTGCTTTCAGAAATATGTCCGTGCATGTCATTTTGTAGTCCCAGTACTTCTGTTGATATTGTATTAAGCAATTTACTGTTGTAGAAAAGCTGAAACAATTACACATACATTAAGATAACTTATTCCTTCCTCATAACTTTTATTTGGGTATGCTTTTCTCCCTCATCTTATAATGAAATATAAAGTAATTGTAAATTATGGGTGATAGTAAAATATGGTTTAATATTCTCATTAACTTTGCATAAAAAAGTGACTGATCCCTGCTTGTTAATACTAATACATTTTCTTTGATGAGCATTGACTTGCAGAAAATAACGTGGTAAAACTTGACTACATGGGAGAAAGAATTCTGGGTGTGGGTCATTTATGTAGTCAAGAAGCTGCAGCAGTGTCCATGGCATAGATAACAGGGGTTGTTGGTATGGAGCAGAAGTAATGGGATCAGGCTCCTACCTATACAGTACAATCCTTCCAATCCTTCACACACCCGCTTCCGTCTGGGATGAACATGAATGCAAAACAGCCTAAAATTTTATTTTGGCATTGTATTGTGAACTGATGCTGATGGAATGTTGGAGCACAGCACTGGTATGCTTTTCTATAACTGTATTTGGTATAAGGGGGTTTGTTGGGGGTACTATGACATTTGTTGTCTTGGCACATGTTCAAGAATTTGATACGTGCACAATATGTATATATTATTCATGCCCATTTGCATGTATGGTGTTCTTGCTTATTAAATGTTCCTGAAAAGGTTTTACAGGTATTCTATTTTCTGTTTGCTTTAGTGTCTTGTATACATGAAGTGACTGATCGATGTTGCCCCTCAACAACAACATGAAGTGATTAAGAAACACTACGGTGTGTGAAATTGCACAAACTGGTAAAATAATATGGCAGGAAATGCATAAGTCAGTAAAAAGTAAAGGTGTCGTAGGCACAGTCAGAAAACACACCACAAGAGGTCCATAGCTGTTAAACATCTTCCCAGCAAGTATTTATTTATTTATTTATATATACAAGAAGGTACATTGGGTTTGTGAGGATACATAGTATAGTGATTACATTCTTGTAAAGCCACTAGTACGTGCAGCGTTTCGGGTTTTGTGTCTCGGCTCGAGAGCGCAGCGTTGTAGAGCAAGAGTCAAGCCTGGCCCCAGGCTGGGCTTGGGGAGTAAAGCGCTCTGAATCACCTTCCAGGTACAATAGTAGGAACTATATGCAAGGATAAGGAAGTGGTGGGATCAGTTGATCAGAAATAGTAGTAGATTTTGAGGAAATAAACAAAAAAAAATGAAAGTAAAAGGTATATGCAAAGATTTGTTAAATGGAAAGAGAGCAAATGAAGAAATAGGGAGAAAACATAAGAAAATTAAAATATTCAGAAAACTGAAAGCTTTTTTAGAAAGGAAGAAGTTGTAAGAGACTAATGGATTGTTAAATGGTGAATGGGAGATTAGAAATGTGTGGAGAGAATACTCTGTGAGTAAACTGTGTAAGTTATGAAAGTGACTGGATTTGGCGTGGGCATAGTGCAAGGTTGTATGACTGCTGATTCATGTATGGAAGAGGTGAGTATGTCAATGAAGCAACCCATCCTCCTGTTTAGATAGTACCTGTTGTGATGAATGTCAATAGTCAGAATTCTTACGTTCGTAGCATTTAGATAGTAGTATACTGACTAGTAAGGAATGATTTTAAAATAAATGAGACGGAACACAAATATTTGTAGGCATTATATAGCACACATTTGTACTTTATTAGGCCTCAGATATCGTGTATTAGGCCTAGGGTGGTTAGAATAGGTTGCTTAAGTTTGTCAAAGCAACCAACAGCCAGTGAAATCTATTGTACCCTCTTGATGTTAGTTCTATTACATCAATAAGTTGCTACCTGTTCTTATTGTACTCCAATATTTTATTGGAGATGATTATATACCACTTTTTGAAGCTGTTAAATCTTACCAAAATTATACAGCACATTACAGATACTAAGCCATCAAAGCCCCTCAGTCATGTCGCCTTGTCGTGGTGAGGAGCTCACGTACACCTCCCTGGGATTGGTGTGGGTTGCCTTCACTCCCTCTCCTGCCCCTCTTTGGGTGTTGTACGTGCAGAAGGGCACCATGTAGGGTCCTTGCGAGTCATCGGACAGCTCGCTGGAGGGGTTGCTTGTGAGGAGCTGCCCTAAGTGGATGGCTAAGGAGAATGAGGTCTTTGCACCAGTGTGGGAGAATGGACATTACCTGGTTGAGCTCTATTACATCAATAATTTGCTAGCTTTCCTTATCAAAATCATGCTGTACATGCTGTGCTGTATAATTTTGGTAAGACAAAGCAGCAGGACTCCCCTGTTAAAAAGGGGGAGCACTGCTGGGGACGATGCACCCCCTTCCTGCACTGGCACGCGGCCTCCCTGGTAGGTGGCGTTCCTTAGTTCCAGGACCCAGACTTTTGTAACAACTGCTGCATGGAACAAACAACCTCTCGTACCCTGGCTCATGGGGTGGGGCGACTAGGCCTCCGAGTCGGACTGTGATTGAAGACCGAGCTTTGTAGCCCCTGCTACATTGGTCAGTAGAGTTTTGCTGGGTTCCCAGCCATATTGGTCTCTTTAAATGAACGTGCGGATGCTGTCGCTAAGGAAGCTATCCGCACTTGTCCCATCTCCCGTAAAGGTTTTACTTATTCCGACTTTTATCCAGTTATTCATTCCTCCATCCTTGCCCGTTGGCAGAGTTGTTGGTCTTCTTTACTGATAAACTGCATGCTCTTAAAAGTAGTGTACCAACGTAACCGGCGATGGGAAACGGTTCTGGCAAGGTTGCATATTGCCCATACACGCTTAACTCACTGACACTTAATGGAGTGCCGCCCTGCTCCTTATTATCCAAACTGCATTGTCCCTCTTACAGTTGTGCATATTCTTGCTGAATGTCCTGATTTCCAGGACGAGCTTGTGTCTTGCTTACCGACCATCCCTCGCAGTCACTTGTCCCTTGTTAGACTCTTTGGTGAATCGATACTTTTGATATGGTTCGCCTTATGCATTTCTGTTCTTTTATTGGCATCCTTAGTGATATTTAGTGCCCTCTGATTACCCCTCACATTTGATGGTGCTACATAGCCTTGCTGGTTTGGTGCCTTCTTTTGATAATTACTTACTTGTGTCCCTCGATAGTATCCTTGGTGAATTGGATGCCTTTGACGTGGTTCGCCTTATGAGCTTTTGTTCTCGTATTGGCATCCTTAGTGATATTTAGCGCCTTTTGAATATCCCGCACTTTTCACGGTGCTACATAGCCTTCCCGGCTTGGTGCCTTCTTTTGATAATTACTTACTTAAGCCATCAAAGAAACAAATATATTGTTAGGATATCTTGGGGGAAACTATACTTTCCAATGTATTTTTGCATAGATAATATTGTATGGTATTCCCTAAAATAGTATTTTTTCTTACAATAAATCTACTTTTCAGGGCTGTTCCAGGTCGTTCCCTCCTCTGCTGTTGCTAAGCATAAAAAACAAGCTTTTAAACATAATATTTTTATTTTATCAATTGAACTGCATAAAAAGTCATGTACAGAACTATTTACAATATCTCCATATAAATAATGTAATATATTCCATGTGAAATCTTGGCAAATAAAGTGAGTAATTTTTGTGTTGTCATTGATTAATTCTGTTTAGTAAATAAACACCAAGTGACAATTTAAAGAAAAATACTTACAATGACACGGCTAATTTACAAAATCATATTTATTCATCTAATTACTTTTACCTAGTGTACTGTATATTTATTCAGTTTGCTGTAATATATTTTGGAGGTGCTGGGGGCTCAAATTCTCCAAGTTCCTCGTCGTAATAGTTGCCAGCTCTGAATGGTCGGAGTTCCCATTCCATACGATCCTCCATCTTTGTAAGTGTGACTCCCAGATCTTCCAGAGTGGGCAGACCTGTAGTGACATCCGATACTGCTTCCTTGGGAAGATTTGGGAGACAGTAGACATTTTAAATAAACTGTTTTTTATATTTTTAGCTGTATAATTATTGACAACAAAAGGTGACAATTCAAATAATGTCAAAAATAGTAAAAGGATGAAAGTTCTTTTAGAAAACTACACATAAACCAGGAGACCAGAAGCTCTAAAAAATTAAATGTAGTAGTGGCAGATATATTAAATAATTAGTTAAATTAGTATGATTAGGGGTATATAATGCCTATGCTTGTAAATTACTAGTCTCAAAAAGCACCCGGCTAGTACTGTATGGTTGTACCGCACTGTGCAAGTCAAATGATTCCACAGATCCAACATGTCATTTACAAAATTTCCTTTATCACATGATTAGCAGGGTTAAACAGACTCATCATTAATCTACTTTAAATCAAAATCATCACAAATGGACATTGATGCACAAAATTAACCGTCATGAGCATCTGTAATGGCATAAAAGGTCTGCTGTAAATAATGGTCTAAGGCAGTACAGAAAATTGGACTCTGGGATAACAACTGATAAACCTATTCCATACAGATTTCATAGACTAATTACAAAAATGCCTTACCCTCTCTACTTTGTCCCTGGTGAGGGAGTTAAGTGGCCACGATGGAAGCATCTCTGTCAAGCGTGCCCTCCACTTGAAGGTTATGTCCCATTTCATGTCATAACGTGTGTAGTTTTCCTTCCGCATAATACGGTGGAACCAGTCAACAATCTCACACAGTTCATAACGACGGGGTCTGGAAAAGTTTTTAACAACATTATAATGATTGTAAGTAATTATCAAGAACAACTAAGCCAGTATAGCTATATAGTATTTTGACAAAATATTTAAGTTTTTCTTGATACTCTTATTGACATCCTGAATGGTAAGAAAGTAAAATTTACAATTGTCTTAAAAATCCAGACATTCAACCACAAGGAGAGTGATTTCAAGTGATGCAATGCAATGATGACAAAGGTGCAATATATATATTTATTGCATTTACGGCCACTCATTTATTCAAACGAGTGGCCGTAAGTTAATATTCTGTGGTCTTTAGATTACTTTGCCAAGGAAGTAGCCAACATACTACTTCAACAATAGGAAAGCTGTCATGAGGATGGGACATTTGATGGTAAACAACTTATTTGTAGTAGAGAAATGGAAATTTGTCTTTAATGGATATCACAAACTCCGTGATATTCACCCATCATACGTGACAAGACAACAACCTCTGACCTTTGTGGCAAGTGCCAGTGATTGTAGAAGTTATCAATCTGCAATAAACTGTTCCTGCTAAACTGCAAACAGTGGAGCTCACCCAACAACCTCATAGATTTTGCCAGCAGTGTCAGGGTCATTCATGATGCAAACAATCCCTTGAGCAACGTCACCAACATAAACGGGTTGCTTCCAGATGTCTTTGCCAGCCTTGGGGAGAGGAAGGGCAAAGCCCTGATGCCGCCACACACCAGCATAGTACCTAAGTGAAGCAACAATTATTTATAAGAGTTTATTCATATCAAAATGATTATTTGAAGATGATATTGCTATTGGCATTCAGGTTTCTGCAATCACTGCTACAGGTTTAGTGCTGCTGCTACCAATATCTTAATTCCAATGCTGACATCGCTACAATTACTGCTAGCTGGGCTGCTACAACAACAGCACTGTTGTAGCTAATACTCTATCTCTATATTGATTTGCTTTGCCAGGAACAGGAAATTCAAATATATATATTTAACCTTGGAGGGACCTTAATCCAAGCTTAAACTACTGACCCTCCCCAGGGTGCAACCCCTACAACAGTTGCCTAACTCCTGGGTACCTATTTACTGCTAGGTGAACAGAGGCAGTAAGTGAAAGGAAACATTCCTGATCATTGCTGTCCCACCTGGGTATTGAACCTGGGATCCTCAACTGTGAGTTGAAGCTATCACCACTACTATTACTGTGAGTACTACCATTAATAATACTCATTGGTTTTATTTCTACTTGTACTACCATTATCAAGCAAATTTTATTTGATCACACAATAGTTAAACAAAAGATAAATCGTGGATAACTTCTGACCGTAAGAATCGATCTTCCTGACCATAAACATCACTGGGACGAAGAATGGTGGCTTCTGGGAAGGCCTCTCTCACAGCCTGTTCACCCAGACCTTTAGTTTTCAGAAACTTGGAGCCACCTTTAGTAAAATAACCCTGAAAGAACAAAAGGTTCACATTGCAATTCAACAAAAACCATTTTTAACCATTGCATTGTGCAAAGGCTACATAGGACATTAGCTATATACACATAGAAAAATAATATTCAAAATAAGGCTTTATACTTTCAATTTTTAGGACATTTTTTTCCTATACTATATAGAAAGTCACTTTTGTAGATAATAGATGTTTACTTGAGGCTTCAAGCACAGACTTCAAGTACACTGTACCAGCAGAAGCTTCAAATGTTGCAAAATATAAAATATCTTGAGAAGTTGACTGCACCAGCAACTCAATACCTTAACGTCTTCAATGTCTTATCTGCTAAAATTTGTGATTGCCTTATGAGGCAATAACATAAAATCTATTGATGCCTTTGATACTCTGAACTGCTAAATTTGTCTACTTTGAACTGTTAATTGACAACCATATAAATTCCCCATAGTTCTAATTCTTCAACATGTGATGAACTAAATACTACCTTATAACAGTACATCCATAACTTACTTCATGCTCAACATTGGAGTTGAGTGCAGACAAGTGAATGAACCTTTCAACTCCCATTTCCTTACTAATCCGTGCCAACCGCTCGGCTCCTTCCACATGGACCTGTTGAATACAATTCTATAAAACATGACAAAAAGGAGTCTTATTTTTTTATTCAACTTTGCGCTCCCCATTATTAGAAGATGACAGATAACAGGTTAACAGGTCCCCTGTTAACACGTTTATCCCTGATGCTGATGGACACTGACATGGTGCATGAGCTCCAGAAATTATTCAGTCTCTCATTATCAAAATGGTTGTGGTGACGGAAAGGGGTATACGAGTGGGTCCCCAGTACAATAAATACACAATGGTTGTACAGGGTTGAATAACAACAACTTAAATATATACAAGTTTGAGAAAATGAAGCAAGGGTTAGAGAATGGAAGATTACAAAGCTGAAACAATAACAATGGTGCCAGCATAACAAGACTTTAAGACAATACAGAAGGAAAATTTCTTGGGATTTTTCCAGGAAGAAACAAGCTCCTCTTGCTCCCATAAAGTAGGTGACCTTGAGCTATACAGTATTTAACTAGCCTTAACTGTCTTATCTTACAAAGGATTTTAAACTTTTTTATGCAACAATACAGTATCCAGTTGTTTGTAAACATTGATAAACATTTATCTTTATAACCACAAGACTTTATTTAACTTACTTGTTCAAAAGAAAAATTCATGGTTTCCCACTCACGCCCAACAAGGTTGATGACAACATTGGAATGCTTGACAGCCTTGCGTATAGCCTCTTCATCACGCAGGTTGTAAGGCATGAAGAGTACCTGACCCAAGTCACCAACTAACTTGAGCCGCAGCACATCATAGTGATCACCTCGGTAAGGAATAATAATCTGGAAAGAAAAAAGTTCACGCTTTCATGTTTACAGTATCTCTTACCCTTAACCCTTGTATTAAGGGTTAATACAATCCTAATCTGCACGCGCACACAACTGTGAATCAGGAGTGAGCACTTCACAGTTAATTCTGCACATGAATTGTCATTCTATAACAGTAATTTAACCACCCTCTACCTCACAAAATAAGACAATACTGTATATTTGACAACAACAAACAACCAGCTGATGTTAGCTCAAAGAGCTATCAAGCAGAGTTGCACTCTAATATGAATATATTATACCCCAATTTTTTGTACAAAATCTATTGTACTCTCATAGAAATAAATAAATAAAAACTGTTCCACAAATATTAGTTATTTCTCTGTCACAAAAAAAATAACCACAAATTACTTGGATAACAAAAATTCTGGTTATTGTCCAGAAAAATTATTGTCTGGAATTTTCCTGTATGATGCAAATACAGTATGAATATGCTGTAATAGGTTTATGTGGATGTAATGTCGTTTACCTTAACCCATGAAAAAAATCCACGTACCATTTCGTGGTACAAATGCAGTTATTGTCATGAATATTACTAGGGGAAATGCTGTCATCATATGATGACTTAAACAATTATGGTCTGGGCTTTACACATGATGCAATTATGGATACAAAGCTCTCTGTGGATGTAAATCAAGAAAAAAAAAAAAGTGATAAAACAATTGGTGAAACATCGAAGGATAAAACAGTGTCAGCATAGTGAAGCACCAGGCATTAAGAAATGCCAGATGCAGCCTTGCAGAGCACCTCCTCCCAGTGAAATGATAAATATCCACTTATTTTCTTGTTTTTCTTATTCTGCATACAAATTAATAATTCTATAATAAAAATCATTTATTGGATTTTTTTATTTTTTTTTGTGCAGAGGCAGGTATGACCATTTCTCCATAGCCACTGTCTAAGGGTTAATACAATGAATAAAGCAGATTCAGAAATTTCTTGATTACAGAAACAAGATATTTTTGCAGAGCCAAAACCCAATGGCTGAAAACATATTTTTTAATTTGGATATACAGTAACAAAAAGCACCTTGAGAGTTCTTACATTGGAGATATAAACAACTTACACTAGAGGCACTATGCATTAACATTACCTGGGTTCCCGTCTTCCCGAGCCTGTTGCACACATAGCGTCCAATGAATCCAGACGCGCCAAACACAGTGGCCACATTCCCAGAGAAGGAAGAGCGGCCTCCTCGCCCTTTCTTGATCGCAGAAAGGTTAGGTTTTGTCAAGAAGTGCACGTCAGACGAGTAACGCTGCTGAACACCAGCTAAAGCTCCAGCTCTTATGCCGAATCCGTAGCCTTAAACAAAAATGGTTAAGTAAAAATCTACCTCATGTTTTTTTTTTTTTTTCACATGAAGTAAAAAGTATTACGACTAGCCACCTTAGTTACTACTTCACCCTCCCACTGCCATGCCAGGCAGTCACAGGCAGAGGAAGGTGGATCATTATATATTATATCTCAATGGTATAAATGTATTACTCCAGTATTAAGTTGATCTTAATGTTAATGCAATATCTACCACACAGCCGTTTTGTTTAGTTTGTTACGGTAATCGCCTGCTTAGGTAGCAGATCCTGCCTGTTCCCTTTAATGCCTATTCACCAATGTATCTGCATGCTCCAACATAAGGAATCAACAAGATTCCTGTACAAGACTGTAACAATTCTTGTATATATCTTAAAAAAAAAAAAAAAAAAAACGTGCTCGGACGCCTCTGTCTACACAAGCAACCCCCTCCCCACCCTTCACCCTCTAGTACCCAAGACACCTGGACACCTGCAGAGGCCCGTGTGATGAGGCCCAGCGCCACTCGCCGTTCGACCAGCCTAATTGCTTGTTTAATTGCCGGCCGATGGTTACCCACAACATCAGCGCCATCTATGCTGGCCTGGCCTGCATATATAAGGAGCTCACCTACATCCAGGCCTCGCACGGGGGAGACATCTCCTGTCACGAAGGGTGCAGTCGCACCTCCGCAGATCTCCAATATCAGATAATGATACTGGTAATGGCTCAAAAGGGCCACTACTTACGGGCTATTCATGCTCGTGCCACCTTTCGGGTGGCTTAATCTTCATCAATCAATCAATCCAGTCCTCAGAATACTCTTCGTGCTCCAAGCTGCAACATCTACTCTCGCTCCCCCTGAGTGTCAGTAGACTGTAGCAGCTCTTGTATAAAGTATTAATTGCACCTTTGCCATTAAAGTAACTTTCACATGTGTATATTTATCTTGTAAATTGTTTTAGCCAAGTGGATAAGGGGCTTTGTTTTGTATGTTATTAAAGTAATTTGTGTCACAAGCAGTCTTATTTACTTTTTTTTTTATTTATGTGCAATTGGCACAACACCAGCCAGAATAGCCACTGCTCTATTTTCAGAGTATCGTCACAAGTTATGCAGTATAAAAGTACAGGATAGACACCATTCACTTGGCTATGTTACAGTAACAAATACAGTAGTTGATTTTGTGTTTACACCAATATGCACACAGAGACACTCGTTATATTCGCTCATTATATACAAAACTAGTAATGCACCGAAACACTACGTGTAACTCGCATCCCAGATTTCCTCCGTCAGCTCCAGGACCAGTATTGGCAGAGCATTTTAGGAGAGAAACAAGGTGGAACAAATGCTCTCAATTAGGCTTTATACTCCAAGACAGGATTTTATTTTTTAGGTTTAGGCTATTCTTCATTTTACATACTGTGCTTAGGATTTACCCAACAGTAAAATGGGTACCTGGTTGTTAAAGAATTTGGCGGGTCGTATTCCTGGGAAAATTAGGATTAACGACTTGCCTGAAACGCTATGCGTGCTAGTGACTGTACAAGAATGTAACAACTCTTGTTTATATAAATAAATACAAAACGTACAGGAATAATACAAAATGTACAGTAATAATACAAAATGTACTGGAATGCAATACTGTACATAAAAAATTAATGTGCTGTAGGTAGACTGCCTACTAGCGGTTGACATTTTTTTGCAAGACACATATTCTACCGGAGTTTTTATTCAGACCAGCCTCCTTGTAGCTACAGCATGACAGGAATACAATAACAAAAGTTAATTTATTAAATAAATAAAATCTGCCGGGCAGTGTTTGTGTGATCAGCTGTGTAAACACTGGAGTGTGAAGGGTGTGTAAGAGGTCTGTGCCTGCCCCCCACACATCCCCAGGCTTCTGTGCCCCACACCTGCCCCATCACCCTAGTCCCCCTAGCCACATAACGCCCGCCTCACCCTTAAATATGAGGTTCCTCTGGAGAGCCATGACGACCGCCCTCAGCCACCTAGCGGACTCCCTCGACACTATTCCCCCTAAACATTGACATCACTATCTCATCTAATACAACATAATTGACACATATTCTGTATATACATTATTGACAATAAATAATGATTTAAACAGCATAAATTATTAGAAGGATACGGTCATTGCATAAAGAGTTATTTAGAAAGTTGTTGGTTTCGTACAAGAATTATCATATAATACAATATACATTACTCTTTTTTTTAACTAACTTATTAAGACTGTAACGCTTAGTGTAATGAATTTTTGGGTTTGGTCTTTGAACCCATTATGGGCCTCTGTAACCCATTTTACTTCCGCCCGCAGGATGGGTTTGGGGTGCATAATAAATGAACTACAACAATCTTACAACATTAACATACAATTAATCATATATATATATATTCTGTATATTTCAAGTTTAGAAGCCATTTTACACATCCAGACTAGACAATATGTCACATATTCCCAGTATATAGAATGAACCAAGATTCGAACCGGTTGGTGTACGAAATTAATTGCTGTAACGAAATGAGCTGCGTCTTAACAAACGAATTAGAGCCCAGTCAGGTACAGGTACTGTAGTTGTGTTTACCTGGGTGTACCTCTCTCTCTCTCTAGTGGCCTCGACGAGGACACGAAGCCGGCGGCTTGTCGAGGACCCCCTCTCATTTGTGCTTATGATTTTATCGAGCTGTATTTTCAAATTCAGCGGTATTTTGGCCCTTAGGCTTCGGCGGGTAGGCGGTTCCTTTCGCCGGGGACAGGAAGCCAGGGTGTATTCATACACGTTAGGGTTATATCGAGGTCACCCGCTCCCCAAGGGGTCGAATTACTGACCCCGGCCCAGGGGTCAACCCCATAACAAGCTGACTAATTCCTGAGTACCTACTTACTACTAGGTGAACAGGTGCATTAGATGAAAGAAAATGTGCCCAACCATTACTGCCCTGCCAGAGATTCGAACCCGGAATTCTTGATTGTGCGTCGACTACGAACCAGACTGTGTTACCGAGACCCTCGACCTCTAAGAGGCTCTTTTATCAAATCAAATCAAATCAAATGTTTATTCAGGTAAAAGTACATACTATACATACAAGATGAGTTACAAATGTAATGTTGGATTTCTAGATAAAGCTAGTCCATCCTATGCCTAAAGCCACTAATACGCACAGCGTTTCGGGCAAACCCGAGTAACTTTATAACCCCGAACTTTATAACCCTGTGGGTGAAAAAGCATCTCCTGTTCTCAGTCCTACATTGTTGAGCTCGAGACCATTGTTCCTCATTTGTTACATCTGACCTTTTAAAGACATTGTCTGGATCAACGTCCCCCCAAATTGTTCAGTATTTGGACCGTTTTAGTGAGGTCAGCCCTATCATTGTAGTGTTGGCCTCAACATCATTTTCACTTCCCACTTTACCATAAATCTTGGTATTGTCTGCAAATTTGATATGGTTTGTAATACAGGTACAGTATTCTCATTTATACTGTATTGGTACAGTATTCTCATCTATACTATATACTGTATCTGTCATTGATGTATATGACAAAAAGTGGTGGCCCCAAGATGGACTCCTGTGGTACCTCACTCACCACAATTCTCCTGTCAGATTCCTTCCCATTTAGCACGACCCTTTGTTTTCTTTGTTTTAACCATTATTTTATCCATTCTAGTATCCTTCAATTTATTCCATGTGCCTGTAGTTTCCTTGCTAGTCTTACGTGTGGTACCTTCTCAAGAGCTTTAGCAAAGTCCATGTAAACTTCATCGACTGGAAGTCCTGTGGTGCTACATAGCCTTCCCATCTTGGTGCTGTCTTTTGATAATTACTTAGTTGCCAGAAGTCCTTTGTCTGAATACCCGGTTACTATTTCCAGAAATGTGAGCAAGTTTGTAAGGCAGGATCTATTTTTAACAAACCCAGCGAAGATGAAGCGTCAGCAGAGGTGGACAATTCCTTAAGTATGGAGATATATCCTGACCTCGTCAGGGCCACTAGTATTGGTGGCCCTCTGGTAAATATATGTGGCAAAGGCAGAGATGCCTATCAGAGTGGGTCTCTCTTTTATTTGTTTAATAATAATAAATTATTATCATTATATATATAATGTATATATATCAATATATATATATCATTATATATATAATAACTATAATGCCAATCCTGATCTCAAATGCTTCATAGAAGGTTGTAACAGAACCCATGAGCACCACACCAGAAATAAATACAGTTTTGATATTCCTAGAGTACGACTTAATCAAACCAGAAATGCTCTACAAATCAAGGGGCCCAGAATGTGGAATGACCTTCCCAACCATGTTAAAGACTGTACCTCTCTCAACCAGTTTAAGTTAAAAATGAAGCTATACCTAATAAATTCCCTGTAACCTACCTTACCCCTCTGTTGTCAACCCATGTATGTTTTTTTTTTTTTTTTTTTTTTTTTCAATTCAACGCTGTTTGAATGTAATTTTCTGTAATAATTTGTAATTGTATTTGTGCTGCTTTTTCAACAATGTTCCCCCCTCTTTTACCTCTATTTTTATTTGTACTCAACACATTTTATTCTTTTTACCCATTAGTTTTAAGCTTTAGTCATTAGTGTTTTTTCCTGCCCGAAACGCTTTGCGTAATAGTGGCTTTAGGCATTGTATGTACTAGCTCTATCTATAAAGCCAACAAACTTTGTAAAATCTCTTTATGTATGTACCTTTACCTAAATAAAAATTATTATTATTATTATTATTATTATATGTTTAGGCAAGAGAGCATGTATAAAAGTGAAACATATCAGTAGAGGATTCAAGTGACAAGTACAGTGCTTAAAGTCACCATTATGCAGAACATTTAAGGCATAACTTAAAAATTAAGTAAACCATATATGTGCAAGCTTAATAGGGAAATTCCTAAAACTACATAAAACTCTATACCACTTATGAGTTTATGGAAAGAAATAGAATTAGAAAATGATTGACAATTATTACAGAATATTTGGAAACTAAACTTTGCAATCAGTACAAGTACATTGCCTAAAGCCACTGAAACACTGTTTTGGCCATAATTTGGAAAAAAAGATGGTACAATATGCAATATAGATGCTTAATGGAGAAACTTACAACTAAATGAGAACAGAATCATTAATTAATTGAAGTAGAGATATAGAAATAAAATGACAATTACATGATGATGACTGCCCGAAACGCTTTGCATAATAGTGGCTTTAGGCATTGTAGGTACTAGCTCTATCTATAAATCCATCAACGTTTTGTATCTCGCCTTGTATGTATGTACTTTACCTGAATAAATATTTGTATTTGTATTTTTTTAATTGCAAAAATTGCCACAGAACAAGTCACACAGACTGTTCTTGGGTGTGCAGGCCTCGGTACGAGTGAGCAACCAAGGGTGACATACGCAGCATAAGCCAACACCACAACTGTTCAACATGTGTCCACAGCATCATTTAAAAAGGAAAAAATATATAAGTAACTGCTATTACTTTTTAATAGTATTATAGAACATCCTGACTGTAATAAAGACTGTGTACAATGTTCAGATATCAGTGAACACAGTGCTGTTGATGATGTTCACGACGTGATGCAGACGACCACGGCACACTGCCATTGTTTGATGCAACTATGCGTCGTGAATCTCATTCTCCTTTAGAAAATAAACTTTTGCAAAATGATTCATATTCTGAATTTGCTGACCAGGATGCTGATAATAGCAACATTGTTCCTAGAGTAGCAATAAGAGTGTTATATTGGAAGCACTGTGTCAAATCAGGTGTTGTTGTGAGTAACTTTCACCTGCTTTTTAGCTAGAAGAGATTCCTACCAAAGAAGTGGGTCTCATTTTTTATTTGTAATACAATACTGTACATTAACATTCATTACTGACCTCAATACCATACTATGCTCATTCTGTCCCTGGCATATCTTTTTAATCATTGGTTAATCTTTTATATTAATCTGTTTTGCAGAAACCACTACTGCCACCATCAACATTTATATCTGAAAATATTGAGCCTTTCTGTCAAAGAAAAACTGATAGCTGTTGAAAAATGTACCATAAAGATGGTATTACATTTATTTCTTCATCAGTGCATATAAGAGAAAAGCAACTACCAGTTATTATTTCCTGCCCTTAAATGTTTGTGTAGTTGCCCATGGAAATAATGCCTTTATCCAAAGCAAATTATTATAACCTGCTGACAACCAAAGTGACTACTTAAGAGTACCACCTAGTGACTAAGTCTACCTAGAGGACATAAATGCCCTTTTCTACTTATGGGCTTCATGATGTTTAGTGAAAATAGTACAGTATATTGATAGCAGGCAGTCATCCTTTGTACTGTACATGTGTTTGGGAATTCCCCCGTGTGACTTATTTTCAAAATAACGTGCGTAGTATATGAAGTCATTAGAGAACGAATAATAAGAGCCCCAATGTGATTTCTTGACTTCCTTTGCACATAGCAACAAAACTACATTCCTTTCCCTTCAATCAACAAAGGGTGTTGACTCACCATCCTAGAATGTGTGTGCGCGCGTGCACATACTGTAGACTCCTTTGTAAAGCAAAGTCTAATCTCCTGTATTTTTCATGTCAAATGCCAGCTAAAAGACAACCAACAGCATTTCACCCAGTTCAGTGTATGCCTAACACATTTTAAGCTGAATATTCAAATTCCAGACAGTTATTAAGTTTTAAAATAAAATAGGGTTCCTACCCTCGTCATATATTTGAAAAAGAAAACAAGTAATTCGTAGAGTGAGCATAACTCTCCTCGAGTGTAAGAAAGATTCAGTGCTTGTTAATTCTGCCACCAAACCCCATTTATGGATGTAAAAACACTTTACACACACCCCATCCTCGGGTATTGTTTATTTCATGCAGCTTCCGTCCCCAAAGACATTAAATTTTAACTTGTGTTCATTCAAAATGTGTGTTTTCTCCAATATACAGTTTTATTATTATATATATAAATGTAACCTCGATTTAGCGAACTGTGTGTGAAACAAATTGCATCAGCTGTTTCTTTTATTGTTGCTTTCATCTACAAAAATCATTAATAACACGACAGTAGACATATTAAGAGTTGCCATTTATGTCCTAATAATTCCCACACTGTGGACTGATTTTGCAGAGCAAAGTTTTAATTTCAACCTGTCATATGAAGGACAGCTACGAAGAGAACCTGTCTGTAAAGAGATTTAACCATATCTAGCATATTCCCCATGTTCTAGCCTCGAAAATTCATTTTCAAAGAATAAAGGGTTCATATTTTATTGAACAAAAACCTCTGGAACTGGAAATAACCATAGAATTTTATGTTGGCAATTATTTGTAGTTCGTGGGTGAAGTATTTACGGAGTTGATCAGTGAAGCACTTTTTGAGACACTGTTCAAACATTTCTCAAGACAGTGCTTAGCTGATGGCCTCTGTCCTCACTGAGTCACAACTCTGTAAATGCTTCACCCACTTCCTTCAAAAATACAATTGCCAACAGAGCCTAACCTAACAAGCTGAATGGCATTTTTAGACATAGTATGCAAGGCCATCATCTTACATAGCCTACTAGGCAGGAAGATCGGCATTTCTGGCAGTTTGCAATACTAAACCTAGTAGGTAACTGCCTGTGAAGCTTAAGTACACAGATACCAATCTATTTATATATGATAATTGTCCATCTTTGTATTTTGCATTAATAGTATGTCACACAGAACACATTGGGGAAGATTGAAGTGTTGAGCAATTTTATAGGCTTAATTTACTCAGTTCAGAAGGAGCAATGGATCTTGAACAATCTACCTCTAGCGATGACGTTTTTATTAAAGTGGAGACCAATCATGAATGCCTGGATTCAGAATCTCTTTTGGACGAGGATGTTCCCGATAGCCACAGAGAACGTTTTCTAAATAGCATTAATATAATGCTGAAAAAAGGTGGAGCTGGAAGTCGCACAATTTTCACAGAAGAAAAACTAGCCATGTACATCAAGGAAGTGGACGAGGCTAAAAAGAAATCTGGCACTAAAACATCTCGAGAGTATGATCTTCTCTCGAGATATGATACAGTAACACGTTTTGGGGAACGTGTATTGATTTCTGTTGATGGCAAACAAAAACATAAGCATGGAAAGAAAAGCCAACAGCAGGCGAGTGCCTCTTCTACAAACACTGCACCTCACACCTCTCGAAGATTCATACATATGGGCCAGTTATTTGACACCATTTATGATGCACATCTTGCTGTTGGCCACGGAGGTGAGAAACGGACTTACATAGAAGTTCGAAAGACGGTGGCTAATGTAACACAGACAGAGATTAAATTGTTTATCTCGTTCTGTAACACTTGTAATTCAAAGTGTGTTCCCCATCGGAAAAAAACAGTTGTAGACCCTATTGTGTCTGAGGCATTTGGTGAGAGGGGTCAGATTGACCTGGTAAACATGCAGAAAGAGGGAAATGATAGCCCCTACAAATTTATCCTGCATTACCAGGACCATTTCACTAAGTTTTCAATTCTACGTCCCCTTAGAACAAAGCAAGCCATTGAGGTGGCAAGGCATCTTTTGGAGATATTCACACTTATTGGTGCTCCTCAGAGGCTACAGAGTGACAGCGGGCACGAGTTTGTAGCAGAGATAATCCAACAACTTCAGTATGAACTGTGGCCCAACCTTGTTCTGATTAACAGTCAACCCCACCACTCACAGAGCCAGGAGAGTATAGAAAGAGCAAACGGTGATATCATTCAACTCTTGCGAGGTTGGATGACAGACAATAGGACAAAAGATTGGTCATTGGGGCTTCCTTTTGTACAATTAAGTAAAAACACTGCCTGTAATTATGGTACTGGATTATCACCCTACAAAGCTGTGTTTGGTATAGATCCACAAATTGGGATGCAGATGCAGCTTTCAACTCAAATGCACAGACTGTTATGCAGCGGGTTGTTATATAAGGAAGATGTCGAGTCACTTCAACACAATGCATCTGAATCCTCAACCGAGATGGATGATCCATTAAGATTAGAGATAAAGACAGAGGAGGAGATGCTTATCAGAGAGGTGGGTCTTTTATTTGTCTTGTAATATATTTATTCATGTAAAAAAAGATAATAGGTTGTTAAAGTACATAGGCTGGTGGGTGAGTAGTAGTATTCTTTCAAAGCTATTAGCGCACACTGCAATTCAGGCAGGTCCTTACTCTAACAAATGGGCATAATGATAGGTACATTATAACAGAATATAAATTCACCTAATAACTATCTCGGCATACATTGATAAAATAAATTAGTGAAATTGAATTTCTACATTATAATATAATGGGGAAGTGAGTAGCACATGATACCTTTTGAGTTAATAACACAACATGGGATACTGTGAAGATGAAATTAGGTACTTCGTAGTTCTACTTTTGAAAAAAGTATAGTTTGAAAACTTTTTTTCATTATTATTATTTATTAGAGAATGAGTTCCATATTGGGCTCCTGTATTTGCATGGCATGTTTGCATAGATTTAGTCTGACTGGGAATGCCAGATATATATTTCTTGTATGATACCTATGGGTTCTATTATATCAAGGAAGAGTTGCAAAACAGGATTAAAATTTAGGAATAGTTTTTTTTGTGAGTGTGCATAACATAAGTGAATGTGTAGTGTATGTTCAGTATGTTTAGGGATCTAAATAGAGGGGCTGTGTGTTGCCTGAAGATAGAATTTGGTATAGTTCTGACAGCTAATTTTTGATGGGGGATGTTAGGCTTAAGGTAGTGTTCAGGGGTTGAACCCCATGCACAGATACTTTAAGTTAGATTGGGATAGATTGGTGAGTACAGTAGTATGGCATGAGAAGATCAGAGTGGGGAACATAATGACTTTCGAAAGAATACAAACAGTTTTAGAGATTTTTTGTTATTTTGGCTATGTGCTGTATGTGAGTATTGGTGTCTGTTTTTTCTATGTACTGTATAGGCCAAGGAACTTTCCTTCATTTTTACTATTAATGTTGACATTGTCTATCTGAAGGTCTGTGTGGTTCAACAATTTGTTTCCAAATAAAATCTAGTACAGGTAGGTCATATCAAAGTTTAGTGTAAGTTTGTTGGTTGACATCCATTGGTGGACTTTTCTTAACTCTTTACAATGTTATTGAGTATTTGGTTGAGGTTTGAACAGATGAAGGTAGTATCGTCGACAAATAGTATGGGGGTTAAAAGTATTTGGAGACATTTGACAAGTCATTAATGTACAGTGTTTAAGAAATAGAAGAGGTTCAAGGATGCTGCCTTTGTGGCACACACACATTTAATGGTAGAATGGGAGAGGCTAGTTCATTGATGACTATGTGTTGGTGTCTGTTGTTGAGATGGTTGGATATAGTTCTAAGCAAGGCCTTGAATTCCATAATGAAGAAGTTTAAGTAAAAGGTTATTATAATTTACGATATCAAATGCCTTTATTAGGTCAATGAAGAAGGCCAAATAGGAACTTATTTTTGTCAAGAGCATTGTAGATGAAATTAAGCAGGTTAATAATGGCATTATTGGTACTAGTATGGGATCTAAAGCCAAACTGGCTGGGACTTGGTGAATTTTACAAGGTAGGAGCAGAGCTGTTTGTAAATAATCTTTTCAGATATTTTGGGTAATATTAGTAGATTTGATATTTGTCTGTAATTGTTTATCAGTGGTATCACCCCTTTTAATGAACTACTATACTACTACTGTTATTTTTTAGTACTTCGGGGAAAAAGTTTGACATTTAGGAATTTGTTGAAAAGTAGAGTGGCTGGTAAAAGGACATGAGTAACAGTTTTGTGCATCATAGTTGGTATTACAAAAATGTCCCTAGTTTAAGTTTTTAGCAAGTAAGTTACAGAGGTAATGTCTGTCGAGCTGATAGGCAATGGAAGCGCTGGGATAGCTACCGGTGAGAGATGTAGCACCATTTGTCTGGGGTCTCTGGAATATTTCTAGCTAGGCTTTTGCCAATTGATGAAACGAAGCTGTTAAATTTGGTTGCAGTTTCTAAATCTGTTGTCAGAGAATTTCCATCTTTGAAGAATTTAATCTGTTAGCAAGTTGTTTAGACCCTAGGATATTTGAGATAGTTTTCCATGTGCTTTTCATGCTTCTATTTTTGCTTATTTAAATCTGTTTTTAAAATAGGATAGTTTAATTCTTATTATATACGAGTGTTGAGTATCTTTTTAATGTTCGCTATTGACCACCCATTCACACATTACTCTCTTTCTGACTAACATAAGTCATTTGCTGATGCGCTTTCCAACGCCATTTTTTATCTATTTATAATAATTGCTTAATAATTTTTTTATTAATTCATTTTGTAGACACCACCGTCACCAACATTGAAGGCGGAGCCACGTTCTCCAGCATTTCAGCTAGATATGATGCCTACCGAAGAGGTGGGTATTTTTTGTATAGTACAGTACAGTACTGTACTAGTATTTGTTACCGACTGTCATCCAAGAGTACACGCTTTCCAGCCATAACGTATAAAATATTAATTTGCTAATGTGCTTTCCAAGGCCATTTTATATTTTTGTTTTATCATTAACATGGATGTTGGAAATAACTGAGTCGGTTTCACTTGCACTACAGCTGGAGTATAGTATATGTCTATGGAAGAAGTGGGTCATTTATTTTTTAGTTTTTAGTTTAGTTGTAATAACGTAAGTTACTGACATCCATACCACACTTCACCCTTTTTGATCATTAGATAATAAAATCATTCATTTGCTGTTGCACTTTCCAAGGCCATTTCTTTTTAATCATTGCTTAATCTTTTTCTTTATAATTTATTTTGCAGAAACCATCACTGCCACCATCAACATTTATATCCAACAATGCAGAGACACATCAAGTTGATGAGCAGCTGCCATCATCATCATGGCCAGTGCCACACACACTACTGTCACCATTGGTGGTGATAACTGAGAACGTTGAGGAAATCAAAATGGAGCAGACATTTCAGGAACTGCAACAGGATGACAGTATGCTTACAGGCAATCATACCATTTTCGGAAGCGTCGGGCCCAGGAGCTAACGAATAACTCGCTTTTCCAAATGGGAAGGCCCAAGTCTTCAGAAAAAAAATTACTTTCCCCTAAGTGGTGTACAATATTTTGATTAATTTGTTCCCTGAATACTTGTTATGTTTTCATTTTGCATTACTGTATTTTTAATAAAATAACTTAGTTGAATTGATGTACAAATATATATACAGTATATACAATACTGTATTCATGGAACAGAAAATTAATTTCAAAAATTTTATTAATAAAATTAAACAGAAAATACAGTACTGTATGTGTATTAATGAGTCAAATAAAAAAAATAGTTGACCAAACTGCACACTAGAAATTGACGAGACGACGACGTTTCGGTCCACCCTGGACCATTATAAAGTTGATTGTGGTCCAGGCCTGACCTAAATGTTGTTGTCTCTTCAATTTCTAGTGTGTGGTTTAGTCAACATTTTTCAGCCACATTATTGTGACTTTTCATCTGAATAATCTACAGTATTAATTGGGACATACCTAGAGGCTAGTGTCATAGTCAGTGGCTGCATCAAATCATTTGACACCTCAACCACTACGAAAGGGAAGGAAAGCAAAAAAGTTCAGTACTGCATGAACAAATCCACAAGGGCCGTGATGAGTGTTCGAACCTACGCATGGGATCTTGTGCATAGGATTGAACCCTTATTACGGCCCTTGTAGATTTGTTCATTTGATATATCACGTTCTTGTGATTTCTGTATGTATATATTGCATCTTTGTACTATTAATTTATATATTCTCATCATTCTAACTTTGTGATAAATATTGTCTTTACAATAAATCGTCTTTGTAAATCATGCTAAATGTCACTAACTTTATACCTAAACTATAATTTTACATAAGAATGAAGGTAACTGCAGAAAGCCTACTGGCCCACACAAGGTAGCTCCTATTTATATCCACCAAATCTCATTCATGAATACATGTCTAACTTATGCTTGAAACAATCAAGGGATTCTACATTTAGATTGTCATACATTTGTTTAGTCTTGCTATCATTGAAATAATTGGTATAAGGTGTTACCAATTAAGTTTCTGATTCTGATAATGACAGTATCTATTTTGATACAATCTACAGGAGCCGTGATAAGGATTTGAACCTATGCGCTGGGTGTTCCCAGATGCACGCTCTAGTCAACTACGCCACAACATGGTCAAAAGAATTGCTACCTGGAGTACTTCTACACCCTCGAGGATTCCTGAGGCTTCCACTGAAGCTGAACTGGGGTTTCACAATTCCCCTTATGCACTCTGGCTCTGTTGTTCAGTAATTCTACCTCTGATTGCCCCTCTTTCAATACACAGAGAAATCACATTTTCTGTGTGGCAGTCAATATGAGCAACATCGTCACTGTCCTGTTCCTCCTCAATCTCCAGCCGATTGTTAGTGTGAAGGGGGCTTGGTGAATGACTGTCAGTGTGTGATGCTCAATAGGACAGCATTTCATCTCTTCTTTTTTGAGCCTTGTGCTCCTGCAGCCTACTTCTGCTGGACACATTTTTCTGTTTACTTATTTCTGGATGAGGTTTCCTGATGACTTTGTTCCAGTCTTGAATATTCTTTTGTTTGACTACTTTTGTTGTGATGGAGGGTGAATTGAGACCACTCTCTCGCCCGTTGAACTAGAGTGCCTGACGTGTTCAATGTTGTTTTAGATTTAGCTACTCGGAACAAAATGTCCATGTAGCACGTTCTATAGTGAGCCCCGTAAGACGTGTTCAAGCAAGGGGAAGCTTTTATACCAAACCCTGTCTTCATTATTGAACCCAATCACGATAGACTGACAGTTCCTAAGGTAACGATTGCGGGATGTATATCCAGAATGTACCCGCAGGACAGCCCAGTATTGTGAGGTTCCTTGTACAGTACTCTAATTCTGGCTCTAGGCAAAATATAATACAGGTAATAATAAATAAATAAATAAATAAATATTTATTCATGTAAAAGTACATACATTCAAAAATGAGTTCGACAAAATGTTGGATTTCTAGATAGAGCTAGTACATACTATCCCTATATCAAGTCTGCTGTCTTATGCCTTTCTTTGACATGACGTATACTGTACTCGTACATTACATTGCACTTCTCTTCCCCCATCTTTCTTCATGTTATGAGTCCCGCAACCGTTTTCATGCCTTAAACCCTGGCAACATCACCAGCTTCTCGTCTTCTGCTCCTCTGTGATCTCACACTAATGGTGTATCTAATGGTTTAGCAACTGTTATCTCTACCCTGTCTTCTACTGCCCATTGTCTTAGTGTAACTACTCCACCTTTTCTGTCTTCTCTGTTCGTTGTGACCTTCAACTGTAGTCCCCATTTTCTTCTCTGCCTTCCTCTGTCCTTTGACACTCCCTGACAACTCTCCATCTAGGCCAATATCCATCGATCTCCCAGACATGCTTGTTTCTGCTCTCGTTTTCCCTTGCCACCTGAGACTGTAGAAGCTGTTGCACAGTACATAGCTACTGGCACGCATGTGTCAGTACCCCAGCTCTCCACTTCCAACTCTGTCCCTGCATCCTGCAAATGGAAAATTTCTTGTGTGGTGACTGATTCTGAATTAGTGTTAATATGAGAAAAGTCAAGGGAATATAATTATCCAAGAACATGTATAATAAATGAATAATCTCTAAGTCATTTTTAATTATATTTAATTCTGATTTACCTGAGATCTTGGATCCATTTCTTGACATGAAAGCTAGAATGGAGAGCACTCTGAAGGTTACTTGATAGTTGACTATGGTTTACATGGTTGTAGTTTCTTGGCTGTTGGCAAGGGACAAGTTCCAATTTATCTTTTTTCTTAGCTGTTGGCAAGAGACAAGTTCCATTTTCCTATTCGTTACACCCGCATCTCCTCTCATCTCAGAGATGGAGTCAGGCTGACAATGCTATGGAAAATTGGGACCCCTAACTCTTATTTTATTATTGTTATAAAATCCCAGTGCTGTCCTGGATCCAGAGCTTGCTTGCTGCTTTCCCTGACCGCCCCTTCCTGGTTCCTTATTCCTCACCGGACCATGTTTGTTCACCTGTGCCTCTTCCCACTGCCCTCTTGACTATACCGTCTTTGCCTAGACTAACCTATGCCACCCAACCCAGATTTCACTGATCTTCCTGCTGATCCTTCATAATTTACTGTTCTTTGCCTTAGTTTAACTCTCTTTACTGTTTTATCTGTTCTTGGCTGTGTATATTCTTTAATGGAATATTCATGGTTTTTATGCCAATAACTCCAACTTCAGATCTTAGAGTTGTATGTATGTTCTGTATGTCTCCAGGAGCTGATGCTTGGGGCTTATCCTGGTTACTACCACGGTTACTACTTTCTCTCTCTTCTCCAGCTTTTGTTGGGACCCCTAACTCTACTGTTCTCTTTGTCTGAAATGATATTCACTTTGTCCTACCTACCTTGTATCTACCTTGTGTAGCTTCCAGGAATCAATGACCCTGCAGCCAGGCTTCCCGGTTGGTCGTCTGCTTTTTCAGTCATGCATTCATTCCTCTACCACCTGTATTTTTGTGAGTAAATGGTACAGAGTCTGTTACATTTATCTCCCCACACAATCCACTTTGTATTTTTTACCTTAAACACCTGTTGGACTCATTATTGAAGCTTGTGCTCCTGTTGGGAGATTTTTAACTGTCAGCATGCCCACTGGGGCGATGACCTTACAATACCCGAGGCTGCCTTCTGGAACCTTTCATCCTTTCTTCTTCAAGATCAAATCAAAATCAAAATGTTTATTCTTTGTTATCTATCCTGAATTCTGGCTAGTCTATTCATATATTGACTCAGGTACTCTCGCCCTTTCCTGTCTTGAGCTTTCTCTCTGCTCCTCTTCTATTTATATGAATGAAGAAAAGGACCTTGGAGTCAAAATCTACCACTCGCCAAAAGTTACAAAACAGATGTAAGCAATAGTCAGAAAAGCTAACCAAACCCTTGGAATAATCAAGTGTACTTTTAACTTTTAAGTAAAAGAAGATAGTGATTCAATTGTATAAATCTCTGGTGTGCCCCATTTGGATTACTGTATCCAAGCATGGAGACCTCATCATGAAGGACATAGCTGCTCTGGAGAAAGTGCAACACCAGGCAAAAAAAAAAATCCAGAGTCAAGTCAACTCTCGTACGAGGAACAGTTGAGTGCCACAGGACAAACAACACTGCAAATCAGGCATGATAGGTCAGATCTAAATTAAAACTTTTAAAATACTGAACAATTTGGAGGATGTTCATCAAAAAAAAATTCTCAAAAGGTTAGATGTAACAAACAAGGAGCAACGGTTTCAGGCTCAACAAGCCACAATGTAGGACTGAGAACATGTTTTTTTCACCTACAGGGTTATTAACCCGTGGAATCACCTACCTGCTGAAGCCGTAAATGCCAAAAAAATTAATTCATTAACTTTTAAAGTACAGCTGGAAAGATCATCAAAGCAAATGGGGGACCTTAATAAAATTAGGATTACAATAAGCGTCCCTTATCAAAATTATGCATATGCATTTTACAAGAATGTAAGAATGCTTGTATATACAGTATATAGAAAAAAATATTTATCCATGACTGGGAAGGTTGTGGTGGGGGGGAACTTGGAGGGATTAAGGGGGGACTGGGAAAGTTGTGGTGGGGGAACTAGGAGGGATTAAGGGGGGACTGGGAAAGTTGTGGTGGGGGAACGTGGAGAAATTAAGAGGGGACTGGGAAGGTTGTGGTGGGGGATTAAGGGAGGGGATTGGGAAGGTTGTGGTGAGAGATTAAGGGAGGGGATTGGGAAGGTTGTGGAAGGATTAAGGGGGGACGTGGAGGGATTGGGAAGGTTGTGATGGGGGAACTTGGAGGGACTAGGAAGGTTGTGGTGGGGGAACTTGGAGGAATTAAAGGGGGGGGGGAATTGGAGGAATTGACTGGGAAGATTGTATTGGGGGAACGTGGAGGGATTAAGGGGGAACAGGGAAGGTTGTGGTGGGGAAACTTGAAGGGATAAAGGGGGGACTGGTAAGATTGTGGTGGGGGAACTTGAAGGGATAAAGGGGGGGGACTGGGAAGGTTGTGGTGGGGGAACTTGAAGGGATTAAGGGGGGACTGGGAAGGTTGTGGTGGGGGAACTAGAAGGGATTAAGGGGGGACTGGGAAGGCTGTGGTGGGGGAACTTGAAGGGATTAAGGGGGATTGGGAAGGTTGTGGTGGGGGGAACTTGGAGGGATTAAGGGGGGATTGGGAAGGTTGTGGTGGGGGGAACTTGGAGGGATTAAGGGGGGGACTGGGAAGGTTGTGGTGGGGGAACTTGGAGGGATTAAGGGGGGGGACTGGGAAGGTTGTGGTGGGGGAACTTGAAGGGATAAAAGGGGGGGGGACTGGGAAGGTTGTGGTGGGGGAACTTGGATTGATTAAGGGGGGGGACTGGGAAGGTTGTGGTGGGGGAACTTGGATTGATTAAGGGGGGGGAACTGGGAAGGTTGTGGTGGGAGAACTAGAAGGGATTAAGGGGGGACTGGGAAGGCTGTGATGGGGGAATTTGGAGGGATTAAGGGGGACTGGGAAGGTTGTGGTGGGGGAACGTGGAGGTATTAAGGGGGGCTGGGAAGGTTGTGGTGGGGGAACGTGAAGGAATTAAGGGAGGATTGGAAACGTTGTGGGGGGGGGGACTTGGAGGGATTAAGGGGGGACTGGGAACGTTGTGGTGGGGGAACTTTGAGGGATTAAGGGGGGGACTGGGAAGGGTTGTGGTGGGGGAACTTGGAGGGATTAAGAGGGGAGAACTTGGAGGGATTAAGAGGGGGGAACTTGGAGGGATTAAGAGGGGGAAACTTGGAGGGATTAAGAGGGGGAAATTTGGAGAGATTAAGGGGAGACTGAGAAGGTTGTGGTGGGGGAACTTGAAGGGATTAAGAGGGGGAACTTGGAGGGATTAAGGGGGGACTGAGAAGGTTGTGGTGGGGGAACTTGAAGGGATTAAGGGGGACCGGGAAGGTTGTGGTGGGGGAACTTGAAGGGATTAAGGGGGGCCGGGAAGGTTGTGGTGGGGGAACTTGGAAGAATTAAGGGGGGGACTGGGAAGGTTGTATTGGGGAACTTTGAGGGATTAAGAGGGGGGACTAGGAATGGTTGTGGTGGAGGAACTGTGAGGTGTAGTTGGAGGAGCACAGCAAGGGTTATTGTGTGGGTTCCGGGGGTGTGTGAGGGGGGGTCCGAGGAGGGTTTGTGGGGTCGTGGAGTGTTTTTGGGGGTCAGGGAGGGGGTGGTGGAGGGTGTGTGAGGGGTCCGGAAGGGGTGATGGGGGGGATCCAGGAGGATATGTGAGGGGGTGCTGGAGGGGGTCGAGGGGTGGGAGTCTCAGTGAGTGTCCAGCAGCGGGTGGAGATGCGCACGCCGGAGACGCCACAATGAAGACTCCAAAAACTCCGGATAAACTCAGCTCCTCTCAATTCTCCAAGGTAATGGTGCAATATTGATGTGTTATGAGGCCATGGTGGGGGAGGAGGGACGGGAGATAGCCGTCTAATGGACAGTTACAGCAACCATCACCGTCTAGTTAACCCACATTGGAAACATTGTTTACATCCTGGCTAGTTACACCATTGGTGGTAGTTAGTCCAATGGGGTTAAGTGGAGGTTGGAAAGGTGGTTATTATGCCCTAATAAAAGGTTAGATGGTCAATGGGAATTGGTAGACAGGTGGTTGTCATTTATAACATGTTTGTCCTGGCTGGGTCGGGCTTGGGGTCTCGGGCCCAAGCTGGGAGTTGTAGCAAAATTAGTTCTCGTATCTTTTTAGTCTCTCAAGTAAAGTCTTTACCAGGTTGTCTACAGTCATTGGGTTCGGCAAGGGGTTCGTTACTCGTCTTGAGTGAATGTACTGATACAGGGGAAGTTTTGTCCATTGCTGGACAGGAAGTGCATTTGGCCTATTGTGATCTCCCAGGGGAGGCCTAGACGAAGAATTGTCCGTTCCCAAGTAGGGAACACAAATATTGCCTCCTGTGGCATTGCTAATTATTTTTAACCTATTGTAAGAACATTAAGACTAAAGGTAACTGCAGAGGGCCTATTGGCCCATACGAGGCAGCTCCTATTTATAACCACCCACTCCCACTCTCTTATTCTATTCTAATGGAACCTATTGGGAAATAATTTGAATTCTGTAGTGTGAGAGGACCGAAACATCTTCATTTTCTGGTGTGAGGTTTGGCCACGTTGTCGACTGGTTGGTTTGTTCAGGGGTGTCTCGGTTATTGACTTGCAGCGATTGTCCACACACTTGTATGTTACTGGTTCTGTCTCGGATGCCTTGTATGCTGACCCTATTTCCTTGGTAACTTGTTCAAAGGCTCTCCTTTCTCAGGTCATCTGTAGTGTCACTGTCTTGCCATTCTATGGCCTGTCCTCGGGCTCATATTTGTAAATACAGCACTGTTAATGGGCTTGGCTGCTGTTTCTCTCATATCCTGGGCTGCTTTTTTTAGCATTCTATTAGGGTTCTGGCAGCCCATTATTTGGTCGTTGTTAGTTGAGGCCTTGTTTTGTGTGAATCATTTGTGGAGTTTTGACATTTTAAGTCTTCATTTTCTTTGAAATAAAGTAGTCTGTTAGGCTTCATTGAGTTTCTGGAGGCTTTTTCCAGTAGGGTGGTGTATTGTCACCTGCTTCCTGTGTGTGAGGGAGGCAAGGTTCTGGCTTTTGGTCCCAGTAGGCCAAATAGAATTTCTGCGACTGTGACCATTTAGTTTGGAGGCAATCTTGGGAAGACAACTTCAGGGAGCCACCAAAACTCCTCCAGAAAGAGGCGTTTTGATACATTCAGTATTTGAACAAATCCACATGGGCAGTGACGAGGATTCAAACCTGCATCCGGGAGCATCCCAGACACTGCCTTAATCGACCAAGCTACGACTCGGTCGATTAACGCAGTTCATTTGTTCATTTGATGCATCATGTTAGTGTGATTTGTGTGTAGTGTCATTCAGTATTTGTTTTTGTTTTTTGTCGAGAGCAAAACTGTAGCCATATCATGTACTACAGATGTCTAGATTTTTAGAGCATTACTAGTGATTGTTTTTTTTTTTTTTTTTTTTTTTTTTTTTTTTTCAGGGATATTCCTGCGTGGGCCCTAAGCCTCTGGCTGGCCCACTAAGTGTTGCTTGTTTCTGTTTTACATGGGTGGAGTATGAGTATTTATGACTCGTATGGTCGCTTCAGTAAGATTTTGCCATATGTGTTTAACAACTTCTTCTGCTCTGTTGAATCTAAGTTGAAATCTTAATGGGTTTGTAACTGTGCACTGTGTTAGATAATGTTCCAGTGGTCTGTCGGGCATTTCTCCACAGTGTTGACATTTCCTCTCATCTTCCGGAACCTGTAAGCCTATTTCCCATGCACATGGGTATCCAAGCCTGATGCGATGTAAGTGCACTTCTGTTGTTCTACTGCTCCCTTTCATCAAACTAAGTGGTTCGTAGTTGGTTGAATTCTTGTACCAACCCGCAGATCCTGATGTTGCAACTGCTGTGTTGTGGTCACTGTACATCTTTTGCATTGCTCTGTTTCTAATTACTTTCTTAATCTGTGATAGACTCTGTGGTATGTAAATGTCTACATTTCTCCTCTTAGTAGCAAGTTTTGCAGCTTCGTCTGCAATGTCATTCGAAGCTGCAAAACTTGCTAGTGATGTTACTAGCTAACTTAAACAGGTACCATAATTGGTCTGATGAATGGATGAATGATAGTTTTACTGCTCATTATTACATTTGAGAAATGCATTAAAAAAGGTGATCTCTTGTGTAAATGGTTAATTAAGTAAATGAAGAAAGGGATCTGGAAGAGATTTAAATTTTAATAAGCGGTGAACTTAGTCTGAAGATAAAGAAAAAAAGCTGGCAAATTGAATTTTAAATTTGTTAGCTTTTTTAAGAGCTTTAATCAGGTCAGTCACTTTAATATTCACAGACCTTGACCCATTTAGCAAGCTTTATTTCTTCCTTTCCAGTTGTAAAAAAGATCTCGACAGCTATCCGTGAATTTAATTTATTGTTTATCAGTACTGTATACTGTGCTGTATTGGCAACTGTGTGTGTTTTCTATAATAGTTCAAGAAGCCCAGTTATGAGTTAGCCTAATTCATCCTGTGTTGTCGGGGTTTCCTATCTGAGCATATCCTGTTTTGCTGCTGTCGGTACATTTTATGTGAGTGTAGTTAGTTTAAACTTGATCATGGCAGGTTTCTTTTGTCCCTTGCATTAATACAATATTATGAAATTACATACAGTATAAGTGCAGTAATTTACCATCTTTTTCCTTTCCTTACAGTTTTTGCCAGAGTATGTGGACTATACCGAGCGCATCCGTAAATCGCTCTACTATGGCAGATTGCCATCGACCGACCGTCCTTCGCTACCTTTTACTAGTCAGTGTTGTTGTATTTATATTTGAGTTTTATGATCAAATGCAATTGCTATATAATATTTCTATGAACATTGTGTATTCTTGCAATTAGTGATACCTTTCAGGTATCAATATTCTTGTAATTAGTGATACCTTTCAGGTATCAATATTTTATCGTCTTTTTTTATTCCCAAATTTACTGTGCTCTTGTAATATTGGGAGAACATTTCCCCTTTTTGGGTTCAAAAGTTCCGTTCTTGGGTATGATGGTGCAGAACCAGTAGGCATCAGAACAATTAGATCATCAGTAATTTTGCCTGATACCTGTACAGGACGGTATACAAAATGCTGTGCTCTGGTTTTCTGTTGTCGACAGGGAACTGTAAAGGTTTGTAGATTCCCATGTACTGTTACATGGGTACTATTATGTCTGTTTTGGAGAATATAGTAATTATTTGGCTGATTTTCAAATTATAATATGGTAATGGGAGAATGTAACATACGATTGTTACGTTGTCAAGTACATTAGATACAGTGTTTAGTGAGTTTCATATTTATTTAGTACTCTTGATTACAGTAGTCGGTTGATGGTATTGTCGTAGACGTTCAGACGGAGCTTGGATCGGAGCAGAGAGCTGGGTGAGGCCGGAGTCATGGAGCTCTATGCGGGAGAGCGTGGCGGCTCGATGGGGAATCGTTTGTTTAAACTCGATGGGGAATCGTCGGTGTTTAAACTCGATGGGGAGCAAGAGCGTTTTAGCTCGATGTGGTCGTAATCTGCTGTCTGCTCCGTGTCGAAGCTGTAGTGTCTTGGGGTCGATTAGAACTGTACATGCTGAGTGCTACATTCTTGAGGTTTAAGAGGTGTGGTAAATCCAAAGCGTCTGTACTGCAGTCATCTGAATCACTGTGGAAATTGTACTATTGGCTATTCACTTCCCGCTTGCTTATATTTGGTGACTACACCTCTGCTTCCTCAAACAGGATGGAAAGAATGTTACCTGTAATTAGGGAAAGGATTTGAGTAGTCATAATTAGTGCTAATAAGGTAATGAGAGAGTGGAGCGAGTATGAGGTTTACTCGCTACAAGAATATAATGGCATACAAGTTTTTTAAAATTTGACTTGAGGAATGGGATTGACAAAGAATAAGTGGAAAACTACATAGTTATATGACAAGTTGAAATGAAAGTTTCACAATAAAAATTTCATAAAATGGGGGGGGGGATTATGGAAAAGAATGGAATCTCCTTTTCTAATATTGCTCAGAATAATTTTTAAATTTTCTAAAGTTAAGTACAGTAGAAAAGTGGTGCCATAGGAAAGCTATTGACAATAGTTAAAACATTATAATTTTGGTTTTCATTTGAGTTTGTACAAGTTTGTTTACCGTTTGTGGAATCTCCTTTGATGGCCAGGGAATTTACAAAAGTGAAAAATTTTGGTACAGTATTTGATTAAATCGGTTTGACCACTGTAATAATAAACATCTTGTTCATACCAGGCTTGTCGGTTGAAAAGTTCAGCGAGCTGTGCCGCCAAGATGGACTTGAGAAATTGGATTTGCGCTACGCATCATCCATGTGTTACGATGCTTGTGTGACTCCATGCTCCCTCATTCTTGCTTTGGTTTACCTTGACCGCCTTCGCTCCCATAACCCGGAATATTTGACCAACACCTCACCTTCGCAAGTCTTCCTAGTTGCTATGGTAAGTCTTGATATACTAGCAAGCTTTTTGGCACTAGTTAAATCATGGTTTGTAAATACGTAGCTCTTTTTTATTGTGAACGTCACAATAAGTAAACGGGGCAGGTTGGAAGCACTTCCATGGGGGGGGGGGAAACCTGGCAACAACCCACTGAGACCACTGTTGTTATTTTTGCCAGAGAATTTTTTTTTTATTGAAAATCTAAATTTTGACCTGTGGGATGAATAACAGCAGAACCTGACTAGCGTACACTGCACAAACCAACATGTTTGATATTTGTGCAGAATTTTTTAATTTTGCAATATTGTAAAGGTTTAGGTTTAAATCAAGAGAAAACACTAAGCCATTACAACTATATAACACTTGGAAGGGATAAGGATTTAGGATAGGACAAAGGAAAGGAATGGTGCCCAACCACTTGCTGGTTGGGGATTAAATGCCGACCGGCAGAAGAAAGATCATAACAATGTCCAGGCTAAGTGGTTGGATTTGGGCAGTAGACTTCTAAAAAAAGAAGTCTTTAAACAAAAAATTAAATGAACAAGTAGACATTTTAAACTTGTCAATGTTTTCACTTAGGATTTGAACAGTCAGAGCTTGTCAATATTTTGTTTCTAACCTTTTTAACAAATTTCAGTTAGTTAATTTGTACCATGGAATTATCACACGAAATAAGTGAGCAGTGCAGGGGCTAGACAGATTTTTTAATCATTTTTTTCCCCACCCTGCCACTAAACCGTATTTTTCAAAGTTGTGCCGTGACTTCCAGTTGACAAACATGTCAAACTTGTGCCCTACTGTGCTGGTTGATACACCTGTTATTTCTAAAAAAAAAAAAAACGATTTAAATGCTTTTACATGTAGTCTAATGGAAAGTGTTTCATTCCCTTTCCTAGTTGCAAAAATCCATGCTTACTTAGCATTGCTGTACAATATGTTGGTGCATACCTGGTGTATATAAATATGCCATGTAACCAGATTTGGTGAATAGAACTCTGTAGCTGTAGCTGCTTTCTTTGTGGTGTAGATGTGTAGATTGACTAGTTTTTCATTAATTATTTTGCTATCAAATTGCCCCACTTCTAGGTTTCATTTTGTAACTTGATTTAATTTTTTGTCAAAGTACAGTGTAGCTGAATTGATGTTCATTTCTATATGGCTTCCCTCTATTGAAGCCAGCAAAATGCCTTGCTCTTGGTAACCAAATATGTGAGAATCTACCAAATGAGATACAATAGCATTTGTGCCTCTGCCTGGCCATAAGTGCAGGAGGACTTGAAAAGTTGAAATCTTAACTATACCATTAAGAATTATATTGAAACTTCCATACAGTATTAAGAATAAGAAATTACTGTTGCAGATGGTGGCCAGTAAGTATCTCTACGACGACGGAGAAGATGACGAAGTGTTCAACGACGAATGGGCTATGTCTGCTGCTGTATCTCTTGGTGACCTCAATCAAGCAGAGAAAGAATTCTTGGGTGCCATTGTAAGATTATTTTGTATGCTAATATTACTACAGTTGCTCAGTCCTATACCAGGACTTCATCAGATTGCTGAACTATTAGGCAGTGATCATTGTTGCTTCTCAGCTATGCTTCTTCAGTCTTCCACTAATTATTTTACATTAGGTAGATGCATAGTATTGTCATAAATTTACTCATCTTAAAACTCCATGGGGCTAGAAATACAGTAGCATTACTTTCATTAATTGATCTCTTCTATAGTTTGTGTGCATGCTAGAGCACTTATTTGTATTTTTATTATTAAATAATTTTTTATACATATTAGGGTCCTTTATATGTTGTTTTCCCATTTTATTTATATACATACCAGTCAGAACCTTGTCCCCTTCCCTCATGAGCCTATTGAAGGTCTTTGGGATCCCTTTATTCTCTGGTGAATGTCTTGGGAACCAGATTAATAGCCAAAATGGAGCATTGGAACATGGTAGGTGTACCAACCTGAACTCCCAACTAGTGATAAATATTCTAGGGGTCCAGGGGAGCATTTCAGGAATGGCTTGTTAGTGTGAACTATGGACACAGTGGTTATCTGGATGGACGGTCAAGGGCTTTTAATATTAACTTTGGGAGCCCTTCTACCTACTTGGAAGTAGATGTGACTGAATAGGAACTTATTGCAGCAATTATCCTCCATGTCAGCATCTCCCAAACGTGGGAAAGTGGAGGTGTGGAGTAAACGGTTTCCGTGTACGGTTGAAACTTCTAGATAGACAATTGTACTAAACTCGAGATTACCTCAGATGTCCGAGAATTAAGCCTAGGTAGTGTAGGCCAAAAGTGGGTGTGGGCTAAGTAAAATTTATTCTTTTTCTCTCCTGCAGTTTAATATAAACATGACATACATGCTCCTTTTACTGTTTAATTTTAAACGGTATTTACCAGGGTGTAGAGTGCAATTTTGTTGTAACTGACAAAGCTGTAAAAAATCTTTACTGTACCAGTAGGTAACAGCCTAACTACAGTACAAGGAACCAGAAAGTCTTTTATCATAATTGGATATTAGTACAGTACATGGAATCTTTAGTTATATACACTGTGTGCATATCACAATTGATTACTAAGTTTTTTTTCCTCTCCAGGACTGGAATCTGTTTGTTGATGCTGAAGCATTTTTGTGTGCATTTGAGCGTGTTGAAGGTGAAGTTGCATGGCGTGAAGGGGAAAAGAGAGGCTACTTCACATATGCAGATATATTTTCACTGACCCACACGCTACCAGTTTCCTGCACATCTCTCCTCAACTTGGTTAGTAGGTTGCTGTTAAAACTTGCAAACCATTTGCAATTAATCTTCGTGTTGCTTTGGTCAAAGATAAGATAAACCATAGTGGATTAAACAAAATTCTTCTATTGTCTATCTAAAGACAGTTTGGGAATGTTGGGTGACCTTAAGTTTAAAGCACACCATAGCAACTAGAGTTGATCAGGAAAATGCAATGGTGGATTGGGAGACCCTCCAAACGAGAGCTATGCCACGTCTGTAATAGTAATCTTCTACTGTTTTCTTCCATAATAATACTGTGCTCACATGTGTGTTTAAAATAGTTGACATGTTTTGGACAAAGATTCTTTATTCTTTAAAATGGCATTGTATCTTTGGTTTTTGGATGTTTCTAAGTACTTTGAATATCCTTCAGAAAGAAAGTACAATTTATACAAGAATAACACAGCACTATAATGTAGAGATTACCTGTGCTACTATAGATTTATGAATTAAAATCTAATTATGGAAACTACTCGGATGGTTTATTTGAACACTAAAATAGCATACTGGTGTGATGGGGGGCATGGGTGTAGGTATAGCATGAACAGGGTGCTAAAATGCATTAATGTCCAAAGCGTTTCATTTTGGCAAATTCTACCTACAAAACAAATGCTTGGGGAAACCTGGACAACTTTCTACTAGAAATTCATTAGCCAGATTGTGATGGCTGTGCGTGCCTGCAGGCAGCAAATAGCCAAGCAAGATCTCAGACTGGCTAGTGAGGGTAGTAGAGTTCTCTTAAATAGTTTACAGGTTATTCCTCCTGGCTGTGCTTTAGTGCTGTTAAGCAAAATGAATACATGGATGAGTTTTATTTTTGGGGAAGTGCGGCCAGTTCAGAGTCGCCATGTAGAAGCATTACTGGTGGTGAAGGTAAATATTCCTTTGGTTACATTTTCAGGTGAGTCATGTGTTTGCAGTGTGCATTGTTGGGTACACTGCTGCCATTGTGAGTGTTGTTGCTGGTACACTTCTAGCCCGAGAATGCAGCTGGCACATATCGACAGTGATGAGCCAGTTGTCGTGTAATGTATCGGCAGCTAACGAGACTACAACTACGTACCTTGAGAATATTACCGAAATGTCGTATTCGGATCATTTGGCGAACTCGATGAGCTTCTTTGCAGGTTGGTTGGCTATTAATTTTATTTATATTAAAATAATTAGAAGTAGGCTGGAGTGTACATTTGTGCAAAACTTATCTGGCTACAAATAGTAAGAAATGAGCAATTATATTAATATTTGTTATGTATTTTGGAGGCCTGCTCAGAGATTGGGCTGTGAGGACATTGATCCTTGGAACCTTTTCAGGGTGTTTATGACATGTGCAACAAGTGTTAAATGTTTTACAGAGGGATGAGGCAAGAACCTTTGAATTGTTTATAGCTTCCCATAAATTTGATTTATTTTATTGAAAGATTGCATGCTTGTTTAAACCTTCAAATAGGTCAAAGAAAATTACACCGTATCTGATCCTACTGTGCAAGTCAACGAGGGACAATTTAATTTATGTAAGATTTCAGTCCCGTGCATACAAAGGGCTCATATTTGCTTCCTCGGGCCTCTAGTAAACAGACTCCATCTTGGAAAAATAAAAATTATGTGCGCCCCTTTTGCATGCGAGGACCTTATTGAGGGGGCTATTACACGTAGCACATGCTGCAGCAGCTCAGTGCCACTGTGCAGCTTTTGCCAACAGCATCACTTAATAATTAAGAGAAAATAAATACTATAACTGCAATTATTTTGCAATGATAGTGTCGTAGAATATCCTGACTGATAGACCATGGACATAATGCTCAGATTTTGCTATATGCAATGCTGATTATGCCTCCTCACATTGTGAGGTAGACATCCACTGTGTACAGGTGCAGTTTCGGGCATCTACGTATCATGAAATGGAACCTTGTTCCTTCAGAAAATACTCGTGGAAAATTATTCATTCATGATTGTGACCAGGAATCCGATATCAGTGTGGTGCTAGTTAGCTATGTACACGGTATAGACATTTTGCTTGGTGATCTTGTGTTGTCTGCCAGTGGTGTGTGGCACTATACTGTGCTTAGATTTCATTACTCCGCCCACCAAAACTGCTTACAGGTTCAGCATAAGGCATAAAATATATAGTTATTTATTACACATGTATTTAGTTTTTTAATGGCAAAAATTATTTTATTCAAAGAATATAATATGGTGCACATATTAGTGATAAATATCTGTGCATATATAACCTTTGTTCTGTGATGCAAATAATATTGACAGCCCATTACATCATTGCCCTTAGAAGAAAAAAAATTGGTAAAACATTAGAAATGCAAAGAAATTATTGTAAAATTCAATGGGTGCAGTTACAATGTCACACAACCTGCAGAGCCAGGCTGGACTCTGATAACATGTTTGAGATTACCACACCCACCAGAAGTTCTTAATGGTTTGGAATCATGCCTGAAAAATGTGTGTAGTCATATGTTAAGTGTGTATGCAGTGTAATAACAGCAAAGTATTTTATTGTGCCAAGCAAGTAATATAGTGCACATCTTGGTGACATATTTCAGCATTCCGGTGTTCCCCACACTTTACGTAATCATCAAGGGAACACTATTGAATAATAATACTGTCTAAAAGAGCTGTTGCATTGAGAAATATAAAAATTCTTTGTATAATTTTATATGGCCACTCCAGGCCCATGAATTGTGACATCATAAGACTTCCAGGTTGAACCACAGCAGACATAAGCCTTGTATAATTTTTGTTTCCTGTGATCAGAGAATGCATTTTAAATTAAAATTTAAAATTCATTAATTTTAAATTTAATTAAGATTTAAAATTCGGTATTACATTTCACTTTAGTATGTACAGTATAGTAGTAGATTTTGGTATGTCGTACCTTGAAAACGCACCAACTTGGAAAAAAAAATCATAAGGTTCTTTGGAGAGCTAAGGCTTCTCCATTGCTTCCTGAACTTTTGCTGAGACTTGTCCTCTTGTAACAAGACTGTTAAGTCAGATTGACTATGAAAGTTATTAGAGATTCCACTTGTTTAAAACTTGTGTGCATAAGTAAATTGGTCATTTGGCAAAATTTTTAAGCATTTAAATTTTCTTTCATGGTATGTTTTTACTCTCTCAATTGCAGAAAATATGGAAGCTAGTTTGGATGATGGCAAAGATAGGAATATTAGCCTGTCGGGCTTTCCGTCTCGTGCAATCACAACACTTACCACTTCCATCCTGCTAGCCATGTCTTCTCCAAGTACACTTCGTCATCACCAGCACCGGCCACACCAAAGTGGGCGGAAAAACTGTCGAACCTGCCACTCGCCCACTAAAAAACGGAATTGTCAAACACAAGCTGAAAATCTTGATTCTTTTGACTCTGGCTCGAACTTGGACCCAGCAGACACACGCCTGAGCTTTACCACTGGACCATACTGGCCACCATCAAGTCATAGTCGTAGATTTGGATATCTCGATATCAACACACTTCCTTCCGATCTTCCTCAGTTGGAACCGTCTTCCATAGATTCTCATGCAAGTCAAAAAGATGACTGGGTGTATTCTAACCCTTGGGTGATCCCTTGGCTTTCTTGGCACAGTGCACCGGTTTACAGCATTATTCACAATTTTTCAGGGATTGGAGCTCCAAATATGAGTGGTTTTAAGAGAAGTGAGCATGGCTGGGTAGATTTGCTGGGAAGGATGTGTGAATCGGTTCGGGAAATAATAGATTTAATACCACTGTCGCACACCGTAGCTCTGACCCCGTCACCCCTGCTCGGCCGAGTTGATGTCGGGTACTTGGGCTCGGACCCTGTGCCTTGGTTACTGTAAACTCTGAACTGTCCTTGTTGGATTATTGGGCTCCTTTACATTGTAGAAAGGATTGTATTTTTTTTTTTGTCATTGATAACACTTTCTCCTGTGGAAATATATGGAAATATAGCCCTAATAATCCTGTATAAACCTGTAAACCTTATTAACCCCTGCACTGTGCACCTGTTTTTGGCAAAAACTTCATAGTGCAATTGTTAAGGACACATTTTTGTTTTTATAAATGTTCAGGTAAAGTTAGTCAAAATGTTTCCAAACTCGACTATTTTCATTTCAAAACACAAAGAATGATGAAAACATTAAAATATAGCCTAATTAAAAAAAATAACACAACTCTCGGAATGACTTTTGTTGGCTGGCGCAGTTAAGGGGTTAAGGAAGTGTGATTTCATTAGTCACTTGCTCTGGTGTGTTTAGTGCATGGAATGTACATTTATCCTTTTACTTTAATCTTGATTTTTTCTTTTGTTTTTACTAAATTGCATTTTTAGACATTTACATTCTGTATCGCTAGAATGAAAATAAATTTTGCATGTTGCCAATCTGCTTAATACCAATGGCAACTTAATACTGATGTATTTATACATAATACCCCCCTCCCTGGCATTTGTCATTCATAATAGTGGCAAAGGGGGGGGGGGGGGACCCTGAAATGGGAGTGTTTGCAATGTGTGATAAGAATTCAATTATCACCTGATCTCAAAGCCTTATAAAGTTTCATATATTGGAGGAATTTACTATCCATTGACTTGATATAATTCCATTTTAATTTCCATAATTGAAAGAAATACTTAGGTTTGGATTAAGTGTTTGATGCTTATAAAGTTGCACTTTGAAACTGTTGATAAGAAGGTAGTGTATATTGAAGCTGCTCCCGGTTATATATTTTTATTTTGTAATTCGACTTGTTTTTAATTACCGTAGTCATCAAATGACTACGGTCACAGAAATGTGTGACTATCTGATGTCCTGTCATAAATGGGATGGTGTGTAAGATTCATACCCATGTTCAAGAAGTGGTATTGTTCCAAAAAACACTTAATGTTTTTTGTTTTTTTTGTTTTTTAAAGTAATTAGGCATTGAAATTACAAATATTTTTTTAATCATGCCAAATACAATACAGTATGTAACATTTCATTTGCTTACATAATATCATAGGTAATGAGTAGTTTATATTCACTTAAAGTTTGAATAAAATTTTTAAATATTTTAGAAATTTTATACATGCCCAATGTTTTTTAATCTATATACATTTTTAATAAAGATGAGTGTCAGACCACGGACGAAAATTGAAACAGGAATTTCCTTAAGTACTTTTGTATATTAATACATCTTCAGAAGGAGTGATTTTATAGATCAAGTATTGGACATAAATAGGCAGGAGAGAATGGTGGAGTGAGGTGAGGTACAATAACAAATGAATGGGAATTAGATGGACACAAATATAAGCTGCACAAGAAATGCTAAAATAAAGATTAAAATTTACTCGCTATAAAAACCGATTTTGTCATTTTTTGCAAGGTGACCCTAAACTTTGACCTTGTGATGAGGGTGTTACTAACCCCGAGGATCTGGGTGGGGGTTGCCTTGGCCCTTCCCTCCGAGTGTTGTACATTCTAAATGAAACAAATGTAGGGTCCTCATTTAGGTCACTGGACCCCCAGCTGTAGCGGGTTGCCCTTGAAGGTTTGTTGGGTGTCCATGCATGATGAGAGGGAGAATGAGGTCATTGCACCAGTGTAGGAGAATAAGTGACAATTCAGTAGGTCTAATGTTAAGGGGGGTACTACTGCTTAGGATGATGCACCCCTTCCTGCATTGGCCAGTGCTCTGCCTCCCTTGCTGCCCCTAGTGGGTGGTATTCCATGGGTCCTGGGCCCAAACCTTTGAAACTGATGCATGGTAATTGAATAAACTCGAAACACAGCCTTCCCAGAGTTGGACAGTGGTGGATCTGGCTCCATAGGGCCCAGACCAGGCTTCGTCTTTAGCTATCTTGACTGATTCTTTCCCCTCCCTCTTCCTTGGCAGGGTTGGACTCCAAGTCCCCAGTGATCACTACCTTGTCATCCTGGAGTAGCTCTATCTTTATTTGATAACTGCACCTTTTGCCCCACCTTAATGGGGCATCACGGCACTGTCCCCACACTCAAACACATGAATCTTTCAAACCTTGTTATGTTCTGTGATCTGTTTGACACCACTAAGCGGCCTAAGTATTTTCATGTCTATAAACATTTCTTGATTTACATATACATGAGCACCTTGTTGACAGTGGATACCCACTTTACTTTAAACCCCACCCGAAATGGCGCTTGCATCATTCTGCTTTCTTTGGATTGGTGAGTATCCGGTTCAGGTCTCTATGTCCAAGTAAATGCCAGTGTAAAAGGATGGTCTCGGGGTTTTCCCACAGCTGACTTGAGTTGCATATTGCAGTGCAGGGTACATCATACCTTGTTGACATGTTCTATAAAGACCCAACCATTAAATCCCTCTCTGTCAAGTTACCCTCTGTGTGTAATTCAATATACCAGCATTCGCCCAGAATCACTAACACAAAAAAATTGCACCTGAAGCGGATAGTGTGACAACGATCTGTACATAATCCAGAACGAAAGAGACTGGTATCAGTCGATCTCTGGTGACAGAGATCGAGGTCATCTGTAAGCAGAAGTGACTGTGTGACCTAGAGTGAACTAAGGAAAGCGCTGCCACACAGTTACTTTGTGCAACTTTCCCTCAGACACTTGGCCGCCACTGTCACTTGAGTGTCCCGGTGCTGGAATCTCCTGCGTCCAGGTAGCCGCCACCATCGCCTGGTCCTCACTCATCATACCATGTAAGTCACCACCTGCCCCACCTACTGCCACATCATGTGCTCTGCGCTATTCCGGAGTGCCTGTCTTATTTCCCTGCATGTATGTCTGTTTAAGATAGCATTTGTGGACTGTAGAGAGACAACGCATCTCCTGCAAGCACACCGCTGTGTCAAGTATAGTTGGGAAAGCCCGTTATCCCCAGGGGGCAGTGCTACTGCTGCTTATAATAACTACGATGTTGACCAAACCATACACTAGAAGGTGAAGGGACGACGACGTTTCGGTCCGTCCTGGACCATCTACACACAATCGACTCGAGAATGGTCCAGGACGGACCGAAACGTCGTCGTCCCTTCACCTTTTAGTGTGTGGTCTGGTCAACATACTTCAGCCACGTTATTGTGACTCATGGCCTGCAATAACTACGATAATTATTGTTATAATACGAGGTAATCCTACCAACTGGAAGTCCTCTACATTGAGGGACACACGTCAATAAGTCTCCCCACTTGAATTACTGCAACCAGGCATGGACACCTCATCTTCAGAAAGAAGATGAGGTCTTCATTGGAGGAGGTTCAGCACCTGAATGTTATGCACTAGCTCCTTGTTAAATGTTTCGACTGTGAAACGATCATAAGAACTCTGCCACTATTAACACATGAGCCAGCCCGTCCTCTGGAGCATTTACAACGTCACTAAAATGTACCAACTTGCCCGAAGGAAACCCATGGATAGAAAACGGAACATGTCAATTTTTGCGAGCCGCTGTGATTTGTAATATATCTTACTTTGAGGGGGGGATTATCAGGGGAAAGCGCCAAGCCATTACGACTATTTAGCACTTGGAAGGGGTCAGGATAAGTATTTGGGGTGGGACGGAGAGAAGGAATGGTGCCCAGCCACTTGGACGGTCGGGGATTGAACGCCGACCTGCATGAAGCGGGACCGTCGCTCTACCATCCAGCCCAAGTGATTGGGCCATCTTACTTTGAGGTTGGGGCTTTTTACGTCAAAATACAACGTGTCATGCAAGAGAACAGCTGGTTGCCCTTCACGTCGAATATGTGAGGGGTGACTGAGCTATTTACAATACAATACAATACAATACAATTTTATTTAGGTAAGGTACATACATACAATAAATTTATACAAGGATTGGTTGACTTATAGGTAGAGCTAGTACATACAATGCCTAAAGCCACTATTACGCAAAGCGTTTCGGGCATGATAAACTTAAATGACAAGCTTAATACTAATTGAGCATAATGAGTAGAATGAAAACATAGATGAAAAAGCAGCACAAATACAATTATGTCGACAAACAGCGCTCTTTAAAGAAAAAACAGACATTGGTTGACAATAGAAGGGTAAGGTAGGTTACAGGGAATTTATTAGGTATAGCTTCGCTTTTAACTTAAACTGGTTGAGAGAGGTACAGTCTTTAACATGGTTGGGAAGGTCATTCCACATTCTGGGCCCCTTGATTTGTAGAGCATTTCTAGTTTGATTAAGTCGTACTCTAGGAATATCAAAACTGTATTTATTTCTAGTGTGGTGCTCATGGGTTCTGTTACAACCTTCTATGAAGCTTTTGAGATCAGGATTGGCATTATAGTTTAGCGTTTTATATATGTATAATATATAATATTATGTATTAATATAAATTAATATATAATATATAATATATATTATTGAATTCTCAAGATCGACTTGAGAATGGTCCAGGACGGACCGAAACGTCGTCGTCCCTTCACTTTCTAGTGTGTAATCTGGTCAACATATTTCAGCCACGTTATTGTGACTCGTCGCCTTCAAAATGTTTATTCAGGTAAAAGTGCATACATAGAAGATGAGTTACAAACATAATGTTTAAACATAATATGTGACCTGCCCGAAACGCTGCGCGTACTAGTGGCTTTACAAGATTGTAAATACTATTCTATGTATTCTCACAAACCCAATGTACCTTCTTGTATATAAATAAATAAAATAAAAATAAAAATAAAATGTTGGCCCCAGGCTCTGCTTCAGTAGGCTGGGATCGTTCTTGCCCTTGCTGGGGTGGTTCTTCTCCGGTTCCGACCACTGTGGTCTCCGGGTTTGGAGTTCCTGTGCCTTCTTTTACCAACTTCGAGGTCAACTCCGGAGCTCACAGTTCCTGCGACGGCGCGGGAACCAATCGTATTGGCGTTTGCCTTTGCATTGGAGACTTTCGGCGCTGTGGAGAGGAGGGGGGGGGGGGACCTGCTGCTTGAGTAACAGCTTCTCCTTATCAACCTACCCTGGCTTTGGGCCCTGGAAAGGCCACTCCAGAGCACAACTCCCTATTCTCCTGAGACTGATGGATGTCTACTACTACTACTACAGATTCAAATACTGTATTTAATATTTCCAATAACAGCAAACATAAGTTGACTTATTTATAATGAAGAAATGCATGAGAATTTTCTTTCATAATGTTAATTAGGTATTTCTTAGTATAATAGTATAATAGAGGCCCATATCCATCCCCAGGATTGGCTCATCAGTCGCAAAGGGTCCCATTATGAGGCTTCACTAATTGGACTCCATATTTCTTCAAACTAAGCAACTTACAAGTATTGTGAACGATTTTCACTTGGTTTTAATGTGTATATCATACACCCAGCACAATAGTGGGCTGCCGAGAGAGTCTTGCATGCCCGATTTGTGTTTTTTTCCACGGAAAAAATACTATGAACTTGGGATATTTTAGTCCACTTCCTCGGAGGTTGTTGTTATAGATTCAGCTACTCGGAACAAGTTCCAAGTAGCACGGGCTATGGTGAGCCCGTAACTTACCTGGCACAGGAGCGGGGCAAGAAGCACGGGCTATGGTTAGCCTGTTCCTCCTTGGAGGGCCGGGGACCTCAGTAGTACTACTGCTAACACCTCAAAGATACTACGATAATATGCAGGCGATGAGTCACAATAACGTGGCTGAAGTATGTTGACCAATCCACACACTAGAAAATGAAGGGACGACGACGTTTCGGTCCGTCCTGGACCATTCTCAAGTCGATTGTGACTCGTACCATTCCACAATCGACTTGAGAATGGTCCAGGACGGACCGAAACGTCGTCGTCCCTTGATTTTCTAGTGCGTGTAGATTGGTCAACTAAGATAACATATCATTCCCATCGCCTGTCTGTACAAGAAGCAACTTGCAACACGTTGTTTGCTTGTATGGAGCTTGCAAGCTTTTTTTTATTATCCACGAAATCGATCAAATACACTGTATCTGTGATGCACAAATCACACTCGCCAAATATCATGCAAATACTAATACAGTATTGTGCCACTAACATCATATTTCAACTGTAACATATGATAATTCCAATATAGTGTGATTAAGTATATTTATACTCATATACGCACAGTGTATGGTCCAGGGTCCATTGTATAGTTTTTGGACTGTTCCCCGACAGGCTTTAAATATATTGAGAATATAGCGGTGGACGGGGTGAATGACTTGGAGAGCACTTGCTACGCTGCTTGCACGCTCCTGCATCTCCTGACTCTCCCTCTCTCTCCCTCTCTCCCTCCCTCTCTCTCTTTCTCTCTCTCTCTCTCTCTCCCTCCCAAGTCTCAAGCTGCAAGTCAGCCCAACACTGCAGTTGTTTTAGCACAAGTTCTACAGTTGTTGCTTTACATAACTCCATATTATACTGAATTATTGAACATAGAAAATACTGAACACATTCACGTGATTGAGACAGGCAGCGCTCTCGGTACTTTGATATAAATACTAGTAGTACATCAATTGAGGCAGAAGCATTGGTTGAGGCAGTGGAGGGAAGGCATAGTGGGGGGACACAGAGACAGGCTGTGAGGCAGGCATAGTGACACAGGGCGTAGTACACCACTACAGGTTACTATACACTTGGCGCCTACACCACCACAACTACACTCTTCTAACCAAATGCCATCCCAGTTATTTATAGACAAAACCCCACGTTGTTTTCTGAAGATGGGGCGCGCCTATCTTGTCTAGTGTGCTTATATAAACCTGGACATTTGTGACTAGTCTACACACAAGTCCATAACGAAGTGATAACGAAGTCATTTAACATCCATAGTTGGATGAACAAGTGTATCTTATCAGTCTGGCTGGCCTTGATACTACTCTATCTCTTCTCCTCATAATGTTACTCTCTCTGTAATAAATCATTATTTTAACAAATGGGGAATTAACTTCAATATATACGCCATCAATTCATCCTGACAATAGATAAGATAAAGGCCGTGTATATATATATTTATATAAATATTGAAGGTAAAGCGGTTGCGGCGAGCCACCTAGACGACGCATTCTTCCCGATGACGGCTGCCGAATTTTGCCTCATATATAATACAGCTGCAGGGGGGCTTTTCCTCCCATATCCTGACCTCCTGGCATCATTGGCGTTAATTACACGTGCTCAAATACACCTCCGGCGTGCCATATGTGGTGCAGGTGTGGCCAGATAAGGGTGGTGAGGTGGAGGCCAGTTTGCGAACCGGATCGACCGCGCCTTTCCCATAATGCATCAGGAGCCGCAGCTACATAATATGGCGGATACTCTTGAAAGCGAGTTGGGTAATTTGAGTGATATCGGTGTGTTGCAAGCCGCGTGGAGGCTGGTGACTGGTGTGGCGTGTCCCCCTAGACGTGCTGGTGGCCCGGGGCACACAGGGGCCCAGGGCCCGGGTGCCAGGGCCACATATAAGGGCCCTGGCACCTATGTGGCCCCTGGATTGTTTACATTTCGCTCTCCTCAGCGAATGGCGTAATACTCAAATGCTAAAATTTTCACCTCCAGCTGGGAACCTTCCCCTGGCAGGTGGCCAATATTATTCCAGAGCCTTAGCGCTCTCTGGGGCTATTTGGTGCCTAATGGCCACCTGTCGCAGGCGGAGATAAATATTAATGGCCGATTTGGAATGGGTTTGATATGTCTTGTCAAAGGCAGGATGGACTGACCTTATTATTTACGTGTTTGGTGGGTTTAACCAGCTGGACAGGCCAGCTGGGAGGAGCCAGCTGGGCTGGCTCCTATGGCCCGAGGGACGTCTTCAAGACAGTGGGTTGTTTGTCTTGTAATTAAGCTTGAAGGAGTTTTAAGTGAAGCAGCTGTGGTGTGAGGCTAGACTGGGTGAGTGTTGTGGTGACTGTCTATAGGAGAGTGTTTCAGTGACTGTCTATAGGTGAGTGTTGTGGTGACTGTCTATAGGTGAGTGTTGTGGTGACTGACTATAGGTGAGTGTTGTGGTGACTGTCTATAGGGGAGTGTTTCAGTGACTATAGGTGTGTTTCAGTGACTGTCTATAGGTGAGTGTTTCAGTGACTGTCTATAGGTGAGTGTTTCAGTGACTGTCTATAGGTGAGTGTTTCAGTGACTGTCTATAGGTGAGTGTTTCAGTGACTGTCTATAGGTGAGTGTTTCAGTGACTGTCTATAGGTGAGTGTTTCAGTGACTGTCTATAGGTGAGTGTTTCAGTGACTGTCTATAGGTGAGTGTTTCAGTGACTGTCTATAGGTGAGTGTTTCAGTGACTGTCTATAGGTGAGTGTTTCAGTGACTGTCTATAGGTGAGTGTTTCAGTGACTGTCTATAGGTGAGTGTTTCAGTGACTGTCTATAGGTGAGTGTTTCAGTGACTGTCTATAGGTGAGTGTTTCAGTGACTGTCTATAGGTGAGTGTTTCAGTGACTGTCTATAGGTGAGTGTTTCAGTGACTGTCTATAGGTGAGTGTTTCAGTGACTGTCTATAGGTGAGTGTTTCAGTGACTGTCTATAGGTGAGTGTTTCAGTGACTGTCTATAGGTGAGTGTTTCAGTGACTGTCTATAGGTGAGTGTTTCAGTGACTGTCTATAGGTGAGTGTTTCAGTGACTGTCTATAGGTGAGTGTTGCAGTGACTGTCTACAGGTGAGTGTTTCAGTGACTGTCTACAGGTGAGTGTTTCAGTGACTGTCTACAGGTGAGTGTTGCGGTGACTGTCTATAGGTGAGTGTTTCAGTGACTGTCTATAGGTGAGTGTTTCAGTGACTGTCTATAGGCGTGTTGCAGTGACTGTCTATAGGTGAGTGTTTCAGTGACTGTCTATAGATGAGTGTTTCAGTGACTGTCTATAGGTGAGTGTTGTGGTGACTGTCTATAGGTGCTGCAGTGACTGTCTATAGGTGAGTGTTGCAGTGACTGTCTAGAGGTGAGTGTTCCCAGTGACTGTCAAGAGGGGAGAGACTGGGCAAGTGTTCCCAGTGACTGTCCAGTGGGTAGAGACTGGGCAAATGTTCCCAGTGACTGTCAAGATGGGAGAGACTGGGCAAGTGTTCCCAGTGACTGTCCAGAGGGGAGAGACTGGGCAAGTGTTCCCAGTGACTGTCCAGAGGGGAGAGACTGGGCAAGTGTTCCCAGTGACTGTCAAGAGGGGAGAGACTGGGCAAGTGTTCCCAGTGACTGTCCAGAGGGTAGAGACTGGGCAAGTGTTCCCAGTGACTGTCAAGAGGGGAGAGACTGGGCAAGTATTCCCAGTGACTGTCAAGAGGGGAGAGACTGGGCAAGTATTCCCAGTGACTGTCAAGAGGGGAGAGACTGGACAAGTGTTCCCAGTAACTGTCAAGAGGGGAGAGACTGGGCAAGTGTTCCCAGTGACTGTCCAGAGGGGAGAGACTGGGCAAGTGTTCCCAGTGACTGTCCAGTGGGTAGAGACTGGGCAAGTGTTCCCAGTGACTGTCCAGAGGGGAGAGACTGGGCAAGTGTTCCCAGTGACTGTCCAGAGGGGAGAGACTGGGCAAGTGTTCCCAGTGACTGTCCAGAGGGGAGAGACTGGGCAAGTGTTCCCAGTGACTGTCAAGAGGGGAGAGACTGGGCAAGTGTTCCCAGTGACTGTCCAGAGGGGAGAGACTGGGCAAGTGTTCCCAGTGACTGTCAAGAGGGGAGAGACTGGGCAAGTGTTCCCAGTGACTGTCAAGAGGGGAGAGACTGGGCAAGTGTTCCCAGTGACTGTCAAGAGGGGAGAGACTGGGCAAGTGTTCCCAGTGACTGTCAAGAGGGGAGAGACTGGGCAAGTGTTCCCAGTGACTGTCAAGAGGGGAGAGACTGGGCAAGTGTTCCCAGTGACTGTCCAGTGGGTATAGACTGGGCAAATGTTCCCAGTGACTGTCAAGAGGGGAGAGACTGGGCAAGTGTTCCCAGTGACTGTCTCCCCCACCCACATTAACCTCTTTGTTTCACTTTCTTTCACTCCTATTCCCTAAATATGTTTGACATTTATTGTCTTTGGCAGAGAATATATTCTCTCAAATATGTATTTATTCTTTGTAAAAAGTGAAGTGGATGTACTGTGTATTAATCATTGTTAGAGGTGTTCCTTAATGATTTTGAAAGAGATGTCATGTCCTTGGATGAAACTGATGATTAAAGGAGTATTTTTAGAGAGAGAGTTTTACAGGATGTCAGATGTCATTGCTGCTGTTGTAAACAAGTAACATGTCAGACAGCATTTTGACAGTTAAATGTCATCTTGAAGATGATTGGAGCATGTCACTGTCATGTTTCCCATGTACTTGTGAACTTGTATATATATGACAGGGAATTATCATCATGGGATTGTCACATTTGAATTACAAAATTCAATATTTTTTAAATTAAAATTTTTCAAGCATTTTATTCTACATATTATACATAAATACAGTATATCAAATTATCACCCCTGAAGTGTGTATGTAAAATAGTTAGGTATTAAATATTGCAAGTTATGTGGTCTACAATGCTTTACATTCTCTATTTCATTCATGTATTTTATGTACCACATATGATATAACCAATTGATATACAGTACTTATTGTACTGTACTCTAGGCATATTGTTCTGCATATATTTAATTCTTGCAGCATGCCATAGATGAGAATATTTATATACATTTTACTTTGATACATCTTGTAAAACAGTATAGTAGTGGTTGATCTCTTGTAATGTGTAGATGTGATGCCTTCTCAACTCTTGCTAAGGTTACATAAGGCTATCTGTTGTATGAGAGAATATGCATTATGTGATTTGATAACTTTAGGTTATTTTAAGCTAGGTGAGATGGAAACACATTATTTTTTGCTCATTCAAAATATGGAGAGGCACAATCTTTTTTTGTTCCTAACTTATTTTAGACGAGAATTTTTGAATTCCTGTTTACCAAAATAACTTGACAATATACAAAAATATATAAAAATATGAAAGTAATCAGCACAGTGCGATACAGTATTTGGTTCACATTGCTGGAGACAGGAAGTCTGTCAGGTTTATAATAATAATAATAATAATAATAATAATTAATAATAATTTATTTAGGAAAAGTACATACAAAGTTGCAGAGTTACAATATAAACATTGTTTGATTTAAAGATAGAGGTAGTACATACAATACCTAAAGCCACTAGTACGCATAGCGTTTTGGGCCTTTATTTGGGTATTGGATTAGGTATGTAGTCTTGAGGTTGTTAAACAGTGGGGTGCTGCTGTGGAGGATTTGCTGGAGTGCCGGGACACTTGAGTCTTCATAATGTTATATGCTGTAATACACATTATTGTGTCGCATATGGTGAATGGGTGTGTGTTGGTTTGTTAATATCTCTCCTTACTTTGAGGTTACCTTGAGGTGCTTCCGGGGCTTAGTGTCCCCGCGGCCCGGTCGTCGACCAGGCCTCCTGGTTGCTGGACTGATCAACCAGGCTGTTAGACGCGGCTGCTCGCAGCCTGACGTATGAGTCACAGCCTGGTTGATCAGGTATCCTTTGGAGGTGCTTATCCACCTCCACCTCTCGCTTTCATGTCTTGCATTACTTATCCATTTTCTCTGGGCTGGTACCTCCCACCACACAAAAGTGGTGGTGGTCATGACAAAATTGATTTTATCCTTTCATATTGACTTGAAACTTATTTTTGTGTGTTTTCGTGAATGTAACTTCCTTATTAGGGGGGGTATGGTGACAGTTTTTTTGATCACGTGCAGTACTGGTTTTCTCAATTTGTGTGTGATATCTAAAGAATGACTTATCATATAATCAGCCATTGATCTGTGTAAATTTGGTTAACTTAAATTTACAGCCAAATGATTTTGGTTTAGTTACCAACATTTTTTTTGTGCAAGAGGAATATTCATAAGTTTATGCAGAAGGTTTGTATAACCTAGTTCATGTTTTGGTACTTGATACCCACGTACTGTATAACCTAGTTCATGTTTTGGTACTTGATACCCACGTACTGTATAACCTAGTTCATGTTTTGGTACTTGATACCCACGTACTGTATAACCTAGTTCATGTTTTGGTACTTGATACCCACGTACTGTATAACCTAGTTCATGTTTTGGTACTTGATACCCACGAACTGTTCACCGACCTCACGACTCCTCACAACTGTCGTGTGTGTTATGAACTTTTTGGACTTCATTCTTGTATCATGATGTCTCCCAGGCTTCTGTGCTTCATGTACAGTATGAGCTCCTGTTGTCGGAAACCAATTTTACGTTGACTCATGGAGTATGAACCAATTATACATTGAAGGAAAAAAAAGGGACTTTGGAGGTCTAAAGCAATAGAATGCATCGTTCTTTTTGTGTCGAGTAATCTTTTTGCTTTGTTAGATTTTCCACATATAGATCCTTGTTGAAGATTGAGAGGGGAGGGGTGAAAGGGAGAGGGGAAGCGGGAAAAGGAGGGGAGAGAGGGGAAGGGGGGAAGTGAGAGGAGGGGAAGGGTGGAAAGGAGAGGAGAGGGGAAGGGGGGGGAAGGAGAGGAGAGGGAGAAAGGGGGTGGGAAAGGAGAGAGGGGAATGGGGTGAAAGGAGAGGAGAGAAAAGGAAAGTCAGAGGGGAGGAGAGATAAAAGGGAAATGGGAGAAAAGGGAAATAGAAAGGTGAGGAAATGAGAGATAAAAAGGTAAGAGGGAGGGATGGTTGGGAGGTGAGGGTGAGGAGAGGAGAGAGTGAGATGGGAAGGTGAGAGGAGAGAGAGATGGAAAGGTGAGAGGAGAGAGAGATGGAAAGGTGAGAGGAGAGAGAGATGGAAAGGTGAGAGATGAGTGATAAGAGATAGAGAGAGGGAGATAGAGAGAGGGAGATAGAGAGAGGGAGATAGAGAGAGGGAGATAGAGAGAGGGAGATAGAGAGAGGGAGATAGAGAGAGGGAGATAGAGAGAGGGAGATAGAGAGGGAGATAGAGAGAGGGAGATAGAGAGAGGGAGATAGAGAGAGGGAGATAGAGAGAGGGAGATAGAGAGAGGGAGATAGAGAGAGGGAGATAGAGAGAGGGAGATAGAGAGAGGGAGATAGAGAGAGGGAGATAGAGAGAGGGAGATAGAGAGAGGGAGATAGAGAGAGGAGAGGAGAGATGAGGAAGGGGAGGAGAGAGGGAGAGGAGAGGGGGAAGAGGAGAGAAAAGGGAAATGCAGAGAGAGAGAGAGATGGGGGGGGATATTGTGGGAAACAGGGAATACGAGACAAATGGGTTACTTACCATAATTTGCAGTTATCTTACAAAGGTTCCATGGATCGACATCCCCATGACCCAGTTTCTGACCAGGCTTCCTGGTTACTGGTCTGGTCAACTAAACTGTTGGACATGGCTGATTGCAGCCACTCAATGAATCTCACAGCTTGGTTGATCAGGTATCCCTAGGTGTTTATAATTTTTTTTTGTACAGTGGGAGATTGGCCAGTTATACCTCTAATGTGCAGAGGGAGTGTTGAAAAGTCTTGGAGCATTTGATGTTCATAAGAGTTCTCTTGGAGATCTCTTATGAGTTCTCTGAGTAAGAGAAAGAGGGTGTGAGAGAGAAAGAGGGTGTGAGAGAGAAAGAGGTGGGAGAGTGAGGAGGAGGGAGGCAAAGAGTGAGAGAAGGGAGAGGGGGAAGGGAAGGGGCAGAGAGTGGGAGGGAAGTGAGATCCTGGTACCACATCTATTATCTAAAAGAGCAGCTCATTTGAACTGAAACAGAATTGCTTGGGCCAAATAGTTAATACAATACAGTATCATAAACACACTTTTATGTATATGCAACAATTTACTGTCATTTCTGAGCAAGTGGTTCTGCTCCACATAGAAGTGGGAAAATGGGGTACTGATGTGTCTTTAAAACTGGAAATTTGGCTAGGTTTACTCTATGTAGAGGAGTGGGGTATAATTAGCATGATTTATCATTATCAAAGAGCAACTCTGCATATATTTGTGTGATAATTCTATTTACAGTGACACACTGAATTGACTGCACATGCATATAGTTCCGAACATAGGCAGCAGGGTACATACTGTCATTTATTTTGCAAGCAGCTCTGTTTATACTGTACTGATATATTGTGCTTTTTTCCAGTACTGTACTGTACTGTAGTTAGGCAGTAATGGTAATACTGATGGGAATGGTGTTTCTCTAGGTCAGTCAGCAGAGCAGCAAGCAGAGCTGCTGTTGACCTTCAAAAATGGTGGCTTTTCTTCATCGTCGTCCTCTTCATCTTCCTCGGCCTTCTCCCAGCCACAGGAAACACAGCAGGTATTTTTCTTTAATAACTTATTATCAGACACTTGATAGTGTTTACCTCATAAATAATGGTTTCAAATTTTTTTAAATGCTTAGTTTGCTTTGTTGTTTTTTTATTCCTGTTGGAATGATATCACCAGCGGCAGTTAATTTATTATGCATCCCATACTTGTATCCTGTAAGCAGCAGCCCAATAGCATTAAAGGGCACAAAAGGTGTTAATGTGACCTCGGGCAGTATTATTTGATATTGATTGTTAGAATTTCTACATGTTATACTGTCATTCGAGTGCAAATACTGTACTAGATGGGTATCTGGCAGTGCCCAGGTCACTGTCTCTTTCTTTCTCTAATTTTCTCTTGCACTTTTTCTCTTCCCTTCTCTCTCCTTTCTTCTCCATTTTTCTTTTTTTATTTAAATTAGGGAGCCAGTCGGCCGAGCGGACAGCACGCTGGGCACGTGATCCTGTGGTCCCGGGTTCGATCCCGGGCGCCGGCGAGAAATAATGGGCAGAGTTTCTTTCACCCTATGCCCCTGTTACCTAGCAGTAAAAAAGGTACCTGGGGGTTAGTCAGATGTCACGGGCTGCTTCCTGGGGGTGGAGGGCTGGTCGAGGACCGGGCCGCAGGGATACTAAAAAAAGCCTCAAAATCATCTCGAAATAACCTCGATAAGAAGAATCCATTAGAATAACTAGCTTTAATGCTAAGAAACTATCATACAAGGAACAGGATGAGCCAATAGCCAACTGTGTAATTACCTAAGTGTAGTTACAGGATGAGAGCTATGCTTGTAGTGTCCCGTCTTCCTAGTACTCTGTCATGTGATGCTTTGAAACTTCTGACAGTTTTAGCATCCATCATCTTCTCACTTAATATGTTCCAACCAGCTATGACTGTGCAAAAGCAAACTTTCTAATATTTTTTTTGGCACCTTTGTTTCCTTAGCTTGACTCTATGACCTCTTGTTCTTGAAGTTGCAGGTTTCAAGAATTCCTCTGTTAATTTTGTCAATTCCTGTTAATATTTTGTATGTAGTAATCATGTTGCCACTTTTTCTTTTTCTGGCTTAGCCATATTTAATGCCTCTAGCCTCTCTTCGCAGCTCTTGTTTTTCAGTTCCAGCAGTCATTGTGGCATGCCTTTGCACCTTTAACATTTATTGATTTGTTTCTTGAGATATGAGCACCATACAGTTGCTGCATATTCCAAATTTGATCTCAAAAAGTCATGAACAGTTTCTTTAACATTTCACCATCAATGTGCAGTATTTAAAAGCAATCCTGAAGTTGGAATGCGTAACATGGGCTCCTCGCACAGTGTTCTTTCTGTTCTTGTCTAAGAGGCACTTAGATAAGTTTTTGCAAGAAGTGCCGGACCAACCAGGCTGTAGTGGATATGTGGGCCTATGGGGCGCTCCAAGCAACAGCCTGTTGCTTGGAGTTAGTTATCAGTTAAGTTAGTTAAGTTATCCAACCAAGTTATCGTAAGTCGAGCCTGGCCTCAGGCCGGGCTCGGGGAGTAGATGAATTCCCAGAACCCTCTCCAGGTATGTGGTCTTTAGGTGATAGTTTTCTATCCAGGATCACCCCTTAGATCTTTCTTTATCAGAGTGCTTTAAAGGCTTGTCACATTCTTTGTATGTTGTGTGTGGCCTATTTTTTCATAATCTACATTCCATAATGTGGAATTTATCCACATGATATTCCATGAGCCAATGGAATTGGCTCATTGCTGTCCTGGTTATCTCTTGGTAGTTTAAAGCACTATGTACTTTATTATACCTACCTCAGAATAACTAATTGTGAATGTAAGTATTTGATTATGATGATTTAGTTATGTTTTTACAGGCATTATGTTGTAAAGTAAAATTATTATTGTCTGGTTCTGTTATCATGCCCTGGTCATAATTAGCTTAAGGCTTTCACTTGCTCAGGTCTTTTTCTTTTAAGTACTGTACTATATTATTGTACACAATAAATATTTATCCTACTGCTATATATGTAATTGTTATTTTTTATACAAGCCGGCATTATTTCTTATAAAATTGCATAGTTATGGAATATAGGTTGTAAGGTAACACATGTTTTTTTGTATTCAGGATTTCTCTCCTCTATCTGCTCTTGGGTTGCATCGAGTTGGGGAAGATCGACCATCCCCCTCCAAAGAACCCAGTATCCAGCTAAATCGCAGAGGCATGGTAAGGAAAGTGTGTGTGCATATGAACATACACTCACGTTTGTTTTTTAAAATGTCGTAGAAAACTAATGCCGAATACTGTTTTGATACACGAGCACTGATAGTAACCTCTGGTACTGATTCATCATGCCTCAATTTTTTTTTATTAATTATGAACATTTGCCAAAATTAGGTTTGGTTGTGCTTTTCTGATGCACGAGTGGTGCTTCACAGTAGTGGATTTCTTGTACAGTATCTGTAAAGGTTTAGTCGGTCACCATCATTTACAGACCTAACTGAAAACAGTGTCTTCTTGTTCTGGTTTCAGGTACAGTAGTAGAAAGAGTTGTATTCCTTACTTAGATCAGAAAACTTTGCCTATTTCAGTGGCTGGGACTCATTAAGGCTTGGAACTTGGCATCATGATCCTACCATATTTTCTGCGGGGGAGCCCCTTGAGGCTTCCTGAAGCTATTATCACTGATTCAGGGTGATTGTGCAGTTGAACCTTCCTTGTGGCCTCCATGACCTTTACATTTGCTTCGGGTGGCCATGATTGCCCGTTCCATTCAGGGTTTACCGGTGTAGCATTCCCAGTGGCTTGGGCTTCCTGCACGGCTCATTCGTGCTGGTAAACCCCCGCACAATCGATTGTACTATGGATACCCCCCTTCTGGGCCTGCTCTCTCTTTATGCGAATTTGAGGGGTTGTTAGTCGCCTGTGCCACCTGGCGATGATTATACGTTGTTTATACGTTCTGTTGTCTCTGCCATGCTGCCTGTTGGGTCGGTGATACCTTCACCCCCGAGTGCTTCGCTGATCAGAATTCCATTTCAACTTTGTAAATGCACATTAATGACTCTATTGTAAAAGACACATCGAACACTTTATGTAGGGCATACGTAAATGTGTGTGTTTATGTATTTACATATGTAGCTTAGCCTAGCATTTTAAAAGCACTACAATCACCTTCTGTGGTTGATTGTTCAATAAATCCCTGAACTGTATGTTTGACAAATCTCTCTCCCTGTCCATGGAAGACAAGAAAATGTAAATATGCTGGTTAGCATTGTTAATGTGTGGCCACGTCTCTGGTAGAAAATAATAATAAAAAATAAAAAAAAAAAACCCCGAGTGCAACTGCATGCTTGGGTTCCCCTCCTGTCGGCTGCTTTGGTTGCAGATGACCTTCATACATGCTCACACTTGGCTTTTGTCGTGCATTTCTTGACCCCTCCTAAAGTTTCATTCTGATTGGCTCTTGGATGATGTTGAGTTGCTCAGTAAATTAAAAAAAAATTGGTAAACTTCGAAAATTCACAGTTTTTGTTGAACCAATCCTGTTTTGTAGCTATTCATATCTGATGAAAGCGGATGATTTCCAGAAGGACATGGTCATGTTTGCCCAAGTGGGGGAAGGTACTGAATGTCAAGTTTCTCCTTTTCTGGTGAATATCAAAGCCAGCATTGAAGGAACATCCCCTTTCCTCACACTTGTAGCTTGTTTAACCACTGCACTGCGCAAAGCGCCTTTAGGCGCTCAGAGAGTTGTGCTTTTTGTTTTTTAATTTGACTATATTTTAATGTTTTTTAATGTTTTCATTACTATTTGTGTTTTGAAATGGAAATAGTTGACTTTGCAAACATTTTGACATTAAATTTACCTGAACATTTGTAAAAATAACAAAAATATGTCCTTGACAATTGCACCAAGACGTTTTTACCGAAAATAGGTGAGCAGTGCAAGGGTTAATGTGCTGATAAATGAAGGTCTCCAAAATGAGGTTACGAATCTACCAGTCCTAAAGTCCTTCGTTCTTGCTTCGTAGGCCTCCCAGTCTGTGGATTTCAGTTTGAAGTCGCTAAGTACCAACAGTTGGGATCTATCTATCTATGTGTGTGTACTCACCTAGTTGTACCTGCAGAGGTTGAGCTTTGGCTCTTGGGTCCCGCCTCTCAACTGTCAATCAACTGCTGTACAGATTCTGGAGCCCATTGGACACTATCAAATCTACATTTGAAATTGTGTATGGAGTCTGCCTCCACCACATCACTGCCTAATGTATTGTGTGTGTGTGTGGGGGGGGGGGGGAAGGTAACAGGCATGGCAGGCACATGAAAATAGAGGCTTTTGGGAATTTTTATAATATTTTACTTGATTACAATTCCTTATTTCTTCTGCAGCCTGCTCGTACGAGAAAGAAGAACCGCCTGTATTTTGACGATGACTTGGTGAGTTCCCCAACACAAATGAAGTCTCCAAAGAAGACTCCTCGTGGCACACCGAAAAAACAGCCTAACCCTCAGCCGCTTCCACCAGTTAAGATGGTATGAGAGACGATATTTGTATACAGTTACTCTACGTCTGTACAGTATGTGCTTTGTCTCATAGCTCAGAGATACATAGCACATTGTAACAGTCTTAAGGCCACACCAACACTAACCTAGATACAATTTTTACTGTGATATTAGGCATTTATACCAAGATGCATATTTAAAGTCAATTTTATTAGGTGTCCTTAAAATAATTATTTGCTAACATCTTAACAGACAATGGTTTTAAATGGGAAATGTTATCAGTTTCTTGTATAGGTTGGAAGCCTTGTTGATGCAATAAAATGTAAGAATGACAACACTACATCATAATTTGTACAGTATTATTACTACTACTGCCCTTTTTCCCATTTTCATGGGATGGGAAGGCACTTGAGCTCTTGTAGGGCAGAAGATGGGGTCTTGGGGCCCCTACTCCTCCCTTCATCACATGCTAATATGGGACTGTTTGCCTCAAGAGTGCTGGGCGGTCTGATCATGATGTGTCTTCGTCCAAAAATTTGAAGTAAAGGCGAATAAAATGGGCATAATACAAGAGAATTGGTAATGGATTTCCTTCCTCCATGTGTGTGTGATTAATGAGAAAAGTATTAGTTATTCAGTATTATGGCAAATTTGTTTGTATTTAATCAGATTAGTTTCAAACTTGATATACTACAATCGTAAAATTTTGTACGTCCAAATAGTGCCTAAGACACTGCAGCACCAGACATGGTCTGTCACATTTAACAGGACAAGAAATTTAAAATGTTGACAAATGAGGGAGGATTTCATTGCTCAGAAATATGCTGTTTCAAAAACAGTTTGTCCCACAGAGGAGGAAAGTGACAAGAAAGTAAGGCTAACCCTTCGTTCAATATGCATTGCAGGGAGGAAAGGACAGGGACCAGGAATACATGGAAGAAAAAAGACCACAGGACACAGAAGTGATCAGGAATTGGCTAAAGAGGGCCAGAAATGAGTACTGTACTGTACTCCAGATTCAAGAGAACAGAGCAGCAGCAATGTGAAAATAACATGGTGGCAAAAGCAAAGGACCAGCTAAAGTTGTTGCATGAATTCACACCTGATAGTAAGAGCTCTGGCTAAAAAGGCAAAGGAACATCTAATTGGAGAATGACAAAGTGGTGCATCAGGAGCTCAACAGTAGGTTCCAAGAGGTGTAAAAAAAGAACTAATGATGTATAATACTAGGTGCTACAGTCAGCACCTGGCATTGTAAAAATTGCAGAGAAGAAAATTAAAAAATATCTTATGTAACTAGATATGATGATAGCAATGAGGCTAGATTAGATATCATAACAATTACATGCAATAACAACACTTATTTTAGAAATGTTTTATTAGTTTCAAACTTTTGATATACTGTAATAGGTAAGTGAACTCTTGCCATTGTAACTGGAGAGTTGCCAAAGTGCGGTGTCATTTTACTAGATGCCAAACCCAGCAAGTGTAAGTTAATGAAAATGGTAAGGGGGGGAAAGGGAACCCAAAAGTTACAATGTGAAAGGATGACACTCCACAACGCAAGGCAAGAACAGTAGACCTGTAATTAGTCAGACATCTCACACTGGTGGGCCCTGTGGGAAAGGGAAGGGGGATGTCCCACCATTGTTGTTGGAAGTTGTATTCACCTGAAGAGAGGAAGAAATCTTCATCCCACAATACTTTCAACCATTAAGAGTGATCATGTCCTATTGGAAATTAAATACACCATTCATTATAATAGTCGAGCCTGGGCCTCAGGCCGGGCTCGGGTAGTAGAACTGTCAGAACCTTCTCCAGGTATGCTTCCTCTCCAGTTACAGAAAAAGTTGCAGACAGGAAAGTACAAGAGGAACCATAACCTTAAAAGAGGAAGTTATGGGGAATTGAGTGATTTCCTTTGTAGATTTGATTAGGAAAGATTGTCATTAGGAAAGGAGGTAAACGGGATTTACACACCATTTTCTGCTATATATATGATGTCCTCCCAAATTTTGATACTGAAACAGACATATAGTATTTGAAAGCAGAAATTGTGATAAGGTTAGAGATGTGAAAAGAATGAAACTGAACCCAATATATGGTATAAGAAGGGGCATAACCCACAAACATATCAGAAATGCAAGCAAGCCTGAAACAAGGTTTATGAAAACAGAAGGAAATGTGTGAAATCCTAAATTAAAAGTTAAAAAGTGTGTCCATACAAAGTTAGGATTTCACAGCATCTGACACAAAGTAAATGGCTGCAGTTGGTAATTGAGAAAACCTAACTCATGCAGTATTATTTTCTTTAGTATTAATTATAATAATGTTATTTCTGCAAGGTTCTGCAACTTTATTCTTACACACACATGGTTCCAACCAGTTTTTTATTTATTATTATTATTAATTTACAAGTACAAAAAGTTATTGCCTAAACTTTCCTGTAATGTGTGCATTAGACCTATAACTATAAAATTGCCACATATCCAGCTGACTTGTAAGAAGACTGGCAACAATTCAATTTCTTTATTATGCACCCCATACCCATCCCTGTGGGCGGTGGTGGAAAAGGGTTAGACACACATAATGGGTTCAGGAACTGAACACCATAGTTCATTTAGCTAAGCAAGTAACAATCTTTTGAAGCTAGTGACACAATTATTAATGTTATATATACAATCATTTTCACAAATACATATACACATCGATACTCTTTTGTATCACAAGTGATTTAACAAGAGGCTCACAACAGTCACTATACAAGGCACTAGACTTAAATTTTCTTGTTGTCCAACCTCTGACTTGCAAAGTAATTGACGTAGACCTATTCTTGAGTGTATGTGAAAGCACTTTCTGGAATCTATTATCTGATTTTCATTAGTAAATGAGTGAAGGCCATTTATATTCATTGAAGGTAGTGCTCAAGGTATTTTGGACGGGAAGACAGAGAATTGCAAATACTGTAGTAGTGTGAAAATAGTATACACATAATTAATAAATATCACATTAAATGGAAAAACAAAAATCATAAATATGGCTTCCAACCTTGACCGAATGCTAGAACCAAGCGGTTTGAAGGGGAATAATTATATATACAGTATATATATATATATATATATTATAGCAGTATATTTATATATTAAAATGTTCTTCTCAAGGACTGTATTGGCAATGGATGCTTACATTTTGTTTGCAGAGTGAGAGCGTGAGTGGGATCCAGTACACTCCAGTCATAGCCACGGTAATGATGCTAGAGGTTTGGGTTACTGTCTCTAAGTTACCTTCTGTACCTCTTCTGTGTTTCTATATCTCTTTACGTTTGATATCAGTCCAGTACAAATACTCTTGAATTTTGCCTTTGAATGACTACTTGATTTTTTTTTCTTGTTCTATTGTTAACTAAAAATTTATTAGAATTTTCTTAAAAATGTATGTGTAAAATACTCTTGGTGAAAAGAACGGTTTTATATGCTTAAAATGCATTACTTCAGTGGATAATCTCAATGATCATTGGATGGTTGTAACTTAATGAGATATGTTTACTTAAATAATGTTCTGGTGAAATGAATGTTTTTTTTTTTTTTTTGTTGGTTTATGATTTGTCATTTGGTTGCTTGGCGCTCATTAATTTTGGAACGTCTTAATTGCTTGGGTTATATATTTTTGGAATTATTAAATTAATATGGCTGCTAATTTTAATTAACCTTTTTTTCCAAGTTATGTACTGTATTTGAAAGTTATTAAATTATATTATTATTGTGAAAGAAATATTAATTAATAGGAATCTCATTCACCATTTTCCTGTCCCTTCTTATGAATGGACAGGTAAGTGATAAATAAATCAATACTGTACTTGCTTGATCTGGACATTTTCATATGACCCATCCCTACTTGTAAAAGGTTATTTTCTCTGTACAGTATATTTATACACGGTGATCGTGTAAACTCTGAAGGCATTATTCACATTTTTATTTTACTTTATGGTATTAATTTGGAGTAATATTGATATCTCGCAGCATTATTAGTGATGCCACAGGACTCGAGAAGTTGGTGAAATATTAAGAAACAAAAAAAGGAAATGATGAGCCGACTCCTCGGTTACTTCCCAGTACTGTATATTAAACTTCGGTATTTTAGACTATGCGCATAACGCTACCAGGCCTCCGGACCTCACAGGGCTTGTAAACACCAGGACTTAAATCTGGTGTTTACCTCCACTACATCACTGCCTAATGCATTCCATCTGTTGGTTACTAACACTGAAAATGTTCTTGCTAACATCTATACTTTATTTATAGTGTACTCTTTTTGGGTTTGTGCCATGGGTGTTCCTGTTTTGGACGTGTTTATGTTCTGGCTTGTCAGGCTTTGCCTTGCCTGCTGGGGTTCTTGCTTGGGTTACATTTTGGGTCACTTTTGCTCGTTTTGGTTTTCACCGACTTCTTTTGTTTTCACATTAAATTCCATTTGCCAAGTGTGCGCCATACACACATTTTGTCCAGGTTATCTTGAAGGGCATAACAATCACCTATGTTTCTTACCTTTCCTAGTAGATTGGCATCATTAGCAAACATGTTCATTTAATTCTGAATTCCTTCTGGTAGATGGTTTATATAGACTGATTATTACCAGTCCTAGAACTGAACCCTGTGGTACTCCAATGGTAACACCTCCAGTCCGATACAGTGCCTCCTGATAATTGTCTTCGTGTTTCTGTCAATTTTTCATCTATGTCAGCCGTCTTCTTGTCACTCCTTCCATATGTTCCAGTTTCAATAATAACCTCTTATGTGGAACTCTGTTGAAAGCCATTTTATGGTCCAGATAAATGTAGTCAACCCAACCATCTCTTTCCTGAAAAGTATCTGTGGCTCTGTTGAAGAAACTAAGTAGATATGTTACACAGCATCTTCTTGATTGAGGTGGAGTGGAGATATGCATATGTTCTTCCAATTTGTAAACCCAGGAATTATGTAATTCATTAATATTTATAGACCTATGATTGTTGTCCACCTTAAGTGGTATTATATTTCAAATTTTTTTGGCATTTGCAGCCTTCAAAATTTAGTTTCCATAAATGTCATATTACATCAGATGTTGTACACAGAAAGAAATCGCACTAATGTGATATATCGATGAGAAAATCCGTAGGAGCTAGGATGAGGATTTGAACCTGTGCGCTGAACCTGAACCCAGGCACACACGCCCCTCACAACTAAAACAATACATGATCAAAAGAATTGTAACCTGTAGTTCTACTGAACCCTCGAGGATTCCTGAGGCTTTCACTGAAGCCGAACTAGGGTTTCTCACAGTCCCCCCCCCCCCCCCCCCCCTCATTTACTCTGGCTCTATCGTCTAGGAATGTTCTACCTCAACTCCAGGTTTGCTATGTTTTTGACCGTGTCGTGGCCTAGTTGTCTGGGGCGTGTGCGCCTGGGAATACTCGGTGTATGGTTCAAATCCACAACAGATGTTGTGTTAAATTAGAAGTACAGATATATATTCAGGGCTGCCTTCCTTGCCAATAAATCGGTAGGGTTACCTTGCGTTGATTTCGGGGATCAACGTCCCCACAGTCCAGTCTCTGACTAGGCCATATTTTAACCCAATTAAACACTTTGATACTTGCACAAAAATTGTTGATATTTTTACTTTTCAAAATACAGTACATATAATTTCCTGATAGTAAGGCTAGATTAATGATGTAAAATTAGGAAACAAGATTTGTTGAAAACAATTCCCATTTGTCATTTTATATGGGTTAGCAGAACCATTGTACTGCACCAACCAAATTTTAGTCCTTTGGTAGTCCGACAACAAAGTTACGATAGTTCCTGATCTCGGGAGCAAAGTGCTTACTAATAAAGGAATAGGTAGGAGTTACGGCTCTTTATTTAGGTGCAAATAAGCAGGTAAAGAATTTTATAGGCCATTCATTACTAAAGAATATTTGATATGTTTTAGGAACCTCAAGCCATCACGACTCCTGACAAAAAGGTGGCTCAGCAGAACGGGGTTAGACTCCGAAACTTTCTTAAACTTCCTCAAGCCCATAAATGGGTTTATTTTGAGTGGTTTTATTCTAACATTGACAAGTAAGTACCTACTATTTTATGTAAGAAATATAGAATAATGCTAAAGTATATTATTTTGTTATAGTTCGTATTGCCATGCTCATGAATTGTGCAAACTATAATAAGCCATTCTCTTTTCTGCTTTGCTGTTTTCTACAGTAATTTAATTTGCTAGGTAACCTATCTATATCCAGAGAATGTCACAATAACACGATAAGGGTTCAGGACCATCTGAAATGTCATCACTTTTGTTTCTGGAGCAGCCAGATGATGGCTCTCTGTAGCTAGCTGCACATCTATAGATAGATTCATATTTATAGGTAGCTCCAAGTTCATAACTCACATCAGCCCTTGCGTGTCCTTAAAAGCCTACTAAAGACCAGAGGCCAAAACCTGGCCTGAGATATGCAGGGAGCAGGGGGATTCATGATCACTTTCATGGAAAAAACATACCCACAGAAAGGAACCAAAGCAAAACGGACAACTGCAAGGGTCAAAGAAAGTAAACAAACAATGCAGCAAGTGACTCGGCTAACAATCATCTCTTTAGTTCGGTCATACACCCCTTGGTAACGGTTGACCACCACCAGGTGGCAACATGGGGAGCTACCAGCTCCTCCTGTCAATAATCCTCACTCCTTTGCCTGATGTCAGACTTGTCTGACTCTTCCATGAGTTACTATCTCCTCAGGTCCCTGATATTATGTCTATTTACAAGCCTCATGTCTATGGACTTGTAAGCTGTTCACCTGGAGCTGCACGTGCCTTAGAGCAGCTCTGCTCTACATCCCAGCTGGTGTTACCCACGTCCTGCCTTGACAGGGTTGCATTTATGGTGGGATCAGGTGTTTGTCTCGGAGGCTGGCCTCTTGTGCAAGGTCTCTCACCCTGAGTAGTGCAGGGTCTTTGATTCCTCTGTGAGGCTCCGAGGTTTAGGGCATTTTGGGGGTTAAACATTATGGGGTGCAATAAGGTTTGCATCCTTGTATGTATGGCACATTGCTGTTGGCATTCCTAGTTGTGTTTTTCCATTGTTAGTTCTGGAAAAGGGTTCAGGATAACCCTTTTGGTGTCAGAAAACTGACACCAGCATTTGGTGTTGGTTTGTCCTGCAAGCATTCCTAGTGCCAGGATTTCCTGCTTGGTCTTTACCTTCAGGCCCTAACAACTCCCCAATGGGTCTTTAGTGTAGATCATCATTGCTTGCCTATCAGTGACTACATGGGAGTGGGATCAGCTCTTTTATGTCCCACCTCCTATCCATTTATACCTCCTTTAAATTACCTTTCTCAACATTATTATTTTCATCATAATTTTTCGTAGTTGTGACTTCAATAACCTTCAATGCATTTCACTTGCATTGTGGAATGAAACAGAGGGGATATAAAAACTACATAAAAGATCATGAGAAGAATAGACAATGGATAAAAGTTTATTTTAATTAAGAAGAGGTAGGACAAGGGTACAACATTGGAAACTAGACATGCAATTGAATCGATTAGTTGTAAGGAACTTCTCATTTCATGAATTGGTGACTGGCAAGTGGCATACATTGAAGAAAAAGTTGTCAAAGCCAATTCCATCTACAACATTAAAAAAAAAATACGATGAAAATGGTACTGTTGAGAGAGGCAATTAGCATGTCAAGTATGAATGGATAGGGGGCAGGGCATAAAGAGCTGGATACCCCATAGTCACTGGTAGGTAAGCACAGGTGGACTCGGCAGTGGCTTGGGTGAACAGTATTCGCTGAAATGAACATTTGTTTGATCCACTGAACAATTCTCTCTTATATTCAGACACCATTTCTTGTCACATGGCTATGCTTGGTCTTGTCTTTTGTATACAAATTTTACTTTTGGCCATTCAAGAATTGTAGTTCTTAAATTGTAGTTCAAAGGTTCTTTATGAATGTAGTTTTGTGATCAAGGTTTTGCTATAGGTTTGATGAGAGGCTTTCGTTCTTCAGCCATTTGAATTCCTCATTTCAAGTGACAGTACTAGTTTGTGTTGTCACGTATGTCTAGTGGTCAGCGTCTCCCATTATTTATACCTAGGTATATCTCATTAAAATTTAGTGATACTTTATATGTAGATCATGTCATGTTCATTGTGTTATGAAATGAGATTTCCAAAACTTAGTATTTTTCCATCCCCAGACCGTTGTTTGGAGGGGAGAATGACTTTCAGGTCGTATTAAAAGAAGCATTTCCGGAACTTCGAACTCGCAAACTAACACGGCGACAATGGGGAATGATTCGCCGTATGATGGGTAAACCTCGACGCTGTTCACAGGTACTGAATCTTATTGCTTGATAAATATAAGATTTCTAACTAGAAAAATAGTTCAAATTGCTTTGCAAATTTTGGTGATTGCTGTTAATAATTGGAACATATGTTACTATGAAATAATTAGAATCCTGTACATACATGAACCCATATTATGAGGACACATACATACATATATACACCCCTGACAATGATGGCCTCAGGCAAATGCCACCTGTGGCTTATCAGGTGATGATGCAGATGATGAGTCTTGCATATCGTTCATGGCATAAGTACGTCCATAACGTATTCCTGCATCAGTGAAGGAACTCGGACAAGACTGTTTAGCTCTCAAGCCACTAGTTGGCAAACATGACGAATACACACACTGATGTTGCCCCTTTGCTTTCCACAGCAAAAGGGTATATTCCATGCACTGCCTGGGAGCTTAGCCTATCACATAGACAAGACTGTTTGAGCTCTACCAATCTGCTGGTACAAACACATGGGTCAATATGACCCCGGTTACATGCGCCCTGACATTGACGTGCATGCTCACACACTGCCTCCGGGTGTAGAGTACACATCTCTCGACTCCGACTGGGGGCAGGCTCGTCGAGTCTGGGGGCCGGGCTTGGGGGGGGGGTAGAAGAACTCCGAAACCCTCTCCGGGTATGGTATGCTCCAGGTATGAGACTGTGATCTCACACTTGGAACATACCACAGCTCTATTTTAGAACTTCACAAACAGTTCTTTCACTAATGAAATGTCACTGCTTCACTGGCAATCACTTGTTTGATGACTATCACTCGATACTGTATCACACGAGTCTTTAATTATAACACTTGATTATACAAGTTGAGTTGTTACACTATTTGTCACAAAACTGATACTGGAGGTCACTGCACTAGCTTCTCTGTACATAAACACATGTAGTTATGTGATTATTATCCACACTGTCTCATACACACCCAGTGGGAGATGGCATCTCTACTCTGTATTGGCATCATAATTGCAGTTGAATCATTCTTCAGATGTTATCCAATCACATCTGCAATCACCAGTGATTCGGTTCTGGCACGCAAAAGTCACTTTAATTACTGAGGACTTGGGAAAAAGACTGCCCTTTGAGCTCCATCAAGGCAATGTGTCTGCCTTCCAGAGTTCTTACCCCGAATGGGTTCCTGGGTGCCTGCCGTGTCCTAAGAGACTCCATGGCATCAAGACCTGACAACCAGTCAGAACACTAGGCCTCCCTAAGTCGACTGCAGATGGAAACCGGTTGGAAGCGGCACTGTGCTGGTCTTTCCCACCAAAGCTATTTCCAAGGCATTTCACCACAGAGCATCAGTGGTGAAATTACTTACTCGAAGAGAGTATAGTAACTGGGAGAGTTTTGTGGTCAGCCGGGCTACAGTTTGTAGTGGCCGTGGTCTTCTCACCCCCACTACCAACCTGTAGCTCCACCTGGCCATGGGTACCACACCCTTGGGATTAATCCACTTTTCAAATCATTGCATCCCAATCAGATGACATAGGTCGACACTGGCAACATTCTTGAACTCCTCTTTGTTATGACGACTCTGTAGACATCAAACAATACACACATCGGACAAGATCTAAGGATGTTGCACCATCTGGAAGCAACTCGTGGGGCCTGACAGCTGAGTGGACAGTGCTTCGAATTCGTAGTCCTGAGGTTCCGAGTTCGATCCCCGGTGGAGGCAGAAACAAATGGGCAAAGTTTCTTTCACACTGATGCCCCTGTTATCTAGCAGTAAATAGGTACATGGGAGTTAGACAGCTGCTACAGGCTGCTTCCTGGGGGTGTGTAACAAAAAGGAGGCCTGGTCGAGGACCGGGCCACGGGGACGCTAAGCCCCGAAATCATCTCGAGATAACCTCAAGAAGAAGATAGAACTCTTACAACAAGAGCAGACATGAGCTTGGGCTTTGAGTGCACATTCCCTCACAATATTCTCACTTTACCTGCAATTAGGAGAGTTGATGACGTGTGTGGAAGTTGTGAGGAAGAAGAGAAGAGAAGAGAAGTTATTGTTTGGCAGATGAGTAGTTCCCTACCATAAAAACTTCAAGTAATTGTGCTTCTGTTGTTGTTTCTCTTTTGTCTTTTTTTTTATAAAGATCGTAGATTTAGGCCTACCGAATTGGGTAGTGAGAGCAGACATGCAGGCACCACTTTTATATATTGCTGCGAGTTCATTTATCATCTCTCATGGTTGTAACTAATTTCATTTATATTTGGCTCTTATTACTATCTTTCTTAGGTGCCATAGTGACCTATTTACATTAAGTATATAACAAAAATAAAAAATTAAAAGTTTAAAGAGAAGTTTAGTGGGGGTGTACGCTGAACGATAGCTACTGAGAAACCGACTCGTCAATTGTGTGTGTTTGAATGCCAAGCAAACGGTTGATTACCGAGCATGAACACAGCATTCCGGTGCCAAATTGTACCAGTATTGAGATTCCTTTGTATATCACTAGTGTTTTATACTCCACTTTCTATATATTTTATTATTCAAAATATTTTGATTCATCTCTTCCTTTTGTTCCTTAACAATACATGAACTCATTCTGATACATGGTAAGATGTAACAGTCTATTTGTTTTCCTGCAGGCATTTTTCCAAGAAGAGTGTCAATCTCTGGACAAGAAGCGTCATGTGTTGAGATTGTTACAACAGAGAAAGATCACAGACATTACGTCTTTGAAAGACTTTCCCTTACCCAGTCAAATTCCTATGCAACTGGTCATTGGCACTAAGGTAAAAATATGTGCTCTGTATTTAAATATAATAGAAAAGTAATTTTATATAGAGTACTAAAAATGTTATATACACTAAAAATGTTATATACTAAAATTTTTATATAAGATGTTAAGAACTTTTTAGAAGACGGCATTAATTCTGTTGTTGTCTTACAGTACAGTGGAACCTCTATTAACGAGTGGCTCTATTAACGAGTTTTTCCAGTAACGCGCAAGCCACTCGCAGCAAATTTGTCTCTATTGACGAGCTCGCCTCTATTAACGAGTGAAACCACATGGCGCTTCCTAGCGTCTCGCGGGTTCTCGCAAATTCTCGGACGCCTCCGACGCCAGTGTTGTTGTTGTATCTCACACGACAAGCATCCCTCTGGATTTATTTGAGCTTTTCTTTGGGTTTTTAGTGGTTTTGCGACTACAATTTGTAACAAACGATGTCTCCAAAGAAGCTGCTTGCTAAAGATAGTGTTGTCAAGAGGAAGAAAGACACAATTACTGTGGATTTAAAGAAGGAAATTATAGCAAAGCATGAGTGTGGTGTCTGTGTGATTGATCTCACAAGGAAGTATGGCAGGTCCTCATCAACAATTTACACCATTAGTAAGGGAATGAGGAGGTAAGGGAGGATGCTGCCTCTTAAACTGAGATCAGGGAAGTGTTTGGAATGTTTGAAAAGGTGAATGCATTCTTGGAAAAGCTGCCCTGATAAAGCAATGACAACCCGGTGTGTGAAAATGTTTAATTAATTTATCACTTTGTGATAACACTTTATGAAAGTGTTATCACTTTCGCAGGTATATGTCGCTTGAACATAACACACTTTTTTTCTCTTGAATGTTCCCAAACACCGCGCTCAAGCGTCATTTGAGCAAATATTTCTATAAAATCCAATTCTTATCCGATTGACTTGGGGATTGTATACAAGTTTGCCATGAAATTTCCGTTTTCTTTAATAACCACATTGCCTATTTGAGAAAACGGCATTGTATTGTATCTTCGGGGTAAGACTATTATATTGTTGACACAACGAGTGTAATCAACGTAGTTTTTTATTTGGTGCTGGTCTAACGCATCCTTGTGTGACATTTGAAATGAAATTTGGGTGAAATTCCCAAGAAGAGAGAGTCCGCCTGACTCAGAGGTGGATTCTCCTTCCACACCATAACCCCTCTCCTCCTTCCCACCTCTCCATTGTCTCCCTCAAGCCAGCAACTACTCTTCATAAGGTAAAGTAAATATTAAAACACTACAACAAAACATTTATATTTACATGTGCAGTATTATATTTACATAAAAAAAGTCATACAAGTATGGATGTTTTTGGGAGTGGAACGGATTAAATTTATTTCCTTTATTTTAAATGGGGAAATTTGTTTCCAAAGACGAGTTTTCCAGGTAACGAGCTCGGTGCCAGAACGGATTAAACTCGTTAATAGAGGTTCCACTGTATTCTATATCTCAATTTTTGTTTAACTGTTGTTAGGTATCTCAGTTGGAGAGATATCATATGATCTAGCCCAATATATTTATTATATAGCTGCAACAGAGAAAGACCAGGTATTTAGAAGGTGTATTTGGGAATAACTAAATGTTGTCATCAAAGCCACAGAAATGTTTTGGATGACAACCTCCTACTTGAGAACCATAATATACTACAGCCTCCAAGATACAAACCTCCATACTAAGGATCACATTCAGCCACTTGATTTTTCTCCAACGTTGGAGGATCTTCTTACTATCATCTCTGTAATTAAAAAAAAATTCACACATGAAAAGGCTTGTGTATTTGTTTTTATTATTAATTATTTTGAAGTTTATATCCGAGATTTATTTGATGCTGAGGCAGTGGCTCTGAATTGAGTCATTAGCACTGACACTGTACTAGAATATTACGAGCTAATGCTTCTTGCTTAGGAAAGACTAGCTTGTAAGACTGCTAATGGCATAAAGGAAGGTTTTAAGTTTTATAATGGTAATGTTGTCTTAACCCTAAGGTAACAGCTCGAATAAGAAAGCCCGAGAATGGATTATATACGGGCGTAATTGATGCAGTCGACACATCAGACAACACGTACAGGATAACATTTGACCGACATGGCATCGGTACACATTCCATCCCCGACTATGAGGTTCTGGTAAGTGTTATCTGTTTGTCTTATATACTTGATACTGTCGCTCAAGATCAGCATGAGTTTAAGGATCTTCTATGGGAAAGGAAGCCAGTAAGACAGATATCTAGAGATTACATTTTGGCATTCCATGTTTAAAAGTGTCAGTATGTGTTGAACAGACTTATCAAACTCCCACATTTTAGCTTTATTGCAGCTTTCTCAACCATTATAGGGGTTACAGTGTGCAGGTGAAAAAAAGCTAACTATATAACATAATAACTTTCCTTGTTAAGACTTCTCAATAACTTGAGTGACAGAGCTTGAGCCTCACACACGTGGGGTCCGAGGTTCGAGTCTCCAAGAATCCAGGTGAATGGCATGGAGTGTGCTGGTGGTTAACATTAAGGGCAGGTGTCAACAGGTGTTACAGGTTTAGTTAAATCAGTTTCAATCTCATTTGTCCAATATATAGTACAGTACTGTTGTACAATGCTGAATATTTCTCTTTGAATACATTGCATATACAGAACAAATCCACAAGGGCCGTGACGAGGATTCGAACTTACGTCCGAGAGCATCCCAGACGCTGCCTTAATCGACGGAGCTACGACACTGTAGCTCAGTCGATTAAGGTTGCGTCTGGGATGCTCTCGGAGGTAGGTTCGAATCCTCGTCACGGCCCTTGTGGATTTGATGCATCACGCTATTGTGATTTCTGTGTGTAGTGTTATATATACAGTATACCCTTTTGCATGAAGTTTCTCATTTTTCTAATTTCATCTCAAAATTCGTAACTTTCTTGTCTTGAAAGGTTATCAATAACGTTTGATCTCGCAAGATTTCTCTTTCTTAATCCTCTTTATGGCTTGATGATTTTGAGCCCTAGTGCTACATCTAACCTGAGGTAACCAGCCATCTCTGGGACACCCAGCATCTTTCCAGAGGTCATGCCAAAAGATAGATCTGTTTTGGGATTCTTTAACATGATCATGCCAAGAGGGCTTTCCTCCTCATGTGTTTTAGGAGGGATGCCCTCTTCTCTCACCCTAACTAGCACTGATATGCTAGATGTAAACAAATCACCGAGACTATTCTGGTACAAATTACACTGAAGATTAGTTTTAACAATTGCATATATATTTGAATTTGAACATTACCGAGCTTTCCAGTTGCTCGGTCTTAAGTTATCTAACAACACTGGTGTGGTGTTGTCATTGAATATTTACCTTAGGTGAGAACCACTGAAATGTTTAAACTCTTGACAAGATGAAAATATAAATGATTAAAAAAAAAGTGTAACAAAGTTTTTTCCCACTCTGGATAAAGATTGGTCCCAGCTTGGTGTGGAGGCCCAAACAACAACAGTATATGTACCTCGGATTAAAACAATAAATTTTTTTTTGTTTTTTTTGTTTTTGTTTTTAGAAACTATTTTTGTTCAGAATTGGTTCATCAACCCACATTTTTCCAAGTACAATAAAACCAAAAATTGTATGCCTTGTGAAAGGTTAAATTTCTTGCAACCTTTTTTAAATTCCCCAAATGCTTAAATTCTTTCAGGATTTTGCACTTGTTGTTGAGTATGTGATTGATTCAGATGAAATGATATATTAATGTTTCCTTTTGATCCATGTTTGTTTCTAGTCAAGTGAGATTGCGGAAATCATGCCTCTATCAAGTTTCTCTCAGAAGTTCCGTCCGCGGCCGCCAATGGGGATGGTCACTCCTCCTCGGCCACTGTTACCCAAGCAGGAACCTGGAAGTGTGGGAGCTGACAGTCCAGCACTCTCACTGACAAATGATCCTATTTTAGCTCAGTCGCCCCTCAAATCGTCTAAACTCTCAATGGACGACACTCTTGGCGAATTCCCTGTTAAATGTCTTGTGCAAGTTGTAAGTCATTCTTTTGTTAAGAATTTACCAAAATTGTTGTTTCTCTTGGTTAATTTTAACATCCCATTCTATTTCTGATGATACCTATTGCTAGAATTTTCATGTTTACTTTTCCCTTAACAGTTCAGATAGTTTTAAAGTATTAAGTATTACCCCAAAAAGTATTAATTAATACAGTCAGTCTTAAGGTATGCCAGAAATGCTGTGTGTAATTAATGGCTTTATAGAAACTGCAAAAACTGCACTAACTAAGTAGTCATTTTCATCAGATCCTCAGTTTATCAATAAAATATTTTATTAATGTTATTGTTTTATTATTATTATTTTTTTTTATTGCAGTTGTTAAATGTTGTATATTCAAACTGTTTTAATTCCATACCTTTCCATACCAAATCTAACAGCTTTTTTTTTAATAATGGTTTAGCTTGAGAGGTTTTATTCATAACTTACTTTTTACAAACCAATAAAGTAATGCCTTAATTTATAAAGTGCATAGTCTTGAAAAAAAAATGTTGTGTTATTCAGCACATTTCGATCTTGATTCTACGAACTCTATGGGGCTTACCCTAGTTCATTGTAGTGAGGGATTCACTGCAACTGGAGATGCCTCCAGGATGCATTTATCACGCCACATGGATTGAATTCATTTACCAAATTTTCATTTCAAACTATAAGAGATTATTAAATGAACAAGTCTGCAAAAAAATTTAACCACATCTAGCTCATTTCTCATGTTCCAATCCTCAACACTCATTTTCAAAATGTAGCAGGGCCATGCTCGAGTGAATAACACCACGCCAACTCGGAATAAAAACAAACCATACAATTTGGTTTTAAATATCCTCGATAGCTTTCCCTGCGCTTCAAATGTTTCTTGTAATGTTGAATCCATCTACAAAAGTCATCAAAACCGTGATTGGAGCATATTAATAGTTACCTTTCATACCCTAATATTTCTGACGCTCTAAGAGCCGATTTCACCGAGCGAAATTTTAATTTCAACATGTCATATGAAGAATAACCTCCAAGAAAACCTGTCTGTAAAAAAGACTTGATCACATATAGCATATTTCCCAGGCAAAAACCTCAAAATTTTATTTTCTAAGGTAAGAGGGCCTGTATTTTACTGAATAATAAATGTCTTCAAGTGGCAAAAAAACACATAAATTTTAGTTTTAAATATGCCCAGTGGCTTTCCGAATGCCCACCTATTTCTTGTAATGTTGCAACCATCCTAACATCCTAAGCAAATCCACATGTCCACTGCTTCGGTGAACTCGTGTTCATTGAATTGGGTGAGAGATCTGGCATGGAAAGTGTGTATTCCAACCGGAGATTCACTGAATCGAGATTTCACTGTACAATTTGTATTTGCAGTCATTTTCAGTGTGTTGTTTGTATACTCAGTTTTATTGTACTATACTTTGCTTCTTCACACAGCTGCCCACTGTGAATAAATACAGTTAGTACTTTATTTATAATTGTCATGAGGAATAAGGTACATTATGAGGGCATTACAGCCTGTGCGTGTGAGACCCACATGACATATCAACAAATTTGTGACAGTATGCTCCACTGGTGATGTATGGTGGGTATCTTGTGTAGGTGTTGGTGTCCACCTGTGGTACACGCAAGTATACAGTAATGTTTCTAATACAGCTCAAAGAGCTATGTTTATTTCTGGGGGCTCAATATTGCTTCTGTGACTGTAGGAATGATGTGTATTTCTACATCGATGAATATCAACCGCTACACGAGACGCATGCAATGTACAACCAATGGAGTTTGCCATCACAAACATATTTGTATGTACTTTTATGAATCTTAGAAACCATGTGACAAACACTTTTTTTAATTCTTGGTAGCGCTCATTGTCTTAGTTGGTTCTCGGGGTAATGCGGTTATCATCATTTGCCGATTTTAACAATTTTTGTCTGGGTTTTACATACATGATGCAAATAAGGATGTAATAGGTTTATATGAATTTAATGGAGTTTACCGTGACCCATGAAAAAATCCTGCTATCATTTCATGGTTACATGTACTAAGAGGAGCCTATTATTGTGTGCGCGCGCGTGCCATGTTGGTGGCTTACTACATCTTTTTTAAAATTTATACTCTCTCACACATGGTGCCAGTTAGGCTATATATGTCATCGCTTAGAGCCCAACATCAATGAATATTATGTTCATATAATTTTTATTACTGTCTGTGGTTGTAATGGCATATACCCGGTAAACCAATCATGAATTGAAACATTATTGAAACAATTGTCAAGTGAATTATGTGATTAATAAAATTATTCAACACACATACTCTTGTAAATAAAGAAAAACGAGTGAAAACAACCGGTGAAACATCCAAGGATAAAATGGGATGTGTCAGGAAAGTAGAGCAGCGGGTGTTGACAGGTCTCGGGCACATTCACCGCACATCCTTGCACAGTGTCTCCACCCAGTGACAATAAATATTCACTTATTTTGTGTTTTCTTACATTTTGGATACAAAAGAATAATTCTATAATGAACTATGTTTTGGAATTTACTTTTTTTTTTGCACATAGGCAATATGACCAATTTTTCATAGATGCTGTCCAAGGGTTAATCAGCATCACTGATTCGATATAGAAAACATATTGCTATTGAAGAAACAAACACAGTAAACATGTTGTATATTGTTACTTTGCTTTATATTGATTCAATTTTATCTTCAATTTAATACCTCTTAAATCTTATAAACATATTAATATTAAGCCTTGCTGATATTAATATTAAGCCTATATAAATATATATATATATATATATATATATATATATTATAATATATACAGTGGCGCCTCAATTAACAAGTTTATATCTGTTCTGGTACCGAACTCGTCATGGGGAAAACTTGTCTTGCGAAACAACAACAAAACTGTTGCAGGCGATGAGTCACAATAACGTGGCTGAAGTATGTTGACCAGACCAAACACTAGAAATTGAAGGGACGACGACGTTTCGGTCCGTCCTGGACCATTCTCAAGTCGATTGTGACTTGAGAATGGTCCAGGACGGACCGAAACGTCGTCGTCCCTTCAATTTCTAGTGTGTGGTCTGGTCAACAACAAAACTGTTGTCGGAGGTGTCCGAGAACCAGCGGGAATGTTCGTTAATCGAGTGAAAGCTCGTCAGTCGAGACATATTTTCTGCGAATGACTTGTTCGTTACTTGAAATGCTCGTAACTGGAGCCTCTCGTCACTCAAGGTTCCTCTGTACTGTATTACTGAATCAATCTGATCCTTGGTTTATATTACTGAATAATTCCATCTGATCTTAAATATAGCCTTGGCTTTTATTACTAAATCACTTCTTGATAACCTGAACCAAACTTGTGTGATTAATATTCGGGTAATAAAGTATTGGGTAAACTTTATTTTGGAAGATAAATAATTGCAAAACCTTCCACAATGTTCAAATTTAATATTAAATAGTTAGATTTAAAAAGTTACTAAAAGTACTCTATGATTTGTGTATAACTATATTATTTATGTACTTATAATCAGTTACTGTGAGAGATGTGTGTCTAAATATACTTTTAATTATTTCTAGGTAAAACTTTCAAAAATTCTCAGAGCAAAACGTGAAAAAATAGCCACTTTACGTGACATGAACGGTCAGGCAGAGAAGCAACGAAGTTATGGCCAAGAACTAAATGTAGACTTTCAGCGTAGATATGCCGGATTAGTTCTAGAAATTGAGAAGCTAAATCGTGACCTGAATCAGCATCTTCTGGCAGTTCAGGAATTTTGCCAAAACGTAAGTAAGAATCTAATGTATTTACTTGCTTAGGGAAGAAGTGCCAGAGTCCAGTGATCATGATGATAACTGGATAATGGCAAGTAATTGTTTACAGTAATTTTTTAATACGTCTTAATCTAACTCAAAAGGAAAACGAATATATTGCATATCTGAAATTTTGTGAATGTTCGATGAATGTTACCATTATGGAGAAAGTCAAGATGTACTGCTGAAGATTGCAGTATTTAAGTTGTTTACCTCCAAGATATGAGGGAGGATGCATGTATTATGTATATTACATGTACTTTACAAAGGTTTTTAATTGATAACAAGACTACTAAGGGAATGATGTTTCCTTGAATGGAAAATTAGGAAGACAAATAAGAAATGTGAAAGAATGTAAATCATTATTTGAAGATTATTGAAATGTTTTGGAGAGATTGTGTAAAATCTATTCTCTTAACCCTAAAGTGCAGGTATTGTCATGTGTTGATCCCTAGGGTAATGTGGTTATCATCCAGAAATGGTTCTAGGAGTCATTTAGTTGCATGTCTTTGCACCTTTCCCAGTTTGTTGATGTGCTGCTTCAGGTATGGGCACCATACAACTGCTAAATATTCCTGATCTCTGGTAGGCTATTAAGACTCCTGGCGCCAGATTCACGAAGCAGTTACGCAAGTACTTACGAATGTGTACATCTTTCCTCAATCTTTGACGGTTTTGGTTTATTTATTAAACAGTTTACAGGCATGAAAACTTCCCAATCTACTGTTGTTATTGTTATAAACAGCCTCCTGATACTTTGGAGCTCATTAACTGTTTAATAATTGTAAACAAAGCCGCCAAAGATTCAGAAAAGATGGACAGGTTCGTAAGTGCTTGCATAACTGCTTTGTGAATCTGACCACTGGGGCTCATGTATGGACTACCTCAGTGCGGCTAGCTTCAGGGAGCCACCACGGCCCCATCAGAAAAGAGGCATTTCATTACATTAAAGGCCGAGTTTTTTGTTGACCAGGTTTAACTACGTAATCTACCTGATTCAACTTATTTTTGTTCCTTTGCATTTAATTAGGAATGTAGACAGCTTTACATGATTATTAGCTTAATTTCAAATATTTTTACTGAATATTATTTTCCTCTGTAGATTGCCCCTGAGCAGTCAGGACCTACGCTGTTACCGGGTCAAATACGAGAGCGATGCTACGAGGAAGCGGCAACTATTGTAGATGTAACTAACCACTCGAGTGGATCTCCACAGGTGGCTAGCCCAGCCATCCTTGATCTTATCACCAAGCTCACTTCGCTTATGCTTCAAATGAAGGTTGGTTTTTAGCTTACAGTTACCAGTTTTTAATTCTTGTTCAAGTATATATGTCGACAACATAGTTTCTAAACATACACTGTATCTGCTAAGATTCGTGTGCATAAAGGTGCCTGAAAGATCAATTGAAGTGGAATGCTCAGCTCAAAAGTGCATTCTTTTAGAACCATTTTCACATCATCAGCAAACATTGAGAGGACCAAGTCTATTTCCTTTTGAGAGAGAGTTTACATATACAGTATCGGAAACAGGATGCGTCCAAGGAATGAACCCTGTACGGGCTCCACTTGTGATGCCTCGCCACTCTCAGACCTCACCCCTCACAGTGAGTCACTGTCTTCTGTTACTTAGGTACTCCACTATCCACTGGAGTACCTTTCCTGGTATTCCTGCCTGCATCTCCAACTTATGCACGTCTCCTATGGGGTATTGTGTCAAAGACTTTCTGGCAGTCCAAAAAAGTTTTCCCACCCTTCTCTTTCTTGCCTAATTTTTGCTGTAGGGTCATAGAATTCTATTAACTATTGAATTAAAAATGCATTAAAGGATAGCCTCTGCAATTAAGAAACTTGAGTTTGGCAGGTCCGGGCCCCTCTGCAATTAAGAAACTTGAGTTTGGCAGGTCCGGGCCCCTCTGCAGTTCCCTCCCCTATGGAAGACAACCCGGGGAATTGGTAGGGGAACGTGGTTAAGTGAGGTCCTACACCTGACAGCCTTTTCTTGGTACACATGAAGATTAACGTCCTTCTCTGGCATGTCCACAATCTTGCAGTAACCTTCATCTTTCACCCAGACGACAAAGACTGCCTACAATAGGTCTGTTTCCAGTTAACTCAACTTGTTGTGTGCCTCGGCCTTCTTAGCAAAGCTTCCAGTTAACCGTCTTATTGAGATCAGCTCCTGGAGCATACCTGGAGAGGGTTTTGGGAGTAGTTCTACTCCCTTAGCCTGGCCTGAGGCCAGTCTCCTGGGCACCTTCCTGCACATTGCTGGTTGTCATCACAATCCTTTCTTGGGTCTGCCCTTTTGACACTATAGCAAGCTAATGAAACAGGACCAACAGGACTAGAGGGTCAGGCAGCAAGCAGGCTTGGCTTTGTTCAAACTTTGGGAACAAGTGAAGTGTCTCGGCCAATCCTCAGGGTACTTGTTAAGATGTCTCGATCCTGCTTGGTGCTAATTGGTTCTCACAGGTAGTGTTGTGCTTGTTACCATAGTAACCTGGTGTTTTCAGCTTCTAGAAAATTGTGTTGTCCTTCGCTGGGCAGGAAAACCATCCTTGCCTCCAGTTTTCCTCAATATATAATCTTCATTAATATCATACACAACTTTAAACAAAGCTGTCAAAGAAATATAAGAAGGATCACTTTCGCAAATAGGATGGTAGACGGTTGTAACAAGTTAAGCGAGAAGGTGGTGGAGGCCAAAACTGTCAACAGTTTCAAGGCATTATATGATAAAGAGTGCTGGGAAGATGGGACACCACGAGCGTAGCTCTCATCCTGTAACTACATATATTTTGTCTAATTTAAATTATAGTATATGATAAACAAAGAGGAAAACACACACACACTGAGAACAACTCTCATATAGTAGTAGTCCTAGGCTGGCCTACACCTGGAATGATGACAATAGTATTTTGTTTGTATTTGATAACTTGGGACAAACCCTATACAATGATTGTTACATAGTAGTGTAGGGGAGCTGGTTCTCTGAGATGCCAATCCATCCTCCTGGTTGACATTGCTTTCTGTAACTCTGTGCACCATAGTACAAACATTGATGTACTAAAACAATTATATAGGAGATTTTTGTACTATTCACTTTATAGTTAAAAAAGAATGAAGCTAAAATAAAATAAAAATATTTCTAGGCCTAGTATAGCACACACACACATGTACTATATTAGGCCTAGGAAGGTTAGGTTAAGTTAGTTTAGTTTATCTTTGCAACATAAATAGAAAATCTTTTCCAGTCTGTCTAAATTCAATATGTCTGATCTGTCCAAGTTCTGTCCAAATATGCAATTGACCAATGTGTTCAATTGCGTTGAATGTCAGTATACGTGCTGTGGTCCTCATCGTCACTTTAAGTACTACTAAAACAGGAGGATGGGATGGAGATGCTGTGTAATGTAATTCAAGGAGTCAAGTAATAGTTAAATTTGTAAACATCTTAAAGCTGTCTTGTCTTACGTTTGCCTTTTCTTCTCCATGCTGATTCTTCCTCAATGAAGAGAGAAATGGGGTAATTATAAGAATAAAATCACAGAAAGCTTATTGAGCAATCTATTTATTGTATTTTCTCCTACAGAACCTGGCAGAAACAGAAGTCAGTGCCTTTGAGCTAACATCACTGCAGGAGACACTTAATGAAATCCGCAATTCTTTAGACGAGTCAAACAGGGTGGCCTTTCAGAACAACATTGAAGTCCATCTAACTCACATAATGTCTGCCGTGTCGCAGATGGGGACGCTTCAGGCCTTTAACAATCACAATGGTATGCCAGTATAGAAAATCATTTTAAAGTATTTCAGAAAGGGCTTTATACTTATATATTATATATATATATATATATATATATATATATATATATATATATATATATATATATATATATATATATATATATATATATATATATATATATATATATATATATATATATATATATATATATATATATATATATATATATATATATATATATATATATATATATATATATTATATATATATATATATATATATATATATATATATATATATATATATATATATATATATATATATATATATATATATATATATATATATATATATATATATATATATATATATATATATATATATATATATATATATATATATATATATATATATATATATATATATATATATATATATATATATATATATATATATATATATATATATATATATATATATATATATATATATATATATATATATATATATATATATATATATATATATCTATATATATATATATATATATATATATATATATATATATATATATATATATATATATATATATATATATATATTATATATATATATATATATATATATATATATGTTATATATATATATATATATATATATATATATATATATATATATATATATATATATATATTATATATATATATATATATATATATATATATATATATATATATATATATATATATATATATTATATATATATATATATATATATATATATATATATATATATATATATATATATATATATATATATATATATATATATATATATATATATATATATATATATATATATATATATATATATATATATATATATATATATATATATATATATATATATATATATATATATATATATATATATATATATATCTTATTATATATATATATATATATATATATATATATATATATATATATATATATATATATATATATATATATATATATATATATATATATATATATATATATATCGTACTGGATAACATAAACCAAAGAATTTTGTTTTGTTTTTTATAAATTTTAAAATATTTGTGTGTTGTTATTGGGTACATTTTTCTGAAGGGTGGCATATGCAGACATTAGAAAATATGTGTACAGTACTGTATTGTGGTTTGCAAACAGTTTTAAGCGAGAGAGAGAGAGAGAGAGAAAGAGATACTAAATTAGGAATTTCTTGTAAATGGTTAATATATTAATGACAATTTTGATGGGAAAATATAACATTTTAAATGTCATCAGCTGATTGATCCAGACCTTAATCCTAGACTCATGGTGTTCTTAAAGCAATGATTTACCGTTTTATTTTGGATGGCTGTTTTAACTCTTGGTTTTGCAGGTTTCAATGCTGTTTTATTTTGTATGCATATATACAGTGGCACCTCAATTAACGAGCACCTCTATCTACAAGCATTTCAAGTAACGAGTAAGCCACTCGCAGAACATTTGTCTCTACTAACGAGCGTTTCCTCGATTCACGAGCGTTTCCGCTGGTTCTCAAGATACCTTTTACGGCAGTTTTGTTTTTGTTTCGCAAGACGAGTTTTCCACATGAGGAGTTTGGTGCCGGGACAGATTAAACTCGTTAATCGAGGTGCCAATGTAGTACCTTTTGCTAGTGGCTCATAATTTATGCCGTTGTCAAGTACTTTACTATAACAAATATTTACTTTTAAAGTACTTTAATTTCTTCATATACTGTATTTTGCTCTATTTCTTACACAATTTCTGGTTTGGCTATGCAGTGCAGTATATATAAAACCATAAATAAATTTTATAATGTTTGTATAATTAAAATTAAAATGTAAAAGTCCTCCATTCAACATATTAAATTGTTTTAGTTTAGTAAAAGAAATGTCTTGTGTGGCAATCCAGACTGCTAAAGTTGTCAAGTTCAAGTATGTTTATTGAGACAAAAAAGAAATACATTTCAAAGGGATAGAGTGGCTTAGGCTATTTCTACCCCCCTGGTAAAGTTGTCATATTCTCGCTCTGCCGATAAAGTATGTGACAATGCTGTTTTCTTTATCCTAATACCTGGTTGTCGCTGCTTTCCGAGAAGTGATTTTATTGATTTAGTTTGGGATTTTAGATGTCCTTCATCCATCCCCTCGGCCCTCCCTTTCCCCCCTCATTCCTCTCCTTGATCCCCTATCATTTCCATCTCTCCCTTGATCCCCCTTATCCCCATTCCTTTGGTCCCTCGTTCTCTCATGGTTTCTTCACCCCGATATTTTTCCCACTCTTCACCTCATCTCTCCCCTGACCCTCTCATTCCCATCCTGTTTGTTTCCCACCCCCCTTTGCCCCTCCTCCCGCCCTCCCTTCCCTTCCCTTAGGTCTCCTTTTTTTCCCATATTTTTCCATGCTTCCCCCAAATATGCCTTGACTCCCCTCTTCCTCATTCTCTTGGCCCGCATCCTAGTCCTCACCCTAATATTTCCTTCCGAGAACCACCACATGGGTCTCTCGGATTGCTGTTCTCCTCTTTCTTTTTCTTTTGATATTCTTAGGATCACTGAAAATCTGTTAGTCACGCACCATATGTCACATTTGCTTCCATGAAAATGGCCTGGGGTGTGGATAATTACTAATATTTCTTAAAGCATTAAATTTAGGATTATTTGACCAGCCTATATGTGTCCTGTATCCTCAGACCATTACCCCTGCAAAGTTGGGTGAGGCTGGCCCTAAGTATCTGGCCTTTATGGTTGGACAGACAGATACTCTTGTCTAGTATAGATTTGGTGGTAAAGTTGTTTAAATACATTTACAGTAGCTGGAGCGTTAGTTCATATATTTTGTTACATCTCTTCAATCTAGACATCTGCTTGATTGTCATCTTTGATTTTCTATGGCTTTGTCAATGGTTGCAAATTCTGACATTTTTGTTTTTTCTGACTTTTAAGGTTGGTATGGCCATCTTACCATATCTTCATATTATGTGCAGGCTGTGAGCTGGTAATTTTCCGAGCATGCAGTTGCTCCTCAACCGAAATGTATATATTTACGGTACTTTTCATACACATGAATGCAGTTGGATGCCATTTATCAGAATGTTCAGAAATGAATGATCTTAAGCTTGGTGAAAAACAAATGTATATAAGCAATATTATTTATGCTAGGCGCTGCTGAGTATACAAATGCTTATAGTTATTTAAAAATTGTACTCCTATTTATGATCATAGGTAATTTTTTCTTACAAATGTATGCTTACGATTGATCTATGTCCTCTTTAGATAACAAAAAGTAACTTGAATAATGCTTATTCAATATTTGTTCAAAATGAAGGGTAATTTGTGTGTGGAACCATTGACTAATTGTATATATGTGACAATGGCCCATGTGTTAGTGCAGGTCTTGTGAACTCGGCTCACTCCTCAGGTGTAGGATTTGAAGGTGTCGGTAGGATGCCTAAATAAGTCAAATTATTGGGATGTATATTCAACTGCATAATTACATCTCTGGACTTGTTTCGGTCCGTCCTGGACCATTCTCGTCGTCGTCCCTTCACTTTCTAGTGTGTGGTTTGGTCAACAATTACATCTCTGATTTAACATCAACTAAATCATAGTGTGATGCCTCAGATCATGAGCAGTTTTAGTAAATGGCATCCAACTGTGTAGACAGATTAAATGGTTTAACTTGGGTTTTACAAAGTGATGTGGATTTAAGCAAGCCAGTCTTTGTAGTAGACGATTCAAGGAGTTAATTCAAATCAAATAAGTAATGAAGCATCTTATTTTACAGCATTATCATCTATCATTCAGCCTAACATATAATTACCAAAAAAATGGATTCAGTGCCTTTGTTAATTGGTTTATTTAATATTGGTGTAAGTAGTTTATGTAAAGCGGTTTACATACAAAAAATACAATATTGTTAAGCGTGGATAATGTGGAAAATACAAATGCTGGACATAAGTCATTGTTTTATGATTGCTGGCAGAATTTTAGAATAATCTGGCATATTTTATAAACTTGTGAATCTAAAATAGGTTTATTCATGAGTCTATTAAACTTGTGCATAGTAATACATGAATCTGCACTAGTATTATTCATGATTGTATTGAGGAACTTGTGCATATCAGATACTCTCGTGTGGAACATTATTGAGTGAATTACCGAGCCACTTAACAAATAAGGTTGACAAGGATTACCAATATCAATACTTTATAGTAGTGTGGTTTTCTGTACGTGTTTTGGCATCCTGTGTCAAGTAGATAATACTTTATTGATATGATATTGATGTATATTTTTTTATTTTAAACCTAGTTAAAAGATTATTATATGGATAGATAAAAGATTAATGCTGTATGTGGATTGAAATATTTCTTAGCAAAAAATGTAATTTTTCATTTGTATATTTTGAAGCATACTGTAGAGAAAGTTACTAGAAAATTGTCAAATTAATCAAAATTAAAATTGCATTTCTATACAGTATATATATTTTGGTTTTAAAATTATTTGAAGGTTTTGTGTTCCTGATATTGTTCTTTTTACCTATCCATTTATTTTCACTTGAAAATTCTAGTCATAATTAACATTGCTAGGTTCGTGCTGGTAAAGGTAGTTAATTTTGGTGTCTGATACATTTTTTGGGTTGAACATTACATTTATACATAATTGTGGAAAAATGTTCTCATTGTTAAAACATTGTATTGTGTGATGTACAGTATATGGAGTATGTTATCACAGGAAGGATTTTTGGTCTGGACGTGGTTGATGCCATCAATATTGGGATTATGATTGTCTTAAAAATATTAAACTCAAATGTCAGTAGGTTTGGTTGCAATAATTTTATCTAAATTACACAAGCTGACTTCCCTTACAATTGTTTCAGAATTGTGACCTCCACATTGGGATGTATCGTGGGCTTCAAGAATTCTTATCAGAGTAGAAATTGAGTGTGGCCTTCTATATTATCAAAATTAGTAAAAAAAAATGACATTATTTCACATTGGGATAAGTAGAGAGAGAGAGAGAGCAATCTTGCAGTACAACTGGGCACTGGTTATGTTTGAGTTGCTCTGCGTGATTCATCCTTTGGTCAGATTTGTTTTGTCCACAAAGGTTTGGTGTAAATAGTTGAATTAGCTTCATGGTCATAATCATGTTACATATTTGTACATATGTAAAGAGAGTATTACTATTTTAAAAGTTAAAGATGGTTTGATTAACCTGTGTGAAAAGTGTTTATTATTTAATCGTACTTTGTTACATATGCTAGTTTTTATTATTATTCAGGTATATTACTTCTGAAAGCTCTGGATCCTGCCTTCTGAAGTATATTTTTAAATGTTACTCCATGCCACGTATGTTATATGTCGTATGGAGCTAACCAAACTAAAACATGTAGCAAAACAAGCGTTTACAAATTTTTATCCTTGTTTGGAGTTTTTTGATAATTACAAATTTTTATGCAATTTTGACTTTGATATTCAGCTATTACTAGAGGATAAGGAAAGCAAATTAGTTTCATACTATCATTTTATTCAGTACCCTTCATATGAGGATAATAATGCTACAAAATTTTTATGTATTTTTGTACATAAATTGAATAAACGATCTTTACTGCGAATTAATCCTAAACAAGTTCACCGCAGTTGGAAATGATGACCTTTTCTGTTGGCTTTCCAGACTTGGTTCCACATTTCTGGAAATTAAAGATGTTAATATTTTATTGAGCAGAAATTCAATGGGGAGGGAGGGGGTGGGTGGATGGGACCATTCTATTTTTTTCAGTTAATGTGACAAAATAATAGACATGCAATATTTCAAAGAATTATAACAAATTGAAAATCAAACTGTATATACAGGGCAATTGTTAAAAATTACATATTGCATAACTAACTTCTAATGATCATATCATTTATAGAGTACTGTACATGTAGCCATCTGTATCACAGGAAGAAGGGCATGACTGAGATTTAAGAGGGGACTCCCAACCCTTATCAACCTGGAAGCTTTGGGGAGAGTCTATTCCATTTGTTTCACATTCAAGAGCGTGTGGTGTTATGACATCCCTACAAGAAGGTAGCAATGCAATTGATAAACCCCCTCACAGAAGTCTCTTCCAAAGGTTTAACTTGCATTTTCCAATAACTAACTAGGTGTAGCCTTAGTCTTATTGATTATAGTGTTTTCACTTCAATACGTGTATTTCTAAATAATGCGTGCAATACAAGGCCTTACAGTACTGCTATTCAATGTTACAACAACATGTCATGCAGTCTCACCTCCATTTTTCTTATTACGTCCAAGCCAGTGACAACCTGTCCAAAGACAACATGCTTGTTGTCCAGCCATTCCGTCCGCTCCGTGGTCAGGAAAAACTGAGACCCATTACTGTTGGGACCTGAGTTTGCCATAGAAAGTATTCCTGGACCTGAAGACGAACAGTAACTGTCAGACCAAATATTGACTACAACACCCACCTTTATCTTGCCAATCTTTATATAAACAATTCAATAACATACAAACAAAAATAGGAGATTTATAATGCCAAAATGAGCAGAATGCACATTTCCTAATATATTCTTGATATTTCAGTTGAATTAAAAACATAAGTCACTCCTATTTATACCCAACAAAACTCTTAAGACACTCGAGTGATCCCACATTTATTAATTATATTGTCCAATACCTTGTTTCATAAATCAAACATCTCTTATTTTCAAACACATACTTATCCTGGTCTTTTCTTAACCCAAGCTTATCCAATTTGTATCCATTATTATACATTCTATTTTATGCCATTATAATTAATATACCCCTTTATCAATTTATATCAGTCAATCATATCACCCTTTACTCCATCTATTTAGATAATGTAAATTAAGCTTTCTTCACTAAATGTGCAATTATTAGCATGTACTGATCGTTCAGTGCACTGCCATCATCATCAAAGACCTATGCCTTGTGTCAATGGCTCCAATAGCTCAATTTAGAGTCTCACAAACATCAGCCCCTGATTCCCCTCACCAAAACAGAAGGTGGAGAAATGTTGTCGTTTCTCCACCTGATGTGTGGTTTGGTCATCATACCTTCAGCCACATTATTGTGCCTCATTGTCTACATATGATGATGACTACACCGATACCTGCACCTACATAAAGATATTCACTGCATGATATTCATATTTATTTTTGTAGTCTTTCTACTTTTGCATACAGAGTCCTTACTTTTGAGCATATTTCTTATGAAAATTAAATAAAAAATATGCCTGGTCCTGGCTCCTATCAGAATATAGTGTTGACGAGCGCCACAATGAACACTGACCAGTATGAAATATGTGTAAATGTAGGATTGTTGGTACTGTATTATGTCCATCCTTTTGAAAACAGGTCTACAATTTCATAAGCAAAATAAGAGCTAAAATTTATTTGAGCAAAGCCGAACTTTTCTTTAAGCCACTCAAATACGCATTAAGACTAATTAAACAATGTTCTGCAAAAGGTGTAGATTCCATGGTAAAATCTACCTTTAATGCCTCATTTTCCCTCAGGTTTTGACCATTAAAAATGTGTATAGTCATCTTCAAACATTTAAGCCTTTGATATCCCCCATGTGTTTAGACTGAAGGTAAGAGACCAACTTACAGGTGTTTATATTATGTAATGAATCAATTGCCAGTAATCAATATATGTATTATATGCAAGAAGTGGGGGGGGGGGGGTTAGAGGACACATTACTTGGCTGTCTCCACTTTTGTGATTTAAGGCAGGTTTGTTATAATGTAAATCATTTGGTTACAATTAGAACTTTACAAAATACATTTCAGTACAGTAACTACTTGAATTATGAAATAAGCCATTTATAACAAAAATAAAAAGAATGGCCAGAAGGTAAAAAATAGGAAGCTTTATTTTAACAAAATAAGAGCAATATAAATACTGTTGCTCTATTAAAAAAAATCAAGATACAATATACAGCATACTGTAAAGTTATACTGTATGTGGTTTATCTAAACACTTTCTCTTCTGTATTAAGCACATCATAATATACTTTTATATGCGATATTTGTCCATTGATATTTTGACTACATCAAATCTTCTGGCATAGTTTGGGGAACTTCTACCTGTAAGATAGGTTGCATTCTGCACAGTTTAGGTAGCTTCTCCTGTTGGGTGGCAGTTTCCGCAAATTTAATTTTTCATAATTATTCCAATGACCGGGGAGCCGGTCGGCCGAGCGGACAGCACGCTGGACTTGTGATCCTGTGGTCCCGGGGTCGATCCCGGGCGCCGGCGAGAAACATTGGGCAGAGTTTCTTTCACCCTATGCCCCTGTTACCTAGCAGTAAAATAGGTACCTGGGTGTTAGTCAGCTGTCACAGGCTGCTTCCTGGGGGTGGATGCCTGGTCGAGGACCGGGCCGCGGGGACACTAAAGCCCCGAAATCATCTCAAGATAACTTCAAGAAGATGTCTCATTAGTTTATTCTCTAGTTTTTTGCTGTAATATTATTCAAAAGTATAATTTGTGGAACATCGCTATGCTCAATTCTAGGTAATAGTGGATTTGAGAAAGGATTAGTAGATGGACTAATGTCTACACATGGACAACTTTACCCTATGCCACACTTGCAATATTTACACCAGATCTTACCTGTGTGCCTCAACTTGAAGTTTTCATCTTCAAATTTTGCACCATATATAGCACGTCCTCCTGTTCCATTGTGGTTGGTAAAGTCTCCTCCCTGGCACATGAAGCCAGGAATAATGCGGTGGAAAGTGGATCCTTGGTAGCCATAACCCTTTTCGTGAGTACACAGACATCGGAAATTCTGTAAAAAAATCGTGCATCTATTTTAATGAAATTGGCCTTTTCTGGTGGTATCCTCAGTAGCATGCCAAGCTAAATGCTAGCTCAGTCAAGCCATAGAAAGTTGCATCAGACCTCCAAGCTCAATCTTTGCCCATTGGGTCCCAGGACCAGAATCTGAGCAGTCCATAAGGCTAGGGAAGCTTGGTGACCATAGGTCAAACTGTGCTATGAGGCCCTAAATGTAAGCAACCTTGATGCAGCTAACTCAATGCTGCATATTCAGACTTAACAACACAGAAATAATGTGGCAGAGTATGCATATCTGGAGAAAGAAGCCCTCCTAAACCAAGTAGAAGAGAGAAATGTAAACCCATGACCAGCCAAGCACCCATAGGTATGAGAACCAGAGAACCTGACCATACTAAACACCCCAAGCCCAAGTGCTGAATGGCAAGGAAATGCACACCCTGAGAATCACATGAAGAACACTGCTAGGAAGCTATACTATGCTTTCTAACCTCAGAATCGCTCTTAAATATACGGATGGCGAAATATTAAAAAATTATTCATGGCCTTCGTGAGACCAAAAATGGAATATGCAGCATTTATATGGTGCCCATATCTTAAGTACATCTCAATAAACTAGAAATGCAAAGGAATGCAAATAAATGGCTTCTGGAACTGAAAAACAAGAACTATGAGGAAAGGCTAAAGGTGTTAAGTATACCAAAGCTTGAAGATAAAAGAAGAATAGTGATATGATCACTACACACAAAACGGTAAGAATAATCAACAAAATTGACAATGATGAATTCTTTAAACTTGCATCTTCAAGAACAAGAGGTCATAGAATCAAGGTAAGGAAACAAAGCTTCCAAATAACATAAGAAAGTTCTCTTTTGCACAGTGGTAGATGTTTGGAACATGTAAAGTGAAGGTGGTTACACCAAAACTGTCAGTAGTTTCAAAGCATCATTTGACAAAGAGTACTGGGAAGACGGGACACCACGAGTGTAGCTTTCATCCTGTAACCACACTTAGGTAATTACATGCACACAATTTACATGGGCATACATACACATACAAATTCAACAAACATATCACATGACACGGAATAAAATGTTTTAGTAGTGGGGGATAATGGAGGCAAGATTTATGTAATAAGAGATTTAACCCCTGAATGGTGCAGCTATTTAAACAAACTACATCAAGGTGCTCATTACTAAAAATATTTAACAAATTAAATGGGAAATCTGATTGTTTGCACAATATCTTCATGCCAAATCACAATTTCTTCAGATCTGGTATATTGGTAGAGTATAAATTGAAACACACACATAAATTGAAAATGATTTAGACAAATACAGGTACACATCTGTGTATCACTGCATTTAACTAAGATAAAACTATATTATATTATATTATATATATATATCACTCAACTATTAAAAAATAAAAGTCTTTAACTTTTAATATTTTATTGTTATTATGTTTGAGCACTGTCAGAATTACAGTACTATTATTAATACATACACGGTACTGAATAGTACTTATATATTATGATGAAGCAAATAATTCTACAGAATAAACACTACAGCTTAATAAATGAAAACATTTTGACTCACCTCAACAGTCTTAGGAACGACATCGGCTCTCAACTGCATGACTATTCTTCCAATTAGACTCTTGCCAATTTTAATATCAAAGTACACCTGCGGGTTTGTCTTTTTCTTCGTCTTTGGTTCTTCTTCCTGCTGTAGAACTTAATTACTGTTTTAAGTTTTAAAACTATTTTATTTTAAGATTTCAATTTAAATAACAATCAGATGTTCATTGCTTGAATATGAGGCTGCTTTCAAGAATTATTTCCCATTAAATATCAAGGTGAACAGAAACATTCTAAGTGTCAACAGATTATGTTCTTATATTTCAACAGAATCAAGCTGTCTAAGCTCAGATCTCTTAATTACATAGCATATTTCTTCAATATCTCATTTGCTTCCACTATTTCAAGTTACTAACCATTTATTTATACAGGTGAATAAACTGACATGAATTAATAATACACTATTGTAACTTCAAGTAACAAAGACTGATGATTAACCCATCTTCGGAAAAAAATAAGTAGATTTTTATCGACTCACTGTTTCTTCTGCTGGCCGCTTGATACCTTCAGTAGGTGTTTTAGTACTATCTGGAGCTCCATTTTCTCCCTCTCCACCTTCACCATCTAATGTTGCACCTGCATACTTATTCAGCCACTCATCATCGGCCCATACAGCACGTGATGAACCTTCCTTAGCTTTCTGTGGTTTGGCTAGATTTACACGTATTGTACGACCAAACAGCTCACTCTCATTCTGAAATACACATTAGTGTCTTTAATTATCTGCCCTCACATACACAATATATATCAGCAGCATTACAACAATGAACAAAATAAGGTTATCTTGAAATGATTTCAGGGCTTAGCGACCCCGCGGTCCAGTCCTCTACCAGGACTGGAGGGAACCCCCCCCCCCACATGCCACGGGGTCCTGTTTGTTACACATTCCCAGGAAGCAGCCCATAGCAGCTGTCTAAATCCCAGGTAACTATTTGCTGCTAGGTGAACAGGGGCATCGTGAAAGAAACTGCCCATTTGTTTCCACCTCCACCAGGGAGATTGCCAATCCTTATAATCCTTATTGAGACATTTAAGCTACTAAAGTTATTAAATAATATAATTATTAACTTACCATATTATCAATTGCAGCAAGGGCATCTTCGGGCAATTCAAACTCAATAAATGCAAAGCCTCTGTGTTTCTCTGTTTCGTAGTCAAGAGGAATCTGTATATCTACAACATCTCCAAATGGAATGAAGGCAGACCTCAGGACGTCATCTGTCACCTCATCTGCCAGACCACCTACAACATGTAACAAAGATCTATTAAGCATCCACACCCTAATAATTGAGTCAGCTGCCTCCACTCAACTAATCCATACATAACCTTTCCTAATCTACTATTAGAGTAGATTAGGAAAGATTAGATTAGATTCTTGTCTTGAAAAATAACTAACATTTACACAAAGAAATTACAATAGCATGCTGCATCAACTGGTCCAGCTTAGTTACGAACCTCATACTGTGTATAATGAGGGCCGATACTATACACATGGATGTGTTAAAACACTATATTTTCTCATGAATTGCTGCAAACTTGCTAATTTAACATGAGCTAACCTAATAGCTATGTAGGTTATAGACTATAAAAACTCTTGGATATTAACAATGAAATGTATAGGCCTTACCGACGTAGAGTATCCTCTTGTTGCTGCTTGCCATGTCTGGCTCTTGTGCGGGTCGAGAGGTGACTGTCTGGCTCTTGTGGGGGGTCGAGAGGTGTATGTCTGGCTCTTGTAAGATTCTAGAGGTGTATGTCTGGCTCTTGTAAGATTCTAGAGGTGTATGTCTGGCTCTTGTAAGATTCTAGAGGTGTATGTCTGGCTCTTGTAAGATTCTAGAGGTGTATGTCTGGCTCTTGTAAGATTCTAGAGGTGTATGTCAGGTTCTAGAGGTACAACTCTAGCTCTGGTAGGAGTCGAGAGGTTTAGTTCACGTTTCAATACACCAACACCTAACAGATAATGTGTAACAGTATCAACCCCGTACTGCAGTTTCTAGAGTAACAAGTCCGCCTTCTGGGTGAAAATAGTCATTGGGAGGAGCTTTGACAAGCTCCTGTCTTCCTGGAGGCCACTAGAAATGGCGATCCTCAGGTAAATTCAGGTAAAACAGCATTTTACAGTGAGGCGGCGAGGCAGAGGTAAACAAATATATTCCAGACACTTCGTACACACGAGGGATCGTGCGTTTAAAAATAATTTTTATCGTGTGTTTAAAATAATGTTTATATTTATAATAATTGTTATATTTATAATAATTTGTATTTTAATAATTTTTATATTTATAATAATTTGTATTTTAATAATTTTTATATTTATAATAATTTTTTATTTATAATAAATTTTATATTTATAATAATTTTTTATTTATAATAATTTTTATATTTACAATAATTGTTTATGTTGATCAGACCACACACTAGAAAGTGAAGGGACGACGACGCTTCGGTCCGTCCTGGACCATTCTCAAGTCGATTGTGATAGAGGCAGGAGGGAATGGCAATAAATAGGCTAGAGAGAGAGGTGAGAAGGAAATCTTAGAGGAAGAAAAAGCAAGAGGAACGGAAGGTAAGGTGTAATAAAGGGGGTAATAATAGGAATAAGATAGGAATCGTAAGATTACGGAACTAGCTCGTTTCTTGTAACTCTATCCTCATTACCTAGCCTCAAAACTTTACATTTATCAGCATCAAACTCCATCTGCCAATCTTTTGACCATTTGAAAACTCTATTTAGATCAACTTGAAGTGATAGTGAATCTTCTTCCGTGTTAATTTCCCTTCCGATTTTCGTATCATCGGCAAATTTGCAAATGTTGCTACTCAAACCTGAATCTAAATCATTTATATATATTATAAACAACAGAGGTCCCAGGACAGAGCCTTGAGGCATTCCATTCCCCACTCTGACTTAACCCCATTTATACTAACTCTCTGTTTCCTTTGGTATAGCCATGCCCTAATCCAAATTAATATGTAATGGGTTCTTATGTAATGATGATAGAGTTACAAGATACGAGCTGGATGGTGTTAAGAACATAAGAACAAAGGTAACTGCAGAAGGCCTATTGGCCCATACGAGGCAGCTCCTATCTATAACCACCCAATCCCACTTATATACTTGTCCAACCCGCGCTTGAAACAATCGAGGGACCCCACCTCCACCATGTTACGCGGCAATTGGTTCCACAAATCAACAACCCTGTTACTGAACCAGTATTTACCCAAGTCTTTCCTAAATCTAAACTTATCCAATTTATACCCATTGTTTCGTGTTCTGTCTTGTGTTGATATTTTTAATACCCCATTAATATCCCCCCTGTTATGTCCATTCTTCCACTTGTAAACCTCTATCAAGTCACCCCTAACTCTTCGCCTTTCCAGTGAATGCAACTTAAGCTTTGTTAATCTTTCTTCATATGAAAGATTTCTAATTTGGGGAATTAACTTAGTCATCCTACGTTGGACACGTTCAAGTGAATTTATATCCATTCTATAATACGGCGACCAAAACTGAACTGCATAATCTAAATGGGGCCTAACCAGAGCAAGATATAGCTTAAGAACCACACCAGGTGTCTTGTTACTAACGCTTCGATTAATAAATCCCAGTGTCCTATTCGCCTTATTACGAACATTCATGCATTGTTCCTTTTGTTTTAAATTCTTACTAATCATAACTCCCAGATCCCTTTCGCAATCCGACTTCGCAATCTCAACACCATCTAGCTCGTATCTTGTAACTCTATCATCATTACCTAGCCTCAGAACTTTACATTTATCAGCATTAAACTGCATTTGCCAATCCTTTGACATTTCAAAACCCTATGTAGATCAACTTGAAGTGATAGTGAGTCCTCCTCCGAATTAATTTCCCTACCGATTTTCGTATCATCGGCAAATTTGCAAATGTTGCTACTCAAACCTGAATCTAAATCATTTATATATATTATAAACAACAGAGGTCCCAGGACAGAGCCCTGAGGTACTCCACTAACAACATTATCCCACTCTGACTTAACCCCATTTATACTAACTCTCTGTTTCCTTTGGAATAGCCATGCCCTAATCCAAGTTAATATAGCACCCCCAATACCATGAGCTTCTATTTTTTTAATTAGTCTTTCATGTGGCACTGTATCAAAAGCTTTGCTAAAGTCAAGGTACACAACATCACAATCCTTACCACTATCAACTGCCTCAACTATGCTGGAATAAAAAGTTAGCAAATTTGTTAAACATGAACGGCCATTTGTAAAACCATGTTGCGACTCATTTATTAATTTATGTTTTTCAAGATGGAGACGAATTGTATTTGCAATTATTGATTCAAGGAACTTTCCCACAATAGACGTTAGGCTAATTGGCCGATAGTTTGACGCAAGTGATCTATCTCCTTTCTTAAAAATTGGTACCACATTAGCTACCTTCCATGACTCTGGCACTCTGCCTGACTCTATTGATTTATTAAATATGGTAGACAGTGGCTCGGAAAGCTCCTCTTTGCATTCTTTAAGCACCCTGGCAAACACTTCATCCGGCCCTGGGGATTTGTTTGGTTTTAGTTTTTCTAATTGTTTAATTACATCTTCCCTGGTAACTCGCTAAACTAGTCAACCTGTCCTCATCCCCACCCACATAGACTTGTTCATAAGAACATAAGAACAAAGGTAACTGCAGAAGGCCTATTGGCCCATACGAGGCAGCTCCTATATATAACCACCCAATCCCACTCATATACTTGTCCAACCCGCACTTGAAACAATCGAGGGACCCCACCTCCACCACGTTACGCGGTAATTGGTTCCACAAATCAACAACCCTGTTACCGAACCAGTATTTACCCAAGTCTTTCCTAAATCTAAACTTATCCAATTTATACCCATTGTTTCGTGTTCTGTCTTGTGTTGATACTTTTAATACCCTATTAATATCCCCTTTGTTGTGTCCATTCATCCACTTATAAACCTCTATCATGTCACCCCTAACTCTTCACCTTTCCAGTGAATGCAATTTAAGCTTTGTTAATCTTTCTTCATATGAAAGGTTTCTAACTTGGGGAATTAACTTAGTCATCCTACGCTGGACACGTTCAAGTGAATTTATATCCATTCTATAGTAAGGCGACCAAAACTGAACTGCATAATCTAAATGGGGCCTAACCAGAGCAAGATATAGCTGAAGAACCACACCAGCTGAAGGTGTGGTTCGGCTGAAGGCATATTGTTAAGTTCTTCTTTAGTAAATACAGATATAAAATATTTGTTAAAAATACTACTCATCTCCTTGTCATTTTAGGATGACTAAGTTAATTCCCCAAATTAGAAATCTTTCATATGAAGAAAGATTAACAAAGCTTAAGTTGCATTCACTGGAAAGGCGAAGAGTTAGGGGTGACATGATAGAGGTTTACAAGTGGATGAATGGACATAACCGGGCGGATATTAATAGGGTATTAAAAGTATCAACACAGGACAGAACACGAAACAATGGATATAAATTGGATAAGTTTAGATTTAGGAAAGACTTGGGTAAATACTGGTTCAGTAACAGGGTTGTTGATTTGTGGAACCAATTGCCGCGTAACATTGTGGAGGTGGGGTCCCTCGATTGTTTCAAGCACGGGTTGGACAAGTATATGAGTGGGATTGGGTGGTTATAGAATAGGAGCTGCCTCGTATAGGCCAATAGGCCTTCTGCAGTTACCTTTGTTTTTATGTTCTTATGTTCTTATTATCCGTTATTTGACCTGTCTCAGATTTTAATGGACCTATCCTTTCCCTAGTCTTAGTTCGATATAACTGAAAAAACCCTTTAGGATTTGACTTTGCTTGCCCTGCTATGCGAACTTCATAGTTTCTTTTTGCTTTCCTAATCTCTTTTTTAACATTTCTAACCAGTTGTATGAATTCCTGTTCTAAACTGACTTCCCCATTCTTAATCCTTTTGTACCAAGCTCTCTTTTTACCTATAAGGTTCTTTAAATTATTTGTTATCCACTTTGGGTCATTAGTATTCGATCTATTCAATTTGTATGGTATACTACGTTCCTGTGCTTTGTTTAGAATATTCTTAAATAAGTTGTACTGTATATTAAATCCACATCGAAATCCCCTTTTACGTCACCTTTCGCTGGGTTCATGTCTCGCTCTAAGACCGGCCCACACCCCATACCCAAGACTTTCCAATCTATTTGACCCAAAAAATTTCTTAGGCTATTAAAATCAGTTTTTCGAAAATCTGGCACTTTAACAGAATTTTCTCCTACAGGTCTATTCCATTCTATGCTAAATCTGATTTCTTTGTGATCACTGTTTCCTAGCTCACTCCCTATTTCGATGTCATTAATTTGTGTTTCCCTGTTAGTTAACACTAAATCTAAAATATTATTTTCCCGCGTTGGTTCCTTAATGTGTTGCGTAAGAAAGCAATCGTCAATTAATTCTAGAAAATCTTCTGCTTCACTATTCCCTGTTTTGTTCACCCAGTTTATTCCACTAAAATTAAAGTCACCCATGACATAAATACTGTTAGATCTAGATGCTCTAGATATTTCATCCCATAGATGCTTTGCTTCCATTCTGTCTAAATTTGGTGGCCTATATATAACTCCTATTATAATATTATTTGTTTTTTCGTTTAATTCTATCCAAATAGTTTCTGTGTGTGGCTCAGTTTTGATTCCTTCTTTGAGACTACATTTCAAATTGTCCCTAACGTATATGGCTACTCCCCCTCCTCGTCTAATATATCTGTCTGTGTGAAATAGTTTAAATCCATTTATCTGATATTCAGCTAATAGTTCTCTATTTTCTTCATTCATCCACATTTCGGTAAGTGCAATAATATCTATTTTTTCTGTGCAGACAAATGCATTTAATTCATTAATTTTATTTCTTAGACTTCTACTGTTAGTGTAATATGTTAGTGAATTGTTATTTTGAGGCCCTTTTCTTTCCCTGATCATTTTACCAATTCTTTTCTCCCACGAACACATACTTTTATTACCTCCTTCCTCCCTATCAATTCCCATACCACTATCTACTAACAGTTTAAACCCAAACAAACACCTCTAACCACTGGTTTCAACGAGTTCGCAACAGCAACAACCCCAGCCCTCGATAGATGCACCCCATCACGAGCATACAGTTCATTTCTTCCATAGAAGTGTTCCCAGTTGTCTATGAAAGATATTGCATTTGATTTGCAATATCTTTCCAGCCGGCAATTGACACCAAGTGCCCTCGACATCCATTCATTTCCTACTCCCTTTCTTGGAAGAATGCCACATATGATCGGGATTCCTCCCTTGCTCCTAACTAATTCAATGGCTGTCCTGAATCTCTGTATTAGTTCCTCACTCCTAACTCGCCCAACATCATTACCCCCTGCACTAATACAAATAATGGGTTTGTTCCCATTTCCCGTCATAATATCATTCATGTTTCCAACAATATCACCAATTCCAGCTCCCGGATAGCAAACCCTTAATCTGTTCCCCCCTATCTCTGGCAATCTGGTGTTGAGATTGCGAAGTCGGATTGCGAAAGGGATCTGGGAGTTATGATTAGTAAGAATTTAAAACCAAAGGATCAATGCATGAATGTTCGTAATAAGGTAAATAGGACACTGGGATTTATTAATCAAAGCGTAAGTAACAAGACACCTGGTGTTGTTCTTCAGCTATATCTTGCTCTGGTTAGGCCCCATTTAGATTATGCAGTTCAGTTTTGGCCGCCGTACTATAGAATGGATATAAATTCACTTAAACGTGTCCAGCGTTGGATGACAAAGTTAATTCCCCAAATTAGAAATCTTTCATATGAAGAGAGATTAACAAAGCTTAAATTGCATTCACTGGAAAGGCGAAGAGTTAGGGGTGACTTGATAGAGGTTTACAAGTGGATGAAGGACATTACCTGTCGTGATGCATCAATTTGTTCATTGATGCATCACGCTATTGTCATTTCTATGTCTACACAGTTAATATATTCATCAACTAAATACATTCATCTGCTAAAAAGATAAAATGTAGATACAGCATACTTCTTGTTCAGGAACTTCTTGGGATAAAACGCCAACACTCCTTGAGGAACTGTGAGACACTAATTTGCTCATCCTCGTAGTGGTCCCTATAAGCTTTCGTGAATGTTCCTCTCTCCTTAGTGCCCCTCGGCGACTCCACTTAAGTAATTATGAAAAGCAGCCATTATGCCGGGGAGGCTATGAAGCACGACTCCACTTAAGCTTTTGTTCTGCAACCAGTTGGTATTGTTTGGTTACCAGGGACGCCTCACGGTATAGCAGTGGTTGACCAGACCACACACTAGAAGGTGAAGGGACGACGACGTCCCGATTGGACCATTCCTGAACGTCTCGTCCTGGACCATTCTCAAGTCGATTGAGAATGGTCCAGGACGGACCGAAACGTCGTCGTCCCTTCACCTTCTAGTGTGTGGTCTGGTCAACATACTTCAGCCACGTTATTGTGACTGTCTGCATATCGCGTCACGTGTTTCGGCGGCCTCCTGGCGGATCAGGTGTCCAATCGTCCTATCGTCGTCAAGGTTGAACCAGGAGTCACAAACGTTCGGCAGTAATGCAGGAACTACCACCACTCACACCGCCTCAACTAGAGGTCATGTATCATAGAACTGGAGACTATAAGTATAGGAACGATGCTATCCAGAGGTTACCAGTGTTTGGTTGGAGGCGCGCCTGGGTGGGTATTGTGCTTAGATGTTTATTGTCCCTGTGTGGGTATTGTGCCCAGGTGAGGTGTACTTGGGCGAGGATTGTGGCAACGTAAGTTGGACACGAGATGGAGGTGAGGGAGGGAAGGAGAGAGTGAGAAAGTGGGAGGGAAGAGGTGGGAGAGGGAGAGAGAGAGAGAGAGAGAGAGAGAGAGGGAGGGGGTGAAGGGGTAATGTGAGTAGTGTGAGGTAGGGGGAACAAGTTGGTCAGGTAAAAAGCCTAATTTACTAATTGACAAACAGATAACAGTTCCTAACCCTATACACATTACGATGCTCCAATATAAAACTAACAATATAGGCTTCGATTGAAAATGTCCACTGATATATGTCGTTACATATAACGACATATATGTCGTTACATATATAATAGGCCTGTATATAACGTTATATATAACATCTCACTATGGTATAACTCTAGAATTTCCAGGAAAACTAGGTCCCATATATACGCACTCTCTCGCCTCACCAAATATAGAGTACTTTTTCATTGTTATATTTGCTATATATACCTGTAAGCGGCTTCTTGATCGGGAGGATATTGTTATTAATAATCTAGATAATATATTTATAGATATGTGTTATTTTCCCAGCTATGAGACGGGGAGAAAAACCCGGGAGTGCTCAGTGTGTGTATTGACCGGGACGGTGGTGCCCCCGAGGTCTTATGGTGCAGGGTGGTAAGGTCGAGTATTGAGGGAACTGGTGCGGGCGAGGGGCGGCGGCCTTGACCCTTACGCCAGGGTACTGTAAGACTCATCTTGCCCGACCGTCCTCTCCTGCCACACACCGCCACCTCGACCAACTATTCTCACCGAGTTTTGCTCAGTAATAATATTACGAAATTATTATTTGGCCAAAATTTTGATTAATTTATAATTATAGATAGTGCTAGAGATCCTTACAAATGAATGATTTAAAGAATATCTGGTAAAATGGATATGATACGAGTGGTAATGAAAGGTGTGAATGTATTATAGGAGATGTGTTAGGAAGAAAGATATCTATATCTAGTGGAATTGTTGGGACTGCAGTGAGAAGTTGCCAGCGTGCGTCGGCCGGGTGCCAGTGTGTGTGTGTGTCGGCCGGGTGCCAGTGTGTGTGTGTCGGCCAGTGCCACAGAGGAGGGAGTGAGGGCCACCCCGATCTATCTTGTCTCCCCCCCCTCATCTTGAGGACGCTCGGGCACCCCTATAAACCACCTCTCACTATGGACACCGACAATATCAACAGTGAGTACAGGATGGGTGAGTCTGCCCTCAAAACCGTCGCCACGGAGGGGCGCTAGCCCCCCCTAGCTGCTCCTGACTCCCCCTTTACCTGAATTTACCTGAATTTACTTTCCCTAGGGAGGAAAATAGACCTGCTAAATTACCACTCAAGTTCCGGCAAATGATATGAATTTTTGCATATATTGATGTATTCAAATGGAGTTTAGTCTTTCCATTAATATGAAAAAAACAATTGTATTGATCCTGGAAGAAATACTTGTTTGTGGAGTTGGAACAGAACAAGGTGTAATGACTGGTGGTGGTGGTAATTGTGGTGTGGGGGGGGGAGCTGTGGTGAGTGGGGTCATCTCCCTTTAACACTGTCTGTGTGGTGGTCTCACAGGCGCCCCATCACGCCCGCCCCAGTACGCCCACCCCAGCACGCCCACCCCAGCACGCCCACCCCAGCACGCCCGCCCCAGCACGCCCGCTCTCACTAGCACGCCCACCCCAGCACGCCCACTCTCACCAGCACGCCCACCTCAGTACGGCCTAACGCCTCAACAAGCCCGCTAATGGTAGTGCGTTCAGTGATGGTAGTGCGTGCAATGATGGTAGCGCGTTCAGTGATGGTAGTGCGTGCATTGCGTGGAGACAAGCAGCTATGCCGCGTGATCTCACTGCTAGCTCTCCACCCTATTACCATAAGATAACACGCCAGAATGGCCTGCAAAATCTCTTAGCAACGGAGGAATGATTTAATCTGCAGTTCTCACCCCACACTCGGTACCACAGCTGCAGCATGGCCAAGCCAGTTTTTTACGAATTAATAAATCCAGACAGCATTTTTTGTTGTTGTTGAGAGAGAGCGAGAGAGAAGTGGTTAATGAGGGAGTTGGCATGTGTGTGTGGGGATGGGGGGGGGGGGGGGTAAGGAGTAGTGGTCAAGCAAGCTTTAAAATCTCAAGTTTTTGTCAAGTTTTAAAACTTACATGTGTGTCAAGTGGATAGAAACCGGTCCAGCCCGCTGGCCTGCGCAGTTACATACACATTTAGTACTTCCTTCCGCGTTGGATTAGTAATTGGGAATCATTAAGCGATGTTGTATGATAGGATTGTATGCTATGATTCTGTATGTGAGAGGCTTTGTATGCATTGTTTTACTGGGTCGTGGAATGTGTCTATTGATTGAGTTATAATTTAACTATTCTGACATTCGAATTCTTTGCCGAATCTGGGGCCAGATTCACGAAGCAGTTACGCAAGCACTTACGAACGTGTACATCTTTCCTCAATCTATGACGGCTTTGGTTACATTTATTAAACAGTTTACAAGCATGAAAACTTGCCAATCAACTGTTGTTATTGTTATAAACAGCCTCCTGGTGCTTCGGAGCTCATTAACTGTTTAATAATTGTAAACAAAGCCGCCAAAGATTGAGAAAAGATGTACAGGTTCGTAAGTGCTTCGTGAATCTGGCCTCAGGTTCGTAAGTGCTTGCGTAACCGCTTCGTGAATCTGGCCCCTGGCCGTAGAGTTAAGGATGAAGGTAGTTTCTACGATTTTTCTTTCAGTGCATTCTACTTGTTCACCGGCCTGGTCGAGGACCGGGCCGCGGGGACACTAAAGCCCCGAAATCATCTCAAGATAACCTCAAGATAATCTCAAGATAACCTCAGGATAGATACCATTCGTTCTGGCAACGATTATCTCTTTACATTTGTCCTTTTATCTCTCATTTGTGTCCATTGTAATGCTTTCTTTCAATTTAAGAGGCTATCCTTGTTCCCTCTTGTGTACTCCTTTTAGTATCTTGTATGTTGTAATCATGTCTCCCTGTTCTGTCTATGGTTGTGACGTATTTTTTTCCATTATCATATCGTCACAGCTTAGACCTCTTTGTTCTGGCACTAAGATTGTTTGTGTGTGTTGTGTATGTTGTGTGTGTGTGTGTGTGTGTGTGTACTCAAATATTTGTACTCACCTATTTGTGCTTGCAGGATCGAGCATTGACTCTTGGATCCCGCCTTTCCAGCTATCGGTTGTTTACAGCAATGACTCCTGTCCCATTTCCCTATCATACCTAGTTTTAAAAGTATGAATAGAGTTTGCTTCCACAACCTGTTCCCCAAGTGCATTCCATTTTTTCCACTACTCTCACGCTAAAAGAAAACTTCCTAACATCTCTTTGACTCATCTGAGTTTCCAGTTTCCACCCATGTCCCCTCGTTCTGTTATTATTACATGTGAACATTTCATCTATTTCCACTTTGTCAATTCCCCTGAGTATTTTATATGTCCCTATCATATCTCCTCTCTCCCTTCTTTTCTCTAGTGTCGTAAGGTTCAGTTCCTTCAGACGCTCTTCATATCCCATCCCTCGTAACTCTGGGACAAGCCTGTGTGTGTTTGTGTGTGTGTGTGTGTGTGTGTGTGTGTGTGTGTGTGTGTGTGTGTGTGTGTGTGTGTGTGTGTGTGTACTCACCTAATTGTACTCACCTAATTGTGCTTGCGGGGGTTGAGCTTTGGCTCTTTGGTCCCGCCTCTCAACTGTCAATCAACTGGTGTACAGATTCCTGAGCCTACTGGGCTCTATCATACCTACATTTGAAACTGTATGGAGTCAGCCTCCACCACATCACTTCCTAGTGCATTCCATTTATTAACTACTCTGACACTGAAAAAATTCTTTCTAACGTCTGTGTGTGTGTGTGTGTGTGTGTGTGTGTGTGTGTGTGTGTGTGTGTGTGTGCGTGCGCGCGCGTGTGTGTGTGTGTGTGTGTGTGTGTGTGTGTGTGTGTGTGTGTGTGTGTGTGTGTGTGTGTGTGTGTGTGTACTCACCTATTTGTGCTTGCAGGGGTTGAGCTTTGGCTCTTTGGTCCCGCCTCTCGACTGTCAATCAACTGGTGTACAGATGCCTGAGCCTACTTGGCTCTATCATATCTACATTTGAAACTGTGTATGGAGTCAGCCTCCACCACATTACTGCCTAATGCATTCCATTTACTAACTACTCTGACACTGAAAAAGTTCTTTCTAACGTCTCTGTGGCTCATTTGGGTACTCAGCTTCCACCTGTGTCCCCTTGTTCGCGTCCCACCAGTGTTGAATAGTTCATCCTTGTTTACCCGGTCGATTCCCCTGAGGATTTTGTAGGTTGTGATCATGTCCCCCCTTACTCTTCTGTCTTCCAGTGTCGTAAGGTGCATTTCCCGCAGCCTTTCCTCGTAACTCATTTCTCTTAGTTCTGGGACTAGTCTAGTGGCATACCTTTGGACTTTTTCCAGCTTCGTCTTGTGCTTGACAAGGTACGGGCTCCATGCTGGGGCCGCATACTCCAGGATTGGTCTTACATATGTGGTGTACAAGATTCTGAATGATTCCTTACACAGGTTCCTGAACGCTGTTCTGATGTTAGCCAGCCTCGCATATGCCGCAGACGTTATTCTTTTTATGTGGGCTTCAGGAGACAGGTTTGGTGTGATATCAACTCCTAGATCTTTCTCTCTGTCCGTTTCATTAAGTGTGTGTGTGTGTGTGTGTGTGTGTGTGTGTGTGTGTGTGTGTGTGTGTGTGTGTGTGTGTGTGTGTGTGTGTGTGTATCTCAAGAACAGTAATGGAACCTGTGACAAACCCTCGGCTTCCTGTTCCCCTCGAGGGCACTAGAAAGATGGTGACCCTCGGGTAAATTCAGGTACGCCTGACTCTATGAGTGTCTTCCCTGCCCATCGCCAGCTTTCTGTCTGTCTGTCTGTCTGTCTGTCTGTCTGTCTGTCTGTCTGTCTGTCTGTCTGTCTGTCTCTCTCTCTCTCTCTCTCTCTCTCTCTCTCTCTCTCTCTCTCTCTCTCTCTCTCTCTCTCTCTCTCTCTCTCTCTCTCTCTCTCTCTCTCTCTCTCTCTCTCTCACGGCGAAGAAATTGCTGAAATATTGTAGCAAGTACCTTATTCCCATAAATCATTTCATAATTGTTAATTGCCTTACCATTGTATGTGATTAAAGTGAATTAGGGCCAGATTATCCCTTAGTGAGATACTACGCGATAGTAGAGATAGTGAGAGAGTTTCTCTCACACATTGAGACGTGTCTGAGTGAACCATGTCTCAATAGTGAGAAACACGAGCGTGTGAAAAGTCAACACGTAACCCCCTAGCTCCAAAGAACAGCAACTATCAACAGACGGGGCCTGACAGCTGAGTGAACAGCGCTTCGGATTCGTAGTCCTGAGGTTCCGGGTTCGATCTCCCGTGGAGGTGGAAACAAATGGGCAGAGTTTCTTTTACCCTGATGTACCTGTTCATCTAGCAGTAAATAGGTGCCTGGGAGTTAGACAGCTGCTACGGGCTGCTTTCTGGGGGATGTGTAACGAAAAGGACACCTGGTCGAGGACCGGGCCACGGGGACGCTAAGCCCCGAAATCATCTCAAGATAACCACAAGATAACCACGTCCAGCCCTCACCGCTATATCATCAACCCAGTGGACAAGATATCCAAGATCACCGCCGCCAATTCAACGTCTTCAGCGTTTGTTTAACGTTCATTATATCGTGCCTGCTGAGTTAACAACGACAACTTTCATGTCTTGCACGATCAACAATGCCGCATCAATATGTCGCGTCTCCCGACAACACTTCTTGTCCAGTCATCGAGAGAAACCTTTACGCAAACTTCTCGTACCATGAAGCACATAGTAAACATTGCCTCGCAAGTCAGAAACATGACAGTCTGAGAGCGTAAACATTGCCACAATAGTGAGTAAATAGAGTAAACATTGCCCAGACGGCCATGTGTCTCACTCTTGCGGCAATGTTTACGTTCTCAGATGGCCGTGTGTCTCATTATTGCGGCAATGTTTCAATGGCAATGGCTGTTAACTCTTTTTTTTTACGTTCTGGCGTGACTATGGCAACCCTGGTGATGGTAGTGTCGTAACACAATAACAACCCTCACATACATAATGTCCAACTAGCCAATTATGGATATAATTATTGTACTGAATTGCATTAGTGTTATAAAGCTCATGAAAAATACAATCAC